TGGAAAGGGCCGTTATTTCAACTTATACGGCCTCTCTACCTGGTCGACAAGAGCTTGTCATGTCAACCAGGCCAGGCCAGCCAAAGCCAGGTACATACATACATACCTACATACATACGTAGGTAGTAGTAGTATACCTCCTAACCTAGGTAGGTTCCTGACTACTGGGGCGCCAGCCAGCTGGGGGTGAGGGAGCGAGAAGATGGATGGACCCAGCGCCGCCATGCCGCGATGCTGCCATGCCATGCCCCTGTAGGGTACCTACCTACTGTTGTACGTACCTGTCCGGCATACATGATAGTACATGTACTGAGTACGGGCAGCCAGGTACATACTGGCTGGGGTCCAGGTACCCGCCGTACCTGTAGGTAGGTACACTGCCCGAGGTGCAGCACGCTAGTGTGTGTCTAATAAAATCATTAATAGCGAGCGAGATGGGAAGGCCTTGTAGACCATGGATGATGGACAACGTACCCATGTACATATACATGTACACCCTCCTACGTATTAGTAGGAAGGGTACAGTAAGAGACCCTGGCACTCACCATAGGCCTGCTGGGAGTGTACACTTCATCTCAGAGGTTGTACCTGAGCCGGTACGGCCAGAGATCCTGTTGCTCCCTGCTAGGATCACTAGAGCGACTAAGTCGACTAGGGTGAGTGTACCTGCAGGTGCCAGCGGTACGGGCTGACTGTGGGTTCCTGCAACTGGCACATGTACCTCCACAAGCACCCACCTGCCAAAGGATCTTAGTGAAAAGGGAGAGTGAGTACTATGTAGGTACCTATGTAGGTACAATACTCTAGATATCTACTTTACCTACATACCTGCTTACACGTACCTACTTACATACCATACCTACCTACTTATTAGTAGTATGGCTGCTAGGAGGCAAACCATACAAATCGCCCAGAGTGAGTCTAGAGTACCTAGGTAGAGTAGCGCAGCTGGGATCACCGTGTCCCAGCCTGTCTGTTCTCAAACTTGCCGAAATAATGAGCAGAACCCGAAAGATCCTCAGTAAGACCCAATCGCTAGGAAACCCTGCTCTGCCTAGCGTGTTACTTAGTGTGTGTTTTGAGAATGAGTGAGGCTACAGCCCGTTAAGTATGTACATAGGGACGCTACCGGTATGCTAACATGTACCTCTGGAACCTGGTGTAGGCGCTGTACAGTGCTGTGGTGGATGTTAATAAGCATGTTTCATTACAATCCCGAACCTGGTGAAGAGTACCTTCTATTGGTAGGTACATAGGTACCTATCCTCCTCCTCCCCATCTCCCCATCCCCCATTTCCCATCCCCATCAACACCGGCAACATTACCAAACTCTGCTGTGTGTCGGAGACATGGACCGGGCCCCAGTGCCTGTTGTGCGGATTGACGGAGTGACGGTAAAGCAAAGCCGAATGCGTGCGTTGTGCGTTCACTGTACTAAGGTATGTAGAATACCTAAACGACTTACATGGTAGGTACAGGCCTAAAGATAGGTTTACTAACCTCAATGGACACAATACATACCTACGTAGGTACACTTTTTAGCTCACACACAGCACACACCGACGCTTTCTTCTTTGCACTTTGTCCTAAACAAGCAGAAGGGGATACAGGAGGCTAGGTAGGTAGCGTGCATGAGGGACGTATGTTCCTTATCTCCATCGGGGCTTAGGTACCGTTACATGCAACCACTACTTGCTTGGTACCTAACCCAACATACCACGTTGTCCATTTACTGCATGTAGCCCGCAACAGCAATGGCAGCCAGCTCACCGACGGGCAGACAGCCAAGTCGGATCAGGTCAGGTGGATACATGGGATGCGGTGACTGGGGAAAGCTGCTCGATACTGCTCGATGCTGTCTGTCTGTGGTATGTTCAGAAGAGGAGGTGAGGAAGACGGAATACCTGGAGAAAGAAGAAAAAGAATGTTGAAAAATTTTTCTCACACATATCCCAGTCAGGGTCTATGCGATGGTGAGTAGGGGACATCTACCTACAACATTACATGGGTCCGAGGCCGCCTTCAGCCTCAAAAAGTACTACGTATTACTACTATCAGTTGTCACAATGGCCTGGGCGCGAGGTATCTTCGTCTTGGTGGTTGCTTGTGGCATTGCCGCGATCAACTTGATCAAGACGATCAAGGGTCGCTCTGCAGCGTTCACTGTCTGGTACACTACTGCGTGGTATTGCGCACATACCTGCATGCCGCAGCGGGAGCTGGTCGATGTCATCATTGCCGTGATAGAGCCGTGACATAATGCCACCATACAAGATGGCCGTTTTCTCTATCCCTCGGCCTGGCCTCATACCTATAGACTCAAATGCCCGTACCTGCATCACGGATATGTTACAACCGCGGTACCCTAAACGGAACGCTCGAGTTGAAAATGTTGTAACCTGCCACATACGTGGTGTAGTACTAGCAGTCGTGGCCGTCGACCCTCTCCATGTCGCTGTTACGTGCATCCATCAACCACGTAGGCGTCTGTGGTTCGTCTGATGACTTTTTAGCAAGTTTCTCATAATTTCTTACGCCTTTTTTTTTTTTTCTCCCTCCTCCACCTCCCCCCTCCCCCTTGTCATCCCATCCTACGGCCTAAAGTATTCCCAAAGCAGGCATAGCGTGTTGAGTCAAGCTAGGTTCTATTCTGAGCTCGTTTTCTATTGATTGATGCAGATTACATCCTTCTAGTGTACTTACTTAGGTGCATTGCATCTACACGTGTGAAGGTGTATAGACGATGTACTAGACGATGGGTATTGGAGTTGGACAAACATCCATCTCGTCAAGACAAGGTGAAGTGGGAAAACGGTGTGCTGCTGCTTGTGGTTTTCGGTGTTATGTCTAAACTATACTACTTACCTCAGTATTGTCCGTGCCCACAGATTCGGTGCGCATTTGCCGATCATCTGAAAAGAATGTTAACACACGTATCAAGACTACCAATTGTACAACATAGGTAAGCTTATAATTCATGTTCGATGTCTAGCTACTCTGCAGCTTGAATAGAATAAAATACCTACATGTAGGATGGCTCCGAGAGACCCGAGCACACCGAAGCTGCGCCACCACTTAAGAAAACGAGTTAACTACCTACCTCGCCTACCTAAGTAAAATCCCACGTATTGGTAGGTAGAGAAATAGCTCGCTAGCATGGCTCACCCGGAGGTCCTCCCGGCGCCAATGCTCCCTGAGTTCGGCATTTTACACGGATGCTGCTCAGCTCTCATAATTCCTCAAGCGCCCATCCGCTGCACCAATGGGTTAGGTAGGTAACTACTACTTAGGAGCAGCTATATGTTACAACTACCTGGCGGGCTGATCAGTTCGGCGCGGATGGGTACTTCTAGTAAGGTGCTACATGTAAGATTAAATCAGCGTTCATAGTAAAGAAATCAAGCGTTAGCGTTCTCATCTCTTCGGCCCCAACAACTCGACAGGGTTCCTTGCTTCATATCAAGGGAGATCCTCGAGGCTATGACTTCGTTTGGGACACGTTAGCTCCACCCGGCAATCTTCCCCTTGCACTAAACAGTCTTCTTTTCATCGAATTTTTCTCGAACTCTCCCCTTCACCCATTCTGGCACAGCTTTTGGTATAGCCGGCTCCTTAGAGCAAGCATCCGCTGCCGCGATGGCTAGGCTGGGCGCCGGCGGCGTTAACTTGGATCTAGTGGCAGTGGTCATGGATAAACGAAATGATGGCTGCGGACAGCTCCGCCTATCCTTCCACCCTTGTGGTTGTCTGTCTCTGGCTTTGAATCATCCTCATTACTGCCATGGCAAGCTTACCGTATTTGCCGAGCATGCATCGTCGGCTATCGGAAAAGTGACAGGTCTATTCATTAACCACAACATAAGTAAATGACAGGTTAAACCCGCCACGGCCTCTCAGCCGCGAAAGGTCCCTCTTCAAGCTGAGGCGACGTCTCGTACTGAGACATGATTATTGGGAATAATGCGGTCGCTTAGCTCTACACAAGAAAATAACTGTCGGCCTATACTGCGCTATGAAGTCTGTGGTGCCCATATTGTGTGTGTGTGTGCGTGCACCTCTGTTTCAAAGGGTATCAAGGGATTCCAGTAGCATACACCAGCAGTGATGATTTGGCAAGAAACTTACATTTCATCATAGCGTAGGCCTGTTCACTGGACGAACCAACGCATCGAAGAACAATCTCAACACTACTTAGATACCCCGCAGCCGACACCTCACCATAAATCTAGTTGAGATATCAGTTTCAATATGGGGGTTCAGCTGCACGCTCCCAGGGACCCAGGGACCATGGAGTACAATGACGAAGCAGCTGCACTATATGAAACAGAAGAATCGATAGGCTGGCAGCGATGCTCTCCACGTCAGTAGATCTGAAGAGGCTTGTGATGGAGCCCTACCCCAAACTTCACCAGTCAACTATAGCCTCTAAAAGCGCGGTAGTCACTCGTACTGAGCTGTAACCAGGCTGCTGGGCTTGAGAAAAATTACAAATACCAAATCATCGGCAAACAGATATGTAGCCACGTCGTGACAGCAGTTGTTGTTACTTGGTGCCTTACGATATCGCCTGAGTATCAATGTCGTAGAGGTTGTGTCGGCTGAGAGTTATGTAAGGGCGGCACATCACAGACGCCGACATTACGACCATCAGGTGGCTATTCTTAGATAGAGGTACTTATTAGTCTAGACGTATTAGTGTATTGCTCAAAGTCTGTGGCTAAGATGTTGCGATATGATCTTAGGTTGGTGGACCAGCCTATCGGCATCTGGCTTGATTCTGGCTGAAGTTAGAGGCGTTGGTAAATCGGTGGTGCCGTCAGGCCGGGACAGCCACAGCTACGTGATTGACCGCATTTCAGCCAGTCGGCAACCGCATCTCAACCGCGGCCGTTTAACTGGCAGGCCACGGGACTTGTGAGTTGCCTCTCTGCTACTACAATTACGTACCTAGGTTTCCCGGGGCTCCCGCACCCCAGTGAACCAACACCTACCGTACTACGCGGACGGATCAGTGTGAGTATCCGGCGTGGCTGAAGCGGACGCGCTCAAGGCGAAATGATGCTCTTCGGGGCTTGTCATATGCTAACCACTCGGGTCGATGCTCGTCAGACGACATCCACCTCTGTGACATGACGCTCGAGAATGAGTCCTCGTGTCGACATGATAGAGTGATTCATCGTACATCCAATTCTGTATACATCCGGTGCTAAGATCCTGGGGTGCGCTGCGACCGCTAATCAGCTGATCCTGCAGCTCGGCACTTCGTACTGCATGACAATTTAGTCCCAGTGTTCGATTACGATGCGAGGCCACTACGCTACACGGAATATAGGTCTCAGATGTTAGTTTCCACCCTGGCATGTACACTACCAAAGCCAGAATCAGCACCACTCGTCTCAGCTTCCTGGTGCAAAAAGTCTCCGCCTCCAGGATATAGTCGATGAGGGTTAGGCCAGACGTCGTCGACAATCTCATTGGACTTGGACCTAGGTTCGCATGACTCAGAAATATTCAGATAGACAGACGCATGTCCATTGTATCGTCAAGACTTGTTTCAGCCCATAGACAAATCGTCTGTGAGGGTCAAGTTTCATGCGGCCATTTGGGCACTAAGAAGCGCCTCATATGCATACCATTGTCGCCTAATACCGGCGACAACTCACTGGTGACGTCGTGATGCATACCTGTACACGAAGGAAAGGAGGGGACAGAGGGACTCGATGGCGGATAGGCAAAGAGGCGCATTCGATGTGTATGGGTGAGTTCAGGGAGATGACTGCCTATTCTCTTTGGTGAAGCTAAGATTTCCGTGCTCTCGGCGCAAGAACAGCTCTTAAGGGATGAGGCGGCAAATTTGTTGAGCGCGAACTTGGCAACATCCATTCATCTCTCAAGGCCTACGTATGGATTTCAGGCAGAAGAATCTTGGGAATGGAGACAAATGGCACGGTCTTGGTGCCCGTGCGCACGTGAGGCGTGTCGACATTTGCGCATTGATGCACCAAGGTACTTGTTTCCAAGCAGGAAGTACAGATATACTTTATATATACCTTACTATACCTACCTATACCCTTTTTTTAGATTGCAGGCAGAAGGTCAAGCAATCGCCATACTAAGTAGGTAAGTACCTACATACACATAGGTACTGTACTTGTATGTTCCACCGATCTTCTAGAAGACCGCTAACGAGACGTCTGGGTACCTACTTAGAGGTAAGTAAGGCTATCTACTAATACCCTTGCATACTATTTGAGGTACCTGCTCGCGTACAGGTACTTACACATCAAACTTGGTATGCTACACTAGTAGGAATGCGTAAAAAATTGGGTTGTTTCAGATCCCTTTCCTGGATAACCCCCCTTTCATCAATTTGACAGGGAAGTTGCGCCGAGGTACCAGCCTTGCCTACCTACCACTGTATTGCAACCCCTGACCACCAAGGTAAATGATGATCTGGTCTATCTGGTCTACAGAATACATAGATAGGTATTCAAGTTACATCGTGGTTCTCTTGGATTACCGTGATCTATCTGTTTGTACTAGGTATGTGAACAGCGAACTGCCTACATGGCATACCATATCTAGGTCGACACGGGGCCCATATGCGTAAGACTCGAGCTGTCACCAATGTTCCCCCATCGCCAAGCTTCGCACTCATTTGATACTCGAGCTCATTGGCAACAGAGCGCAGTACCTGACTTAGAAGGGCCTGGACACAATACCTTTGTAAGTTGACAAGGATAGACTGCTAGGGTAAACGTGCAAAGGGGACCTCTTCATCCGACACTCCACTGCACCTAGGTACGTTACAAGAGCCACTGGTACCTTGCTTCTATCTAATTCTATCTAATTATGTAAGTCGACGAGCATGATATGGTATCTAGTAGCAGCGGACAAAGTCTTTTTTTCATCTCCTGAATGTTCGTAGAAATCACTGAAGTTGGTCCTCTATGAAAACGGGCGACTTGGTCTAGCTTGTTAACCACATAGCCATCCGGCTAGAGCTACACCAAATTCTAGATGAAAATATGCGTATAAGCATACTCGAATGGTCCAAAAATCAGAGTCGTCGGTAGATCATCCCAGCGGCCACGAGGTTTTCTCCTCCAGTCCCTTCCTGATTGAGGCATGAGGCCCTCACAGTCGGACACTAAGTAGATAGTTGATGCGAGGCTACTGTACAAAACCATGTGAGTGGCGTATACAGTATACAGCTGTACTTCGCGCAATTCCCAATTCAGGGTCTAATCAAGGTGGTTGGTATGAAAAATTGAACCAGGATTGCTAACTGGATTCCGCTTTGGAGTCGACCTAGCAACCATGTGGCAAAGGAGGGCCCAAGACTCATTACATGGAGACTCTTTGAGCTGCAGCCCCTGCTGATCTCACAGATCATTCCTACGAAGTAGCTTGATGACCGGCGTGATATCAGAACTTACCAGCCCCAGACAGAGCTTGGCTATCAGGGACAAGCTGTCTTTCGGTCAATAAAGAACCAAACCTACCGCAGCGCACCGCGCACTCCATTCCGCCCCAAGAGGAGCTCAAATCCCAGCGATTTGGTAAATTTGGACTTGGCTCATCACGGCAGAAATCCGGTGTGGGTGGCCTCACAGCTCACCGAATGCAGGCTTGGGGTTGGAGCACAGAAGATGGTTTACCGATACCCACGGCTAAGTTACATGTACATACGGGGCTTAATGTTGGCATAAAATGCATACCATGGTGCCAGGTACATGGGATATGAACAATCACGCAAATATACATTGTCATTAATCATGCATAAGTCGATATCCAATTTCCCATTGAAATTATTTGTCATTGAGTCGCCGTTTCATGCAGGGCTTATACACGAAATAAGCCATAATGGAAGAAGTTGAGAGATACCTACAAAAGCCCAACATAAAAAGATAGATTTCTATGTCTTTCTATTACATTTAAAGCCTCAGGTCACTTGTGATATATTATAGCTTCTCCTCTATTAGCTCATGCTATCCAAATATTGAGAAGAAGAAAAAGGCAGTGAGCTTTCTTTTGAGAGCTGAGACATGTGTACAGTTGAGCCTCAACTGTTCACAGCGCCATGTCTTTGCTCTAGTGTACTTGCTCTAGTAGCTTTCCCTCCCTCCGTTTTAACCTACCTACTCAAGCAGTTTCAATAGCAATACAACCACATTCCTCAGCTTATGATACCCAATTGACCAAGGATAAACATTTCCACCTCCTTGGGTGCAGTGGATTCCGCCTCCTGCGGCTCCACCGTTTTCCAGAACGTTGGGTCAGTCAGTGAGCCTGTCTTGGAGGCAAGGGCTTGGTTGCCTCTCTCCATGTATGTCACTGGCTGAAAGCTTACTGAGTACTTACATCATGGTACAGGCTTTCAGGCGAGGAAGACAAAACAGGGTTATTTGCCGATTGTCGACGATCGATGGAACGTTGGAGACGATTCTGCTGAGCTGATGGATCACCTAAGTAGTTGTCGCTGGACTCTCCTAGAATGCAATTACACATACATCTCCGTACTAGCAGTCTACTGTAAGTAGCATCGGAAACTGTACAAAGTATGTCAGGGACTACGGTGGAGTCATATCAAACTACGGCTCGACTCCGGAATGGCACTCTTTTAGCTAGACCCACTCATAAGAATTCCAGAATGTTTCCCCATCTGTCAGATTCTCCCGGTCAAATGGCAGTCCGGGCTGATTGATTACATGGAACAATAAGACAGGGTGAAGAAGCGAGCATAGTAGACGCTACCCACGGCTATAAGCAAATCGTTACATTTTTGAAGACCTAATTGTGAGTGTTATTTGTACTCTTCTCGCAAGTGAAGTGTGTAAGTATTGAACACCACGATGTATGAAACATTGATAAAATATTTTGAACCCTTGTCATAGCCAAGCTGTCTGACGGCTGGCTCACCCGGCAAGGAAACTAGTGCAAACGAGCCTGCACTAAGTACACTACAAGGGTACACCAGAGTTATCCTTGCTAGTGTAGTGTGAGGCTTGATCTCACGTTCCGGGGAGAGTTTCCGTCTGACACTTGCTCTGAATTTTACGGTATCTCGAGCTGTCTACAGATAGAAAATTTTTCCTGTCTCATATCCGGATAGCGAAATCTTTTCTCGCGCTTAGACCAGATGGATTCTTTACCTTGTTTGTCCCTTATCAAGCTGAATTACGCATCGATCATCCTCATATTCGGTACATAGACCACTCAGTTACCCAGCACTGGGAAGCATCATGTAAGCTGTCACAATACGCACGTCCCCAAAGGCGCCACCGAGTCGTCGCTGGACCCGCACGCCGCGCCGTAAGGATAATAGCATTGCACATTATCGCAAATCATTCAGTAGACTGTCTGAGTCAGAATCAAGACTTTAAAATGCTCTGACTGAATCAACTCGATAATACATAGTACACCCACCAACCAATCTCCATCTAGCATGGCGTTCCGGCTTCCTCCGGAAGCGTCCAGGCGACCCGGCCGCTCGGCGCAATAGCTCGGACATCATCTCATGGGTATTACGATTAAACCACCACTCGCACACAAACTCTTTATCACTGTGTGGTCTCCCGCACCAACTTCCCGATCGACTAGGACAGATTGCCGTTTATTGTAGGTCCACATGTACTACTTGTAGGTATGATTTATTATATTGAGGTCGGAGCCATCTGTCGTATCTCTTTGCTTAGAACCTCAGCGTACTCTACTGGAATTAAGTTTTAATACATAGATACATCGCGACCTAGCGACGCCACATGGCAAATCTAGATTCTACCTAATCGCAGATCAGGTGTGAAGCAACTCATCATGTGCAATATCATTCAGGTTTCATACATCGAGATCTGGGCTAACAGGAAATTCATCGCAGTAACTAGTAACTACTTCAGCTGATTCTGATTCCGATTCCTGGCCGTACAGGAAGCAAGTAGGTATTACAATTGTCTCGGATGTACTGCTGAGACTATATCAATATGTACGATTGCTCAACTACAAACATTTTATATGCCACAGAAACTCGATAGCCAAACGCAGTATCGTTGAAAACAACCGAAATAATCCTCATATCAGTGACAAGAATTTGATACGTTCACAGCATGCGTAGATGAAATATGCACCTTCAGATCCTTTCAATATAAGTGACGTTCACATTCGCCGTGGGCCAGTAACTCTGCCCAAGCGAAAGGAACTAGGATTGATGCTGGCCAGTATCTGCAGAGCGGCGTGTTGCTTGCTTAAAGTACGCCACGTCAGTGAAGCCAAAGCGGAGTAAATAACGTAGTTTCGAATGAGCCACATGAACCTCAATTTGCTTGCATCTAGCTAGAGAGTCATCACCCGTGTAACTTCACGTAAACGAGCCCAAATCACTTCGTGCTTGTTTTTGTAATTACAGGTCTCGACCTATATACCACAAATTTTGATAAACTTGGAATGTTCACTACTACTTTCTCCTAATATCAATCAGTAGCAAGTCGGCTTATATATATGATCTAGTCTACGATGATATTTAATGGTCTTGCGTACTTACATATATCTGTAGCCTGTCATGGCCACAAAGCTTTCTATGCCCAATGTTAGAATCTAGCCAGATATTCACTGTCTTAGAAAATCGTGGTGTTCACTAGAAGACACATAAGGCCACGGCCTTTGTATAGAAAAAAAAATTCACTTCGAAGAATTGCCAGATATTCTTGCCGGGAGTCAAAGGTAAAATAAGAAATAAAAGATCGTGTGGTGGGACTCAATACCGGTATGCTCCAATCCCCCACTATTTTACAACATGTCCGGTGTATACTGGAAAACATCGGAGGTATATATTCATAACAACTGGAGAAATGAGATCCGCTTATCACCATTTTGAAACTTAAACGCCAACTTCATGGAAGCACTCATTTGCTTTGATATAATTGAAATTGAAAACTAGGGTTGAGATTGATGCTATTCGCAGTATATCGTCTCTCATGCTCAGCGAGGGCTATCCGTTATATTCAAAGTTCTTTTTTGCTATCTTAAAAAGATCTTGTAGCTTAGATACAATTGAACGTGCGTATCTAGCCCCCGAAGTCCGCCTACATGTTCCATGTAAGTGACGACTGAATAGCCTCGCTTTTAATACAGCTGGAACTTCCTGAGAGCTTTAATGTCTGCAGAATAGACGGGTACAAGGCGTTCAGTGTGTCCAACACACGGTGCAATAGAATTTGGAGCTTCTTTTGACTTCTGAAATCAATATGTTCTCTTACGTTGCTTACTGCTGAATCTCTTGGTTCTGGTTGAAGAGTATACTTGACCCTTCTCCCCCCCTCTCCGTTTCGCCCTTTCTTCTAGCCGAAAAAGATATTGGGACAAGCAGGATAGTGGAAGGAGACACGGCTTTTACTTCATGTGACTAGACCCTGTGAATAATCAGTCAGATTTTGTGTTGCTCTCTCGGCTGTGTAGTTATTCATACCTATCTGCAAAACGAGACGTAGAGTTGAGCCACTAGACCCACATACGCCACATCTGATACCCGCATAGCCCCGCAAAGATAGAGCAACCTGCAACGTCAGCGGCAACCCCACACCCGCCTCCATCACCTTCATCACCACCGGCCTTACCTGGCTTACGTACCCGTATCTAGAGGCAACACAGCTTAGAGCTCGGCTACAATTAGTTCGCATCTAGATCTAGTTCCCAACCAATTGACCTGACACCTCTCCTATCGCGGCATCAAACCAAAACACCGCTGCTAGAGCATTTGATCGTCTCCAGTTTCGAATATATTGGGCCTCCCGCCTAGCCTGCCGTCGGCTTGCATCGACCCCAACCCGACCTCCTCTCACATCCTTTACCGCCTTCCTTGACGTACGAGCACGGACACGAGTGGCCACCAACCTCGTCTATAATAACAACACTATGTCTGTAATCCAGCAGCACACATCATCGTCGCTTAGTGACGCCTGGCGCACCATCAACATCGATGCGCTAGACCCAGACTCCTCACAGAACTTCGACACCGAGACACTACACCCACCACTACCCGAGGCCAGCGAGGCCGACGTGCGGGGACTCAACGGCCAGGTCCGCCAGTTGCTACGGGGCGGCGATGCTGAGGGCGCACTACGCGGATGCTTAGAGAACCCCATCTACAACGGGAGTGAGGTGGCAAAGGTACGTTTGGCCTTTCTCGGCGTGCTAGCATGGAGAATGCAACAGTGGAAGAGCGGTGAGCGGACGGTTATAAATAAATGCATATTAAGGGTGGCGTGGCAGGAGCGGTGTACTTGAGAGACACTGAGACGATTGGATCGCCCTGGAAGCAGGCTTAGAGGATGGCGTTGATGACATTAGGGAACCCTATAAGCATGCTGACGATGTAATACAGGACGCACACCTCCAGACCGTCATTGAAGTTCTGCAATCCATCAAGGCGAGCGAGATGACACCGATGTTGCAGCGGATTTACGAGTCAGAGGGTGGCAGTGAACTGATCGATGTATTGATGAAGTACCTGTAAGTCTATCTGCAAAATTTTATCCCGCTTTGCAGCTGCATAGTTATACAACGCACACCTGCTCACCCAATGGATCAGATACAAAGGTATGGCGGGTGGTAGTGCGTCGAGCGGAGGTCCTCGAACACCTACACGAAACCTCACACCCCAGGCCACAGGGTTCAGTCAGATCGGAAGTAGACCAGGTTCAACAAATGAGTCCACTGGTGCGGGTATGAGCGTGCTGCTGAGCTGGCACGAGAAAGTCGTTGACGTTGCGGGACTGGGATCGATACAGCGTTGCATGACCGACTGGCGCAAGGTATGAAGTATTCAATCTCGTTCGATATTGACGCGCTTCGAGACATGATCGTCGTAATACGGCACCACCGCACATCCATCGCCCTCTTTAGTACACTGAATTGTAAGGGTACCTCGAGCTACCGTCGATAATGCAAAATCATGTCGAAGATGAACAGAAGCAAGAGAACAGAATAGAGACGTGACCCCAGTGGATAATACAGCAAGCTTGTGGTTATCATTATCTGAGAAGCTTCTCTGTAGATGATATTAATATGCCTGGCTCGTCCACCAGGGCGCACAACGGTTTCAGGGACCTTACGTAGCGTTGACATTGCTGTAGTTATCTTGCCCGAAACACTCAAGTACCGCCTTTAGTTGCATTGTACCACCTAGAAACATACTTGTTTTTGGATGCTACTATCACGTAAATCTTATTTACTTCATGCATTGCGTTCAGTATCAACTTCCATAAGTGGGATGAGAATCTGCAGGTAGAGAAAAATTACATACTAGATAACATTCAATGTCAATGCTCACTATCATTTGTACTTGTATATCCAACACCACCTCTAGCTTCATAGCATATCGCATAGCCCAAGTTTTCAAATCCTCTTCACTTCATCCTTAAGTTTTCTGATATCGAATGTATAGTGGTACATTCGCCCACTTCTCATCGCGCTCTCGACAATGGAAGTATATTGTTATAGATTATTCTTGCATTGGCGGCTATTCCTGGCCCGAGATAAAAGAGGTTCACCGAAGGTGATAGCGTCTGTACAAACTGTTGGAAGAAGGCGTTCGAGCCTTCGTTGGAGCTTCTATGTTCGTCATTGGAACTGAAACATGAGCTTCGGACAATCTCCTGGAGTAATATGGCCCTGTACTTGCGGTGGTTGTTCTTTACGGCACCTACCCTTGACGAGGGAACTTAATATACCACCCATCTGAATTTCTTAAGAAGTAACGGATTTCTTCCTTGGCGTTATGTACTGGTGGTGATTCCTTGCATAAAAGGAGTATGTTTACCTCGATTAGGCACTCAATGGCATAGAATTTATGATTTCCTTATTGAATAACAGTGGTCGTAATTTGATTGAATTTTTCTACTTTTCCTCCCCAAGCATATATACCAGGGGAGGCGAGCCTATATTTTTGTATGAGGTTTGTATATATGTACATGGAATGCACAGCTAGGGCATGGTATATCCCTGGATGGATGCGATTGCGAATTTGATAGTACATCTACTTGTTTTCCAGTATATCTTTCAAGCTGATCTCGCCGCTTCCGCGAGGCAGTGGCTGGGCTTGGTCTTTTGATTCTTTCCATCCGATCATATGAATCATGCGAAATGTTGCTGGCAATGTCCCATCTTCATTACCATGGAGCTCACGGTAAATTGCATCCGCAGCTAATAGCACATCTCTCTGGATGGGTCCCATCTCCCGGCCTAGAACGGCGTTATTCTCGCCCATTGCTTGCAGATCCGTCATGAGGGCAAAGCTGTCAGGATAATCAACGATGATGTCCTCCACATCAACCGTCAACATCTTGAAGCCAGCTTTGCCAAGCAACCCGCCAACATCGCGTACGTCAGCCAGCGGCGAGACATGAGGCGAGATGCCGCCTCGCCTCTCCTGGTCGGCTAACTGCAGTGAAGTTCGAAGTTCGTAGAGCGTATCCCCCCCGAACATGGCGCCGATGAAGGCGCAATCCGGCTTCAGAACGTTGTTGATTTGCGCAAGCACGCCCGGTAAGTCATTGATCCAATGCATGCTCAGGGAGCTCAGAACTAGATCAAAAGAGTTGGCGTCGTAGGGAAGAGTCTCCTCATCCGTAAGAACCTGCCTTGTGATATTTATCTGTTTGTTGAAGTCAAGGTCGGCATCGCGGTAAAGCATGCTCTCGGAGGAATCAGCAGCTAGCAGATGGCCGATTTTGATCGCAATTGGCTCTGAAACGGGCATTTCTGGGTTCGGGTCGGGGTTTTCGCGCGTTAGAGCCCGGGCGATGTTGCACGAGTTGGCACCGAAATCGAGTACTCGAGGATATTCGCGTTTGATATCCTTACGAGTGCACCTTAGCTTGAAGTGTGCACTATACGAACCGGCCATAGACCACAACTCACCAGCAATCGCTCGCATACGCGCATCGCGACTTCGTCTTTCAGATAATCGGCGATCCGGCTGTTCTCGACATCCTGAGAAGCACGTTCCTTCTGTAGCCATTTCGTGCGCCGGTTGAAGACCTTGTGGATAGGCGGGGCCGCGGCTTGAAAGGCGTACGACCGGCGCGCCGACAACGCAATGGACGGTGGTAGTATGGAATTAGAGATGTGGTGGCATCTTTGGAGCGTTCGGCGAGCCGTGAAATTCATCCTCCTAGCCGTCGTGGATGGATGATTGTTACATAATGATCAAACTGGTCTCAGACAGGTGAAGCTTTTAGGAGCTAGATATCGTAGTGTAGTCGTACCTAGTGTAGTGACGTCGGGAGATACCCCCTGTCGCACGAAGACCCCTGGGCAGGTATGATAACTCCCTCCAGCTACCTAATCTACCTAGGTATATTAACTTAGTGGCTTTTCTGTTCTGTAACGTTTCTAAGACACTCGCTCATTGGGTTAGGTATCTAGGTAGACTATTATGTGAATAACTACCTATAGATCCAATACCCAGTACACTTCGATTCTTATACCTGATGGACATTAGAAATATAAGAATATGCTAACTTACTTATATAAATCCCTATAAAGGTAAGTAAGTACCTACCCCCGTACCACTTAATCAAGATTATTAGGCGCTGCTGAGGAAAGTAGATATCTAGGTACCCACTTACCTCTTACTTGAATGTTGAGGTAGAAGGTAGGTAGGGCAAATTAGGCGCTCGGCACTCCGCACAGTAAGACAAGCTGTCTGACACACGGAGAGTAACCAATTCAATCTTGCCCCCTTTGCCCTGTGGCTCCCGACCCCAGACAGTATCCAGACAACTTGAAGAAGACCAGGCCAGGTATTGATCCCTATCCACAGCAACCCCCAATAAGTGTCTACACTAGTTCGAATCTCCTGGTGAGCATTGTCGTGCCCCCGGACTTTGCGAATACCCAACTGCGATCCCCGAATCTACCAGCCCGATTCCTGCACCACAAGAAGCAAATCGGTTTCTGGTTGCTGAAGACGACTCTTGCCCCAGACTCCGTTGCGACGTCCGGCCCCCCATTCTACGAACGAAACGAGTTGCTCCGCGGGCATCGCCTCGATCATGTTGATGGACTGATTTGGCCTACCATGAGAGCCGCAAGTTCGAGCGCGCTTTCTGGACTTCTCGGGATTGGACGATACAGACTCTTGTAACCCTTTTTACGACTACTACAGGTATATATCACATTTGGAGTGGCCGCTCGTTGGTTGGTGAGCGTGAACGTGGGATATAAACCCGGCCCTTCCATCGACTCTGTCGCATACGGATACACATACGCGTACATTCTATTATACCTTTACCATGGCTTCGTCAGCGGCAGCCGGCTTTCTCGGCCGGTCGAGTAATAATAACTCCAACATGCGCGGTCTTGTCCAATTCATCGCTGATCTTCGAAATGCGCGGGCAAGAGATTTGGAGGAAAAGAGAATCAATAAAGAACTGGCAAATATTCGGTTTGTGCTGAGACCCGACTCTACGACCAGAGACTTTAGGTTACTAACATATCACTTCCACATGTAGCCAAAAGTTCAAGGGTATGTTCAAGCCATAGTCTACGTACGTTCTTGATGCACCAAATGCGCATGCTAACTTGCGGCGTCTAGATGGCAATTTGAGTGGCTATCATAAGAAGAAGTATGTTTGCAAGGTATTTCTGCCCTTGGCTCGACAGCGGCGCTCTTGTTCTGACCCAATTAGCTCTTGTATATTTACATTCTGGGCTGGAATGTCGACTTTGGACACCTCGAGGCGGTGAATCTCATCTCGGCAACCAAGTATTCCGAGAAACAGATAGGGTATTTGGCGATGACGTTATTTCTACATGAGAAGCATGAGCTGCTGCATCTAGTTGTCAATAGCATACGAAAGGACCTCTTGGACCACAACGAACTGTTTAATTGTCTCGCTTTACATGCGATTGCAAATGTGGGAGGCAGGGAGATGGGAGAAGCCTTGAGCGGCGAAGTCCATCGACTTTTAATATCGCCGTACGTCGTTTTCTCTCGCCTTGCTAGTCACCGACTAACGAGTATCATAGCACGTCAAAAGCCTTTGTCAAGAAAAAAGCCGCGCTCACTCTTCTTCGGCTCTACCGAAAACACCCAGACATAATCCAGCCCCAGTGGGCGGAGCGCATAATATCATTGATGGACGATGTTGATCTGGGTGTAGCCCTGTCAGTGACGTCCTTGGTGATGGCTGTCGCACAAGACAACCCTGACCAATACAAGGGCGCATACGTCAAAGCAGCCTCGCGTTTGAAGCGAATAGTCGTCGATGGTGACCACACGAGTGATTACCTGTACTACAAGGTTCCCTGTCCCTGGATCCAGGTGAAAATGCTTCGTCTACTACAATACTTTTCGCCCTCAGGTAGGTACTCTCTCTCGGTGTTTCAATGAGAACTGCTAACACGAAGTTCAGAGGATAGCCATGTCCGTGAGATGATAAGAGAGTCTCTACAAAAGATACTGAATTTGGCTATGGAGTCAAACAAGAACGTGCAGCAGAATAACGCTCAGAATGCCGTCTTATTTGAGGCGATCAACCTGATCATTCACCTAGATACAGAACAGGCGCTGATGAAGCAAATATCCTCTCGACTAGGCCGTTTCATAACTTCACGGGAGACGAATGTTCGGTATCTTGGTCTCGAAGCTATGACGCATCTTGCCGCTCGCGCTGAAAACCTGGGGCCTATCAAACAACACCAAGAGGTTATTCTGGGCTCCCTGAAAGACAGGGATATCAGCGTTCGTAGAAAGGGACTCGACTTGCTATATAGTATGTGCGACTCGACTAACTCTGGACCGATTGTAGCGGAGCTACTCCAGTATCTCCAAAATGCGGATTTTGCTATTCGTGAGGAGATGGCACTAAAAATTGCGATTCTTACCGAAAAATACGCGACCGATATTCAGTGGTATATCAATGTTTCACTACGGCTCGTAGCTGTTGCAGGCGACCATTTGAGTGATGAGGTCTGGCAGCGTGTCATTCAGATCGTAACCAACAATGAGGAGCTACAGGTGTACGCGGCACAAAATACCTTGCAACATGTCAAGCAAGACCATTGTCATGAAACGCTGGTAAAAATTGGTGCCTATATTTTGGGCGAGTTTGGTCACCTGATCGCAGAGGAGAAAGGTTGTAGCCCAATCGAACAATTCATGGCCTTGTCTGGAAAGCTATCTGCCTGCTCCTCTGGCACGCGCGCTATGATTTTGTCGTCATTCATCAAGTTTGTTAATCTTTTCCCCGAAATCAAACCGCAACTCCTTCATATTTTTGAGATCTATTCCCACACCTTGGATTCTGAGCTCCAGCAGCGAGCGTGCGAGTACTTAACTCTAGCAAGTCTTCCGACTGACGATCTCCTGCGAACCGTTTGTGACGAGATGCCCCCCTTCCCCGAACGGCAGTCGGCATTATTGTCCAGACTTCATTCAAAGCACGCTGGTACAAGCGATAAGCGGACCTGGGTAGTAGGTGGCAAGGACGCTAATGTTGATGGCTCAGAGTTGAATATGGCTAAACAACCAGCGCTCAAGAGAGCTTTTAGCTCCAATATGACAGTAAACGGTGATGGCGCTGCCAATGGGGCTACAAATGGTACCAACGGACACTCAACCGATCTTGCTGGGCTGGATATGAACGCGGGGCCAGCGGCTGAAAAGCTTCTGAAGGCACCTAATTTGGCCAGTGCTGCTCACTTATCTCCTGGCTGGGAACCTGGGTACAACAAACTCCTTCTCAAAGCTGATGGTATCCTCTTCGAGGATGGACAGCTCCAGGTTGGCGTCAGGTCAGAATATCGAGGCCAAATGGCGTGCCTCATTCTTTATTTCCTCAATAAAACACCTACCACCATTAGCTCGTTTACGACGACGCTAGATCTGGATGATAGCGAGAGAGCTAACTTAACTTGGGATGTTAAGAGCTTGCCTGATAGCACCATACCTCAAGGAGGGCAAGCTAGGCAGGTCATCATGTTTGAGTCCAAGAAGGTTTTTAGCAAGAGTCCGACTGTCAGAATCAGTTACCTTGCGGGAGCTCTACAGGCGCTCACACTGAAACTACCCCTGACAGCACACAAATTTATGGACCCTGCTGAGCTGTCATCTGATGATTTCTTCAAGAGATGGAAGCAGATTGGCGGTGCGCCTCGGGAAGCTCAGGCTATTATTGGACTTGTGAGTGGAAAGGAAGCAACTCGAGAGATCCACGAGGTATTCGTTCGCAAGGTAATTGAAGGGTTCCGATGGGGGATACTGTCAGGAGTCGATCCAAATACGAAGAACTTCGTTGGCGCCAGCGTTCTACACACTTCCGAAGGTGGTAAGTTCGGCTGCTTGCTACGGTTAGAGCCGAACTACGGGTCCCAGGTATGTCTTGTACCCAGGAATCAGCCAGTATGTGCTTGCTAACCGATCACAGATGGTCCGGCTCACTATTAGGGCTACAGATGAGAGCGTGCCTGCTGTGCTACTCAAATTGATGGAGCAAAGGATATCGGCGGGTGTCTCAAAGCCATCCTTGGCCCATGAAGGGCCCACACGTCAAGAAATCACGGATGCCTTTAGTAATGTGTTGGTGACATAGGTCCCATGGTAGTTTGAACATAAAATACCCAGTGTACAAACGAACGAACATTGTTGATAATGCAGCCTAGGAATGAATGGGAGTTGATGTGATAGTAATCCAAATAAAGTAATTTGGCTGGCATGATGTATCCTTGCTGAAAACATGTAGGTCGTGGTCAAATACGTGAGCCAACATTACTTACAAACGACAGGTATTCAATGGATTCAAGCACCAGCTTGGCCCTATCATCTTGAGGCTTACAGCTTGGCTGGCTTGGGGAGAGGAAGTGCCCTGCGTGGCTTCCCTTGCCTGCATGTGATAACTCATTTAACTGCAAGCAAGTTAGACATCTGTACACAAGGCAGCTGCTGACATTCTGCCCAGATCAACACGCCTACGGGTGGGAGGTAGGTGTGATGTGCGAGTCGAGTCGGATCTATAGTAGAGTGGTCACCGGCATTGAAGTCAGGTCCAGCCTTAGGATAACATATTGACCCATAGGTACATCATGTGCCTTGCTATGCCTTGCTCGCTTCTAGGTACCTCAATGCGTGCATATAGATTGATTAAGTGACTGCCAAAGGTACCTACACATGACATTGTTTGTTGTTCACCATGCCACTCTCACTGTCAGAATATCCACGCAACCTAGCTGCATTCCACACACAATACACCATACGCAGCTATCTATTTCCTCGCTCCTACGAAATGTGGTAATGCACATTCTTTTTATCATTTCTCCATCAACGTAGACGGCCACGATATGGCAGCCTCCCTCAGGCCAACAGCCCATTCATCAGCTAAGGACCGCAGCCAGGATTTGGACGTCAACTTTCAAGATAACATTCGACCATCACCACAAGTTTTGATTACGCCTGCCTCCTCGAGAGAAGAGTCCTTAAAGTCAGAATCTCCGCTACAATCTCCGTCTCGACGCGTCCTCTTCTCCTACCGTCATGTATTTTTTATCTTCAGAAAATCCGCAGCATCATTATCGTCCCTGGTCCTACAGAAAAACGCTCCTGAACTCAAGGCCAAGTCCGCTACCATGGCGACTACTCAGCCCAAATCTATTATGTCCCTGAAGTTTGATCGCTTGAAGGACAAGTGGCGTGGTAGGTCTCTTACTTGTACTCAGGCAATCACACCCGGCGCTAATACAATCATTGTGGTAATTAGACTTCGAGAGAAGGTCCTCCCCTAGAGGATGTCGTTGCGCCGGCTACATTTTCCTTGTCATCATGCTTCTTATTCTTGCTTCTGTCATAGGTCAGTGTTTATTAGCATCATGCAAAAAACCCTACTCAGATATTGATTTTGCCTGCAGTTGGTTGGTATGGCTTGTCGAAGGACACATTGGCCCACCTGCATCAAACAGTCACCACCGATCTTCCTCAAACAACGCCCACGGTCGTAGACTATCACGATTCCTACTGGCCGACTCAGACTCCAACGCAAGGACCATGGTACCTATTCCATGAGGGTATATATTTTCTTCGCTTCTTTTCCCTCTATCGCAATTGTGTGCCTATGTATATGTTTACTAGCTAACACACCACTTAAGGTGTTACAATAGCCCCTACTGTACCTCCAGCTCATCATGTCGCGGCAGAACTGGACCCGAAGACATCCTTTGATGAAACCAACAAAGTGACTGTCGTAAGGACTATAATTATTACTGTCACAAGTATCATCACAGACACATCGCTGAAGACCTTGACGACCACTGTAATTCTATCTACTTGTACGACATGTATTACAACACCTACGGTCGATGCAAGTACCGACACCAAAGACTCACAGAAACATACGACCGGTATCATGACTGGCATCATGTACTGCTCGTTCACGGGGCGTCGAAATATCTATACCCTATGTCCACTTGTACACACCGATTCCCCGGGCATGCTAACGGGGGCACCACTTGTGGTCTCCTCCGCGACGCCAATGGTCACGAACCCGTTTAGCGCGGTCCGACTAGCCGCCGTGTCACTCTGGAACTCAATTCCTAGCCTATCGAGAGTGATGCAGACGAAGGATCAACAAAGATATGATTGCGAGTGTGCCGGGATGAGAAAGAAGCTGGATGCGGCTGTGAAGCTCATACGCATTCAGCAGAAGCTCCTCGATAGCCAGCGGATCCTGATCAACGACCACAGAAAGGGTCTCTCAATGGTCTTGGAGACGGTGGCGAACATGACGGCTGTGAAGGTCGGCAAGAAGACCTCCAGGGATACGCCACCTCTGAATCTAAATATTTGACTTTTGAACCTCAGCCTGGCTGATCGACGTAGCGAGGCTCATCAGTGTTTGTATGGAGTGTACACAAAGGCCCAGTTTGGATTGAAAAATTTGGCTGAGTGTAAAGCAGAAGATGACTGGGCTGATAGTTGTGCTGGATAAGAGTTGGAACCGTCAGACACTCATACGCCAACACCACCAGCTAGCAGATGTGAGGTATTTTACATTTTGCCCTGGTCGGTATGTCCAAGTATGAGTCGACTGAGTTTTGAAACCTCTGGGATTCACATGGTATGGTCACTCTAGCCTGTAGTCATAGACGAGTCTATTGGACTCATTCTGTATAGACATAGGGTTGTGACACTCAACTCTACCTACAGATGGTGGTAGAGGTGGGTTGACCAAGAGTCTTATTGTGAGTCTCATATTGAGCAACTAAGCTGGAGTGTAGCAGATTTAGGTATCTGTCAAAAAAATCTTTTTTCTCAGTGACCTCTTTATTTTTTATGAAGCGCTATGAAGACATCTCTCCTTTTCGCTGTATAATACAGTGCAGTGAGGTACTAAACACTGTAGCGCACATTAGGCCCTGCAAAGTGTCCGACCTAGATAGCTCTCTGGGCACAGTGAAGTCTCCGCTCTCAAACACCATGATATCCAGACAGACAACGCAGGTTGGATGGTTATTAATACGTCGAATTTCTTGATGGCACAACGATGACAGACGTCGAAGACATGAAAGTTGACCCCACAAGAGCTGCTGCGCTCGCCTCGCAGATCAAGGGCGTCAGCGAGCGTATTGCTGCGGTTGGCAAGGGCCGTAATGTGAGTTGGGCCTTTCACACACAGACCCATGCCTGCTCCATGCCTCTCTTTCTCTCAACCCCTTCTTCACGATTATCGCATCTCGAAGGGAGGGGGCTTCATTTCACTGGGCTCGCTCCGTTCAACGTTCTCAAGGGCCATCGAGTATATACTGAAACGTAGCATTAGGTCCGCCTGGTCGCTGTTTCAAAGTTGAAGCCCGCAAACGACATCTTAGCTCTCGTCCAGCCGCAGGAATCGGGCCTTGAGCCCCAGCTGCACTTTGGCGAGAACTATGCACAGGAGCTGGCTCAAAAGGCCGAGTTGCTTCCGAGGAACATTCATTGGCATTTCATTGGCGGCCTTCAGTCTGGTGAGTATAAAATAATCGAAATATGCCCATACTATCACCGGCTTTAAGCTACGAGTTCAGCCTTTTCTTTGCCTGGAACCTATGCATGTGCGAGTACTATTTCTAGAAAATCTTGAAGATACTAGGGATGGATGTCTGAGTCCTGATTCCTGAATGACAGCAATTTCCCACCCAGGAATTTCCTGCCTACGTACTAATCAGATTCGCAGGCCACTGCAAGAATCTCGCCAAGATTCCTAACCTCTGGTGCGTTTCAAGCGTAGACACATTGAAAAAGGCGCAGCTACTCGACCGGTACCGCGGAGAATTCATAACTGCATTCTCTTCTTCATCCACCGAGTCCCCTGCACCCCAAAAGCTCAACATCCACGTCCAAGTCAACACCTCAGGAGAAGATTCCAAGTCCGGGTGTGCTCCCGGTGCTGAGACCGTAGAATTATGCCGCGCTGTCGAGGCCGCGCCCAACTTGCATCTCCTCGGTCTAATGACGATCGGCGCCATCGCGCGCTCCGTGGCTACGACGCCGGAGAACGAGAACGAGGATTTCGTCGTGCTGAGGGAGCAGAGGGATCTAGTGTTCAGAGAGCTTGGGCTGGGACATGACAGGAAGTTGGAGCTTAGTATGGGCATGAGCGAGGATTTCGAGGGCGCTATTACTATGGGTAGCGATGAGGTGAGGGTTGGTAGCACGATCTTTGGCACGCGGCCTAGTAAGGCCGAAGCCAAAATTAAGGAGTAGGTGAATAGAAAAAGACTGATATTGAACATCATAAGAATCGTCATAGAACGCATAGTCCTTGTGCATAGTGACCAAATGCAACACGGACAGCCCAGTCCACCAAATATAGCTGTGTCCCCCTTGAATGAATCGGATTGTAGATCGTTCATTCGTAGTCAAATTACTACTAACATGACAATGGTATCTGCCGCTCGCTTTAAACAAGTCGTGATATCTATCCCACGCGTCTGCTGCTATTCAAGGATATCCCTAGACCGGAATTGGTTATATGAAGAGGTCCTTTCTCTTTTCCTTTGAGCTTCCCGTTAAACGCCAAGGCCTATTATTCCTGAGCAACAACAGGCACGACCACATTCTTCCACAGGTCGCGTATCTCTTCATTGGGGCTGAGAGCCCATTCCTTTTCGATGACGGCATACTCGTCCCACCAGAGCTTATGTGTGCTCTCGATGCGGTCGTTATTGTAGGTGCGGCTCTTCCAAGGCTTATTGAGGATATAATGTAAGATCTTCACGTCCTCATCTCGCCACAAGGACGCATGACAGTCGCGCATGGGCTTAAGGGCGTTATACGAGTAGGGTAGCGGCTTCCACTTGCCCCGGTAGACGATAGCGAGTAGATCCTGATCGAAGAATAACATGTTAGGTACGTCGGGGTGTGTGTTCATGGCGTCGATCAAGGCATTATATTGCTGCATAGAGGGCCGCAACACGACCGTACCGCTGTTAAGTAGATGGTGGTTGTTGGGACTCGACTCTGTGATAGGTGCTGGTTCGCCTGTGGTTTGGTTTGCCGCGGTGAAGGCGCAGTTCTTGGGTATCCTGTTACAAACGGACTATCAGCTTGTTGTAAAGCTACGGGTGAAGAGATTGTGACTAACCAATCCTTGCTATAATGCGCAAGCTTACGAGGGTTACAAGTGCAAGCGTGAGTGCTTGCGATCCAGCCATCTGGAAGTTCGACTTCCATCATGTAGTCGATATTTTGGAGGATAATCTGGTCGCTATCGAGGAGCACAACGCGCTACACGCCGCAAATACACAATGCGCTATTAGCATCACTATCGAGATATCGCAAGAGTGTGGGTAGGGTACTGGGTTGGCGCATTGTGGACTCCTTTATTGAGGTCTAAACGAATGTGCCGTGTGAAAAGAAGCGCATCACTCATGGCAAACCTACCTCGTACTCGGTGAATGACCACGGCGCCAGCTTCTCCCAAGTCCCGCGGTTCACTTTGCCATCACGCGGGGCGGGCTCGATCTTGTCAACGACAATGGTGGGGATGCCGGCGGCGGCAAAGGCACGCATGTATTCTTCGTCGGCCTCGACATTCCGCGTCACCATGACCTTGAGCTGATACCGACTGCCGGACTTGCGCAGCGAGTGGTTTAGTACCAGCAAGCCACCGAAGTATGCGCGGTTGGTCAGCAGCGTCGTCCATATCTTGGTGGGGTCATACTGCCGTTGCTGCCCCTCGTCGTTCATTGATGTTGTCGTCATCATGGCCGCCGGGGATTGGGGACAGATAGGATATTGGAAAACCAGAGGACTTTCCTGATTTCTGCAAACATCTTGAGGCTCATTTATAACAGCGCCAAGAACAGCAGAGAATAATGTGAAAAGAAAGAGTAATGAGATCATAGAGCTATTTAGACGGGCTTTGAAAGGAGAAGCGACATGCGGTTGGCCAGCTAATTCCGTCATAATTGACGGTTTGGCGAATCTCGCTACCGGTCTAAATGGAGGATGCATACCTACTTAGGTACTTACTTACACACAGCTACCAACTTATTTATATTTGAGGGCATGTGAGTGCTCGCGATTGATATGCCGCGATCTGAGAGTCCGCATCGGCATCTCACCAGTTGACGCCATCGGCTAGCGAGCGTCTTACCCACCACACAACCTACAACGTGCAGATACAACAAGCCGCTTAATAGGTACGAATAGGTAGGCTTACATAGTATGGCGCGAAAAGAAGAGAAGGGAAAAGGCAGAGCGGGAAGACGAGATCGGCCGAGATAGGCCCAACCCCACCTTTGGATCTTACAGTAGGTTTGGGAAGTACCGGTAGCACATTCAGTACCTTGTTTTACAAATGTAATTCTATTTTGTACAGTTATAGCTTGTCAAAGCATTCTCACGAAGTTACATGTGAAACCGAAGGAGAATAGGTACGAAATGTAGGTAAATTCCGGCAGAATCACCTCGGCTAGTGATAAATGAGTAGGTAGTTTTCTTTTATGTCAGTGAAAATAGGTACCTGAGGCAGGGGAGAAAAGAAGATCGAATTCTGGAATCGCGAGGTTAAATCTTGCGTGCATAATGCAGCATAGCCCTCCCGAGCTAGCCGTTAAACTAGATTCTGCTAGTGGCTCCCGATAAGCTCCACCTACAGGGTCTCTATCTATCGATAAACCAATTTATCGTACCTACCTAGGTAATCAGTAAGTAGATAAGTATGGTACAGAGCTGTCAGAGAGCCGAGTTTGTATGGAAGAACCATCCTCACAATATCATCGAGACCTCAACGGCATTTATCTAGAGAAGCGGTGCCAGTTGAGGCCGCCCTCCGAAATCCCCGATCCTCCCTCGCGACATATCGCACTCGAACCCCAATATGGCAGATCCACTGCTAACCTCGCTCTGTACCATTTGTCGCATCCAGCCACCGAAGTACAAATGTCCACGATGTACAGCGAGGACTTGCTCGTTATCTTGTGTCAAGAAACACAAGACGTGGTCCTCGTGTAATGGTGAACGGGATCCTACCACCTTCGTTCCTATCAATAAGCTCAAGACCGACGCTGGAATTGACCATGATTACAACTTCCTTACTAGCATTGAAAGATCTGTGGAACGCGCTGAGCGTATACTACGAGGGGATAGAAACATATTACCCCAAGAGACTTCTCAACCACCCCCACACAAAAAGGCACGCTTCAACAAGGGTCAAAGCCGTGGCAGAACTACCGTCGATGAGGGATCCCGGAATTGGGACAGAAATGTGATACACAGGATGCGTGACCTTCGAATACATGTGTCCTCAGTACCCTATGGCATGACACGCTCCAAGGAAAACCAAACTAGCTGGAATAGAAGGACTAAAACGATCAATTGGCAAGTGGAATGGCTATTCTTCGACAATACTCAATCATCACCCAAACGCATTTTACATAAGACCCTGGATGAGACGGCGCTTCACATTGCCTTCGCTGACGCATTGGAACATGACCGGCAACGACGCCTGACCGATAATGAGAGAGCTGAAGAGAAAAAGCTCCGAAAACAGCTATTGTTTGGACAAAGACCACAAGATACAATGGGCACGTGGCAAGCCTCATCATACCCAGTGCAGAATCAAACCGACAGCTCTTGGCGCAACTCAACAGATATAGACATTACCCATGCATCAAAGAGCAAGTATCGCTTCTTGCTACTTCGGCCAAGGAATCAACCCAAGGCACCTCGAAGACTAGTACCCCTCAATTCATCAGGATGTCTTGCCAGTCTTCTTCCTGGCCAGGAAATTGTTGAATTTCCGACAATCTATGTATCGCCGGCGAGTACTAGCACTTTAGGTGAAGGATATATAATAGAGGAAAGACGTCAGAAGGACCTCCAAAAGAAACGGAAGGCTTCGACACTCATTGATTACGAGTCGGATATGGAATCGTCTGGAGGGGAGGACGGCCAGATCAACGAGCACAATGTTGGTGAAGTAGATAGTTCGGATGATTCTACTAGTAGCTCTGGATCCGACACGGACATGTCTGACTAATCTTAATAATTATACATATAAAGTGCTGAGCTATGGCTGATCAGTTTAATTGTCGAATACCTTAATTGACCTCATAGTTTCGACTGAGGCAGGCTGTAGTGAAATAGTGCTAGTTAGCAATTGCAACATCATCTTCATTACCATAACTCAAAGCACATTTTAGGCACACATTCAAACTGGTACCTGTGTCCGTAGCGAGTTAGCTTGATACGCATACTTGACTATCTCCATACATAGTACGTGGGCTTACAGGTAAAGACATACCTACGATAGTTATAAAGTACCTACCTACCTATTACTACCCATGGGCATTTGGTAGGTTCCCGTGTAAGCACCTAACTGCTAGGTTAGGTACATAGGTAGGTACAGATTCTGCCGGGCGGTGAGATCGAGGCAGTGGCCACGCTAGTCTCGCACGGGTGCCACAATTTGAATGGCTGGTAGCTTTTGCTTTGGATATTTCAGCCTTCCTTCTCCGCCATCAGCTTTTCATCCCACACCACACATCTATCTATATTGCAGCGCATGCATCTCACGACTCTCACCGTCAATTGGTGCTTGCGCCCGCTTCAGCTTTTATAGTGAAGCTATCTATAATTTCTCACCGCATCCGTTTTCTGTATTCTGTTTCTTGCGCTTGAAGCGCACAATAAACTAGCCATGTCCGAATTCCTTGGGTATGTGTGTTGGCGCGTGTTGTAGCCGCTCCTCAGACCGAGGTTACTAATCTGTGTCCCGACATAAGCGCGAGGATATCTTTGATATCGAAGAGTGATATTCGGTAGGCGTCTTCGATCCACGCTACTCTGTTATACCCGCGTTAGCTAACTCCTTCCAAGCTATTCCGGTATTTTACACGAAATAAACAGTGAAGAGTCGACAGTCTCACTTGAAAACGTTAAGTCGTATGGCACCGAAGGACGGCGGGGAAACCCATCGGAAGAGGTGCCTGCTTCGGAGCAGATCTATGAGTACATCGTTTTTCGAGGTAGCGATGTAAAGGATCTTCGTATTGAGGAGGCTCCCAATGCGCCCAAAGAGACCCAACCTCCACCGGTCCCCAATGACCCTGCTATCGTTGGTGTAAGTTATCTCGAACTCTATGCATACCTAGCAAATGACGACCGTCAATCCTTTCATGATGAAACATTTCGGATGTAAACTCAAGTTTACTGAATTGCGCAAACAATACCGTGTTGATATTTCCGTTGCCTTCCTTCTGATCTACACTAGATTGACATGCCGTTCAAGTATTTTTACGTTTCTGCTATTTCAGCTGCTAACCACGAATTCAATTCATAGGCACGCACTCGTCCGGTTGGTGCTGCTCCCCCTGGTCCCCCCGGCCAAGGTCCAGGACCTGCTGGTTATCAACCCCCGTATCCGTCAAATTACTATCCTCCGCCTCCGGGTCAATGGGGACGCGGTGGGCCTGGGCCTGTCCCAGCACCAGGCCAAGGTTTCAATGGAATGACATATCCACCGCCGCCTGGGTGGTTTCCGCCTGGTCAAGGATTTCCTGGTGGCCCCGGCCCTTGGAATAACTTCGGGTACCCGCCTGGGCCCCAAGGGCCACCTGGCACGCCTGGCCAGGGCATGAGAACAACCCCACAACAAGACAATAAGCCTACACCTATCGGTGCTGGTGCCGACAAGCAGAAATCGGTTGGTGGTCCCGCGGTTGAGTTACCTACGGAATCTAAGACATTTGGACAGTCTTCTTCGCAGCCTGTCTCGAAAGATGCAGCGCCTACCCCTCCCGTTGAGTCGAAGCCTACTGCAGCAGAAGTGAAGGCTACCGCGGACTCTCTCTCGACGAACAAGGTCACAGCGAATAACACCGACCCCAAAAGTGTACCGACTGGCCCTAGGAGTAGTCGTATCACGCCTGCTGTACCTAACCCCGCAGCTATTCTATCTAGGTCCGGCCCTCAAGCAATTGCTGCTACTGCATCTGTTAAACCTGCAGTTGAACAATCTAACGCTCCCCCGAGTGCTGCAGCTTTGCGGGATGCTACTCAAGCTGCGAAAGCAGCAGTCGCTGTAGCTATGGCGAAGTTGGATAATCCCAATGCTACTACTGTTGGTAATACTTCGAACACAGCGAACAACGCTATAGATAACCTCACCACGAAAGTGAATGAGATGAGAGTCAACGCGCCGAGAGGTGGTTCGACAAGAGGGCGTGGTCGTGGGGGCCGAGGTGGCGCCCAGTCCAAAATTGAAGTTCCAGATGCCGACTTTGACTTTCAGACAGCTAACGCTAAGTTTAACAAACAAGAACTTGTAAAACAAGCGATCAGCGGCTCACCCGTGGGTGATGTTCCCAACGGTGATGGTCCTGAAACGCCAGAGCCCGAAGATGGCGCTTATAATAAAACCAAATCATTCTTTGACAATATTAGCAGTGAAGCTAAAGACCGAGCAGAGAATGGTGGCCAGAAACCGGGAGGGCGAGAATGGCGTGGAGAAGAGCAGCGCAAGAACATGGAAACTTTTGGCCAAGGAAGCGTCGATGGCGGCTATCGTGGTCCCTACCGCGGTCGGGGCCGGGGTCGAGGACGTGGTAACATGCGTGGCCGTGGTGGATCTCGAGGTCGGGGTGGCTTTAATCAACCAGCCCCCTTACAGTAATCCAACAACCGCCACCCAATTTCGGCCCGTACCAAGTCAAGTCAGTCAGAAATTCAGAATGTTGACGTCCCGGGCTTTCTCGATTTCTGTTTCTAGAGCCTAGGCTGCCGGAAATGCGTTATCCATTGGCTTACAATGCTTCATTGGAGAATAAGACGCATATCATAGTGTCTACCCACAATTCTCGACATCAGTGGGACTGGACTTGCCCTGGGAAAATTCTCCTTCCCGTAAAGTTGTGCAGCTGTAATAGTATGATCGTCGTACAGTTTCGTTTTTATTTTCATGGTCAGGAGTCGGTTCTCGAAGCGAGCGGGTTCTTAATCGCCAACACAGCGGCTCGAACGGTTGAGACAAAAGCTGGTGTAGTGGTTCATGGCTACGGCGTTAGGTATCGTCTCTTCTGGCATGATTTCGGGCACGATGTACGTGCATCTTGAACTGGCTAAGCACAGGCTGGTTCAATCGGAGTAACTATCTTATTGGTGACAGACAGATACACTGAAGGCGACGAATCCAAAGTGCATGAAACGGGCTGATGAGCGACGCAATTCATGTCTCGATGACGGCAAAAGATGAAAACACCAGTGGGCTTGGAATCATAGATACACAAATGCAATGGCTTGCAAACTCAGATGAAGGCCTACCTTCTAGCCATACGATAATACATGATATCTCAAGCCTATATAAAATTTCTTCTTGCACAGTGACATTTGTGAGATTACTATCCTTTCTGTCTAAAACATCTATATCTCGGGGTATATATCACTAAACCTCAATCAGTACCTATTCATCGGTGATTTTACTGTTTTTTTTTTGGTAAAGAAAGGTGTGAAAGGCAAGTTCAAACGGGTACTTACGTTCTCCGGATTAGCGGCATCTTGTCCCTGACACGCCCCCATTCCTCTAGATCAATGTCGACGACACCCAGCTCGCCGATGGCGCCATCCTCGACAGCATCCGCGCTATCTTCGCCATCCCAGTCTGGACGGACTCCCTTCATTTCTAGAACCACGCGACCCCACGGATCGACTACGGTGCTGTGGCCGTATGAGACGCGGGGCTTCTTCTTGCCGCCCTCGAGGGATGAGGAGGAGGAGGAGGAGGAGGAGGCATCGACGTTGTGCGCGCCGACCTGCGCCGCGGCTATGACGTAGCTCTGGGTCTCGATCGCGCGCGCGCGCAGCAGGACTTCCCAGTGCGCGCGGCCCGTCGGGACCGTGAAGGCCGAGGGGTAGAGGAGGATCTGGGCTGGACCATCACCGTCGCCCGCGCCTTTGCCTTTGTGGGATTGCGTGAGGTGCAGCGCTGGCTCCGGGAAGCGCAGGTCGAAGCAGATCAGACTGCCCAGACGGCCGATGGGCGACGGGATCGGCGCGATGAGATCTGCGCCGGCCTGCGTGCTGGCTGATTCGCGCAGGGTCGCGTAGTCGAAGAGGTGGAGCTTGTCGTAGGACCCTGCCGGGTGGATGGTCCCGTTGGGCGTGATGTAGATTGTGCGGTTGTAGAGCTTTGTTGTTGTGTCTGTTGTCTTCTCTTCGGATTGCTGTGTTGGTGGTGATGTGTTGAAGGGGTTGGTGGTGGACGTCGTTGATGGTTTCACTGTTACTGGCACGTGAATGCCGACGTGCACGGCGATGGAGTGCTGCGCTGCAGCTGCTTGAAGCCCTGTTACGAAGGGCGAGCTGGCGACGGGACGGGCCAGCGAGAGGGATTCCTGGGACGATGTCCCGATGTAGTCTGATGCTTCTGGTAGGAAGAGAATCTAGATAGTGCAGTGTCAGTTCTCTCCATCTTACTAGTATGGATATATCATGTGCTTGTCTTCACTTAGGGCGTCCGTGCTTGTAAAGCCAAACGCTCCATTACGAGTATCTAGCAAGCCCTCTCGGATGTGAAGATCTTCATTTCTCAGCCTTTGCCGTTTCAAAGCCTCTACTCAGAGCGCTGATAAAAAGCCAAGAATCCGTGGGTGAGAATTTCTCTACCATGAGGGAAACAAGATATTGCTCTATACCTTCGCGCCAGCGCTTGCAGCCTGGCCCACGAGCTTCACGCATTGGGCCAGGTTAGACGCCATTGAGTTGGACGAGCATATTTGCCCGATAGCCTGTGTGGTTGCGCAACCCGATACAATTAGTCTTTATAATCTCTTGAGAAATGATATGCATTTTTACAGACTTACAGCCCTAGCCATCTTGACTATATATTACAGTATTATCTTCTTGGAATGCCTCTTGCAGTAAGAAAAGATGCCGTCGGATGATGAATAATGAAGTGCTGACCCCTAAAGAAGGACCGCTGTATTCACTTTTATTAAGCAACTCTGCATCGAAATACTGACCGGCCGTGCTGTGGCTCTAGAATCGATATATGTATATGTGTGACGCGGTTGAATTAATGACCGGCACATAGCAGTAGTATGGTATCATCGGCCTGATCGGACCGGACCAAGTCGGGGCTCTCCAATCTCTAAGTTGACTCCACTTTAGACCGATATTCATTGCTAATATTGCCTCTTAGATGTACCATCTCAAATAGCTGGTTTGGGGTCATGATAATTCAATGAATCAAATCGTAATGCCGACGGTGTTTTCTTTTGTAATTTCACACTCGGCGCAGTTTCTCATGGTACGATACCTCCCCTAGACCAAACACTAGAAGAGTTCCGAAGCAACGGTAGGACGTCATACAATTCAGAGAGGGTTTAATGCAACTCTTCGGGTTGGAAGTGGCACGGCATACATTGGCGTAGAGTGGCTATTATCCAGTTTTAAGATATACTAGTTCGCCTCTTCGATATATTTGATTCCCGTTCAAGCTCAAAAAGATAATCATACATAGGCAGGTCAGGCATAGTTTCAACGACTATACCTCAGACTATAACAGTGGCCCCTTGCTTTCGCCCCAGATGGCGGAGATGATATGGAGTCGTGGCGAGCGTGTCTATAGTCCACGACTTATCTACGAATTCAATACATTCTTTCGACTAAGGCTTATGGAATATATTATACACGTTTGAATACCTTGAAAGGCTTCTGCTCACAAGATATAGAGTTCTTTGCGTATGCGCTTAAAGTGTCCTGCATATCTCACATATCTCACAGCATACACGCTCAAATTCAAGTTTGCGATTTTACTGATTATATTTCGGCTTCGACCATGTGTCTGCACATCTTCTAATTCTATGAAGACTAGTAAAGTAGCGCTGCAGTAACACAGGCTAGGTGAGCGACTTTGTCAAGTGCTCGTAGACTTAGCTTCATTCGAATGCCAGTTTGTAGATCATCGCTGTGAAAGTTCTGTGTTTTTTTAGACCACCGTGAGCGCTTGGCACGAATATGTGCTCTAATTCGTCGGCTCTTCCACGCCGAACAAAGCAAAGGAAAATCAACACGGAGAAGTCCAAAAAAAAACCTGACCTCCCTATGCCCAAAATGTCAACGCCTGGCTGGATGGGAAGAAATACTTATTCAATACATTTTAGCAAGATATGCAGGCAATATACTCGGGTTGAAGGGTTGATAGCTGTTCCATGGTTGGGATTAGCTGAAGAGCTAGCTGTCGAAATAGTCATACGGTATCTTCGTATCTGAGTTTCTTGACTAAAAGAAGGGAGCCTTTAGTGTTATGACTTGTCCGTGGCAACTTTATCTCCAGCATCCGATTTGTCAACCTTGTCATAAGCGAGCTGTAAGCTTCGCGGGTCCAAACCCCGGTCTTCGAGAACGATGATCCAATCCCGAAGCTGAATGTTTTTGCCCTTTTCTGAATCCTCACGGAGCTGCCCGAGATATGTAACGCCTGCTCTGGTGAGAGGACCACGTCCAGCTTTTGTAGCGGAACCTCCGGTCCCAGAAGAGGCTCCAGAAGTACCTTGAGGTCTTGGAGTGCTAGCTCCACTGCCAGCACCAGAATTCATCCAGGAATACTTCTTTTTCTTCCCGCCAGTGAACAGGCTGAGGGTTGCGTTTACTGTTGTACCACTGCTGCTTTCTGCCGCTTTTGCAGCAGCAGCCTTTTTGCCTTCTTTCTTGGACGAAGACTTGGCATCTCCCCCATCGGGGGCGATTGAACCTGGAGTACCAGGGGCGACGGACCCGCTTCTTGAACCTGCCTCCCCTCCATCCTTATCCTTCTCGGCTGATTTCTCCAGCCTCTTCTGCCGTTTCTTCAGACGGCCTTCTTCAGCGCTCTGCGACTTCTTTCCGATCTCGATCAAACTTTCAATGAAATAATTTGGCGTCGGTGCTTCGGAGACTGGTGTAGGGAGTCCGTTCGTATTGGTTTCATCAAATGGCCCTAATAAACGTGTTAGCTAAACTGAGCTCAGACATCCAATGTGACGCTTGCGTACGCTTGAGTACATTGGTGCGAGGGCTGACCGCACTCTCTGCGCCCGTTCGTGTGACTTCGGAAAGTGTACCATTCACTTTCGATGACGGAGGTCCCGCCGCGTCAGCCCATTCGGTAGGTATAGCACCATGTGAGCTCTTCTGGCGCGTTTCGGCGATTTTATGCGCATCACTGAGTAGGTCTCGGAGTCGCTCCTTCGTCCCTATCGAAAGAAGCGCTATCTGATCAACCAAGAATGATTCTTTGGGAATAAATGATCCCATCGTATTAACCATGGTACCTGAGCCCTTCGTGTCTGGCTGAAACACTATCTTCAACTCTGGTTTCGGAAACTCAGCAGGTTGAGAGAATTTTCCCATATATTGACTCTTTCCATCAGGCCTAAGGTCTACGTTGAGACCGAGTCCAAATTTTTGGGCTATGTCGTGCATTCGCCTATGGAGCACGCCAGGTTCCAACAAATGCTGGCGAATTTCCTGACTTCGCGTTAAAGCTAACCTGTGAGCCGCCTCGTTCCAAACATTGTCAGCCCGTAGGGCCGCGTATTCTTCTTGTGATTTGGCATCCGTGGGCTCCGCCGGCTGATTAGCAGGACCAGCTCCATAGAAAGAATCCCTCCCACCAGAAGGCAGGTGTGAGTACCCAGTTCTCGTCTCTAAGTTGTTCATATATTCCGCCTCCTCATCCAAGTCGATACCAGTGCCAAGTAACATATCATTCATCTCGTATACCTGGCCCTTAGAAGGGGCGGTTCGCGCAGGCTGTTTACTCATATCGTTTGCAGCTTGGAAGGAAGTGGATGGGTGGATGGATGGCGGTCCCATGTTGCCAGTTATTTGCATATTTGAGGTGTTCATTGGCGCAAGCTGAGCCTGGGAATATTGTGGTTGATTATGATTAGTAGTAGCCGCTGGAGTAAGGTGTGGTGACGGAGAAGGCTGGGGAGACTGAAATGACTGATGTATCGGTTGGACGGGAAGTTGCGAAGGTGCAGAAATGGGGCTTTGCGCCATCGAGGGCTGCTGCACCGGTGCCATTGACGTAAAGCGACCATTCGACTGATGCGAGGTGTTGTACTGGCCTTGAGGGGCCGGCGTAGCCACACCAGCGGTGGCTGCCATGTTCACCGGAAGGCCTGGTGATGGTAGACTGGTAGTTCCTGCCGGCGTTGCAGCCCCGGACGTTGGACTCGCAGCATAAGGTGTCGAGTTTCCATATGGTGAGTTCGGCTGTGAGTGTTGAGGAAGCGCGGGAGTAACCTTGGGCCGCTTGGAAGGAGGTAAGGAAAAGCCGCCGGCTGTTGCTGCATTGCTCGGGGACGGTGAAGATGCTTGAGGCGGCGAGAACTGCCTCTGGGCTAGGCTCGGCTGAGGATGCGACATGTCGACAGGCGATGATTGGAGATGGGATCAATGGCTGGCGTCGCGTTATACGACGATGCGGTAGATGAGATGTATCAGTGCGGCCAGGAGCGGGGACAGGCAGGAGAGTCCAGAGGGAGGACAAGAGCTGTCGAGCGTCGTGGAAGAGAGGGTCGGCACGAATCACCACAGCTGGACAGGCACAGGCTCACAGCCTGTCACGCTAGACTGAACAGCACCCATCCGACAGCGACGAAAAGGAGTGCCGCAGCAGCGTACGGGCCCGTCGACGGCGTCATGCAACAGCTGGTTATGAGCGTGTTCGCAATGGAGATGGTAGTGTAATCGGCAACGCGAAGAGTGGTTGGCGCGAAGGTGCGAGGGTGCGCGCGACAGATAGGGACGATGGTGGTCGGCGGGCGTTTGGATGCGTGAGGGAGCGCCTGGTTCTGCTTGCCGCTAAATGCATCGAGTTCAGAAAAGCTCCCCCGATTGGAAATCTTTGGTGTCGTACTGAGGAAGGTGCACGGACCTGGCCTAGGTACCTGCCACTACTTAGGTATAGATTAGGTACCTAGTCGAGGTAGTAGGTAGGTACCTAAGTAGTAGCAGGAGGTACCTGTCCGGTGGGAAACGCGCCTGAAAGAGCCTCTTGCGACGTGGCCCCCAGAGACCCCAGAGACCCCCAACTCTTACCTAGATGCCCCTACTAGGTACTGCAATCTGCACCTCCAACTGAAGTATACATAGGTACCCCAATATAGGTACAGTATTCTCAAGGCCAGAATAGGGCTTACTTAAGCAAGGACAGCCTAGTGAATATGTCTCCACTTCTACGATGAATCCCCAGTTTTTAAGACCCACAACCATGCAGTTCTTACCAGTTCTGAAGGCCCCATTCTCGGGACATTACATGTACGCGGTAGACACATGCAGATGTAGGTACTCTGGTACTTACCTACCCTAATATCGGGAGGAACTTTATGTGATAAACAGGAGTGTGATTGAATCGAGTCTTGCAAGTGGGCTGACGGCTGGCCTTCTCAAACGCGTCTGCTTAAAGGGCGGTTTCTCTAGGCACACCAGTCAGTCAGCCTTATCCAAACCAGCACCACTTTTCAAACAATTCTTGGATTTTCTCCCACCTCTCTAGTAACTGAGGTGCCAATTAATCACCCACCGGTTGCTCGAGAAGTAGCGTGTATGAAATGCGCCCGCTTCCCTGACGTCTTTTGCCAACGTTCCACGGCTCGAAGACGACCGTCCTAAATTGACCTGCGCCTCTTTCGTGTCTATTGCGATCTACCTCCGTTGACCGCCAGTGTTCAATCCTTGGTGGATGGGCTAGGAAGGAGAAGGGAACAATATGGCGTCTAAGCGCAAAGCATCGGCCATGGCCGTGACTGTTTCAGACGAACCCGTCGACCCATCCGACGAGCTGATGTTCCTATGCCTAGGTGGAGGAAACGAGGTCGGGCGATCCTGTCATATCATACAATATAAGGGCAAGACGGTCATGGTATGTTCTCACTTCTTGTGTTTAGGTGAGTACGAGACCCGGAGCTAATACGTGCACTTACAGCTGGATGCCGGTCAGCATCCCGCATATGACGGTCTAGCCTCGCTTCCTTTTTTTGATGACTTTGATTTAAGCACCGTAGATGTGCTCCTTATTAGCCAGTAAGTTTTTCAAGCGACTTTCCTCTATGTAGTTGTAAAGAGTCCTGGGCGCTATCGGTTGCAAACGAAGGAGAATGCCTAGTCCATTGGCGCCTGAAAGGGGATCATGTGCTTGTGATCAAGGTTTCTGTATGGCTGTCTTAAGCATCTCCGTCATGTATCCCGTATTCAACTATCAATACAAACACTATATCTATCCATCTTTCAACCGATAGTAGCCCAGCTGTGAAGACAATGTTCCAATTCCCATAGTCTCTATAGCGCAGCGACTCTGAATTTTATGCTAACGAGGCTACAAGTTTTCACATTGACCATGCTGCTTCTCTACCTTATGTTTTGGCCAAAACCAACTTCAGAGGCAGGGTCTTCATGACCCATCCCACCAAGGCCATCTACAAATGGCTGATCCAAGACAGCATAAGAGTCGGCAACACTTCGTCCCATTCAACTTCACAACCGGTGTACACCGAGCAGGATCACGTCAACAGTTTTCCCCAGATCGAGGCTATTGACTATCACACCACTCATACGATTTCATCCATCCGCATCACCCCTTACCCTGCTGGCCACGTATTGGGTGCCGCCATGTTTTTGATTGAGATTGCTGGCCTCAATATTCTATTCACGGGCGACTATTCTCGAGAGCAAGATCGACATCTAATCTCTGCCGAAGTGCCTCGTGGGGTCAAGGTCGACGTGCTCATCACCGAGTCAACATATGGCGTGTCGACACACGTCCCTCGCCTCGAGAGAGAACAAGCCCTCATGAAATCAGTCACAAACATTCTCAACCGAGGAGGCCGCGTGCTTATGCCGGTATTCGCCCTCGGCCGAGCACAAGAGTTGATGTTGATTCTCGACGAATATTGGGGTAAGCATGCAGAATTCCAGAGATTCCCCATCTACTATGCTAGTAACCTCGCCCGAAAGTGTATGGTGGTATATCAGACGTATGTTGGTGCCATGAATGATAATATCAAACGTTTGTTCCGAGAACGCATGGCCGAAGCAGAAGCTGCCGGAGAAGGAGGAGGCAAAGGAGGTCCCTGGGATTTCAACTATGTCCGATCACTGAAGAGTCTAGATAGATTCGATGATGTTGGTGGCTGTGTCATGCTAGCCAGTCCGGGCATGCTGCAGAGCGGTGTTAGTCGGGAACTCTTAGAGAGGTGGGCGCCCAGCGACAAGAATGGTGTGATCATCACTGGTTATAGCGTCGAAGGCACTATGGCAAAGCACATTGTCCAAGAGCCAGACCAGATTCAAGCTGTTATGTCTCGCAATACTAATGCCATAAGGAGGGCCCCAGGTGGGGAGAGCGAGAAAGTTATGATACCTCGGAGGTGTAGCGTTGCAGAATACTCATTCGCCGCCCATGTGGACGGCCAGGAGAATAGAGAGTTCATTGAAGAGATTGCCGCACCTGTTGTCGTAAGTCCATCTCACGAGCAATATCCATGCTAGAGCTAACTGAATTCAAGATTCTAGTCCACGGAGAACAGCATAACATGATGCGACTGAAGTCCAAGCTACTGTCGCTCAATTCTAATAAGGCCGAAAAGGATAAGACTAAAGTCTACAGTCCCCGAAATTGCGAGGAACTTCGAATCCCATTCAAGACAGACAAAGTCGCCAAAGTTGTAGGCAAGCTTGCGGCCATTCCTCCTCCCGGGCAGCTTACCGCTCCCGACAGCGCTGAAGCCGAACTTATAGCGGGTGTCATCGTCCAGAACGACTTCAAGATGTCGTTAATGGACCCCGAGGATTTGCGAGAGTATGCAGGTCTTACCACGTCCACAATTGCGTGTCGACAGAGACTAAGGCTCAGCGCCGCGGGCATCGACCTCATCAAATGGGCATTGGAGAGCACCTTCGGCACCATTGAAGAACTTCCTGAGACCAAATTGAAGCAGCCAAGTGATAACAGCGACTTGACGAATGGCAAGGATGAAATGGCAGATGCAGACGAAGAGGTAGCTCATGTGGTGGCCGCCTACCTGGTCATGGGTTGCGTAACGGTCAGATATCGCAGCAATGGCGAAGTAGAATTGGAATGGGAGGGCAATATGCTGAACGACGGCATAGCGGACGCTGTTATGGCAGTTTTGTTGTCAAGCGAGAGCAGCCCCGCCGCAGTCAAGAGTAGGTTGTTCTGTGGGTTTCAATATGGTTTCTTTGCTAATCAAACTATCAGGATCCGCCAGCAAGCATTCTCACAGTCATTCACACGGTGACGAGCTCCCTTCGCGCAACCCTCATGCAAGCTTGACGCCCCAAGAGAGACTAGAGCGGTTGTTCCTCTTTCTAGAGGCCCAGTTTGGCGCAGACGCCGTGACACCATTGGCGACGCCAAAATTACCGCCTCTGGTGAGGGACAAGAAGCCCAAGAGACCAGACGGAGACGACAATGCAGACTCAGATGCATCTATGGAATTATCGGACGACGAAGAGGAGGAAGAACGGCTCCTTGAATTGCGACAAAAGACGGAGCTCGAACGACTACATAAAATCGGCATCCCAGTGCCAGGCATCATCATCAAGGTGGATAAAATGGTAGCTACAGTCTGGCTGGAAGATCTCGAAGTTGAGTGCAGCCAAAAGGTATTAGCGGATAGAGTTAAGGCGATTGTTGAGCGGGCAGTTGAAGTTACAGCTCCGCTCTGGGCTTAGTAACGATGGGATGAATTGCGATAATCATGTAAGATATTACGATATTCTAGGAGCGCCTAGTTTTGCGCTTTACGACATCCTACTGCTATGGGCACGGCTGTCCAGCCAGGAGTCTCATACCGAGCCTCAATATCAGACTTAGTAACATAAGTAGCATACGCAAATCTTATAGATATGTAACTATGTAAGCAGCAGCCAACTGTAATGAGTCTTGATGGCCTGCCTAATCGGCCCTTAACTTTGTCCCTTTCGCCCCTCTCGCCTCTCTCGCCTCTCTCGCCTTTCATTCAACATGGATGAGCGATAGAAGTCATCGTAGTGTATGATCAGTCAGGCAAGGCAGTGCCCCAGTCAGAATTGCCGTAAGGCTAAACGTGTTCTAGAAGCAGCCTTCCCAGCAGCCTCGTGATGCTATGTATGTTCCCAAGGGAGTGGGTATGAACTTTCATAAACAGGGGTCTTGAGCCTCGTGCTCTGCTCGTGGCTCGGGGTCCTTGCGTTGCGCCTCAACCCCCCCTGTGCCGACCCGTGCTTCACTCCATTCTGCGATGCAGGTCTCGCTCAATAGTGCACGGGTGTTGGGGGCGCAATCTCGAAATGCGATCATGGTAGCATGGATTTCGGGGCATTGGGATAGTGACAGTTTGGGTGTGGGGAAGAAGGGTCGGCTAGCAGGATTTGGAGCTCTGTAACTGGCCCCCAAGCGGTTGTCCCTGCAGAAGCCAGTGGCCAGTGTGTGGGCTATGCTGGGCCCGGGCTACAGAGGGTTACTCTAAAACGCGGGCAGTGTATGCCTCCGGGGCTGTGGAGGCACTGCCCCATGTCGTGCATTGAATGGCATTGAATGACATGGAATCACACTCGGCCTCTGCTCGGCCATGAGGTTGGCGAGGTTGGTCAGCCTCTTCATTCTTCTTTAGCTATGAATCTTTTAAAGCACCGAGTCAGGACGACCCTTAGATCTCCCCATATATTATTCTATGGTTGATGATTCCACACACACGGGAACGAGGCATAACGAAAGGCATTCATCGTCCCAATACCCGGTGGTCGGGTGATCGGTAGGTTCGTTCAACCTTAGGTGATGGATGATATGCCCGTCATGTCTCATGTGTACACTCCTTTGCTCCGCGCCGTCTGGCCGTATATAATAGGAGGAACGAGCGCCTCGGCCAACTGTCCTGGCTCAATGTAAGGGGTACGGGCAAGCCAACAATAACAACAACATCAAATCAGTAATCAGTTGACCACTCCTCGACCAGTAAAGGACACTTCCCTATCGCACAAACATTCTCCTGCCTTACATTCAGTTAATACTTAATTCGCCCATTAATAGCCAGCAAATCCCGGTTCCCTTATCTGGGCGATCCGCATTCTAGAGATACCGTTAGACTTCTGCAAACAAAGAGTCTTACCAAAGAAACAGAACGGACGCAGCCTCCTGTGGTCCAACCCGGGTACTTGCCTTAGCTCCTGTTTCCCAATCATTTCCAAGTTTTCCCGCAGAAACTCTAAACGAGTCGGAGATACATCCCTTTCTTCCAAGTTTTAAAAACAAACCACGCGTACAACCCTTTCTGAAAGAGTGCCGTCCACACCTTCAATCAACATCACAAAATCTGAGCTATATTGACGACATTAGAGCTCCATTGCTCACTTCCAAGATGCCCAAATCAACAGATCAGTCGTGGAATCCTTTTGAGTCCAATGATGACAAACGCTCCTCCTTCTCACTCACTGGCAGTTTGAAGTCTGTCAGAAGAGCAGTCAGCGGCAGAGGTAGAAAATCGGATAAAGATGCGGACAATGATAGAGAAGTCGAGGCTCTTGAAGGGCAATTAGCTTCCTCAAGCATCGACCCACCGCCCGCCTATACCGAGACAGTAACTGAGAGCTCTGACCAAGGTGCATCCAGTGCGTCAGTGCAGCAAGCACCGCCGCGTACGCAGAGCATCTACAGTCGGCTGCGCGGCCCGAACCGCACCCCATCCGCGAAAGCCGATAAGTTCAGATTCCTATCCGAGTTCGACACCGTCTTCCTCATCGACGACTCCAGCTCGATGACATGGAACGACAAGGGTAACATAAGACTAAGGTCCGGCGAACTGACTAGATGGGAGCAAACGAGGAACGTCATCCAACAGATCGTGCCTATCTGCATGCGGTACGACCAGGACGGTGTTGATATCTACTTTCTCAATGATCCTTACCATATGCACTTTGACGATCCCCACGAGGATGAACCCGGCTGGAGTAGGGACCCTGACAGGGCAGAAGGGAAAGCTAGCTATGCCTACATCGGTGTCAGCGACGCCAACAACGTCAAGAAAGTCTTCGATAGCAGAGAGCCCATGTTAAACACACCTACCGGCAAACGCCTAGGCGAGATCATGGACACATACGTTACCTGCTACCAGGCGCGCATGGCGAAAGGCCAGAACCCTCCCAAGCCCCTGAACATCATCGTCATCACGGACGGAGAAGCCAGCGACAAGGCCGTCCTCAGAGAAAACCTGATCAAGCAAGCCGAGAGACTCGACGCCGTCTGCGCACCGTACCACCAGCTAGGCGTGCAGTTCTTCCAGGTCGGCAAGGACGAGCATGCCGCGCACTACCTGCGCGAGCTCGACGACGGCCTAGGCAAGTATCGCAGAGGAAAGGAGCTCCGCGACATTGTAGACTGCGTCACTCACGACCAACTATCTGGCGAGAGCGGCGGTAGTTCCCAGCTCACGGCCGACGTCATCTTGAAAGTTGTTCTCGGGGCGGTTAACAGACACCTCGACAACCAGAAGATTCGCGAAGGCCTTCTGGTCGCCCGCTCTTAGCTATCTAGATGATCAGATATACGCCTGGGATGGAAAAAAAAGCGACAGTGCTTACCCACTGCAAGATAGATACACTGGTGCTACCAGTCCGGATAATTGTATTATTACATGGACAGGACAGCACAGGGAACGACGGAAAATAACTAACAGGTCGCAAGGCAGATAGGCGTCGACGGTTTCTTATTCTTTGCTACACTTTTTTTTTTTTTTTTTTTCACAGCCCCGTTCAAGAGGCGAGGTATCGCTTCTTCGGGCTTCTCGACTTCTCGGAAGACGCGGCGTATCGCTGCAGACTTGAGGTTCAAGCTACACATAGACTAGACTGAGTAGAGGTCACGGCTCTCAACGGCCAGGTAGATAAAATAAATAAGAGAAATAGGTGAAAATCATTCTACGTCTCTTTGGTATTTACAGTGTCTTGTGCGTATCTAACTTGGGTGCACAGAATACAGCTCCCTCTTGTACGTAGCTCAGTTGCGTCATACCTTAAGGAGGCAATCTGTGCACATTTTCTAGCAATGTGGGCGAAACCCCCGGTTAGCATGTAATAGAAGAGGAATCTCGGTACCACTCGCAGCGCGGGCAAACCATGTTGTAATCTTCCTCAACCACACCTATGTAGTTACGATGTTTAGCATACAATCACGATTGTCACAGCATAGTATGGAATTTGAAGGATGGGGCAACTTTAGGTCTGATATTGAGGTGAGGCTGTGCTATTCTAAACCAGGCGTCAAATCCTACCTACCTATCTCCCTCTGCCAAACCTCATCCTCAAGAAACACGTTAGTTGGTATATGCAAATTTCCCTGCGCGACACGAAGTCGAAGGCTTTTCTACCACCAAACAGAAATCCAGAGATTGAATATTCGTCACTTTGAGTTTCACCCTGGGCTGGCCCTTGGCCTAAGCTAGGAGGGCATAGTAATAGCTTGGGAGGAATAAGATAAGTAGGAGGAGAGGTGTGCTAAGTTTTCAAGGCTAGTAAACGAGTATTTACTAAAACCCTCGACCTCTCACCAAAACCCGTTCGTTGCATTTGCGGTCTGATTTTTCTGCATATTATGAGTCGAATAAGGAAAGGAAAGGTAATGAGAGCAATAGTTGATTAAACCGACGGGCGGTTACTATCGCAACCAAAATTCCGGCAAAGAGTTGTCCGATAGGTCACAAGCCTTGTGAGAGGACATTGTACTCTGCAAAGCGATCGAGACGAGATGTCTCCATTCGTAATAGACGCGATATGCGAAGAAATGGAAAGCATCGGGAGTAACTCTTGCGATCGATAGAGACCACTGTGGTCTCTGAACGGTACTAGCGAAACCGAAATAGCCAGGCGAATGAAACATGCAGCGATCGCGGGCGTAGGAGCACTTTCTCCACGGACTGCGTGCACATTGACGGCGAGCGCTTTCTCATTTCGACGAGCTTTCAAGCATAGATCGCCTCTCCCATAGAGCAAAGGGTTTTTTCTTTTTCTTTTTTCTTTTTTCCGAGTTTTCTGGATTTACTAGTGTTTTTGGTGCATATTTGCTGTTGATCAAAGAGGTCATCACTACCCTGTAGTATCGACCAATTGATCCGCGTATGCCTAGGACCAGCAAAATAGGTCGAGTGTAAATATAGCAGCCATTTGCGCACAGCCCAGAATCCAGAGCTGGGTAGGCCTCAACCTTTCGATAACTGGTTTGGGCATGTGAGTAGGTAAAAGAAAAGAGAGTGATGAAAGAATTAAGGAGACGAAGTAGAGCCGGATAATCCTCAAACAAAGGATGGTAAGGTCCAATTCGCATCCCGAACCCGAAGCGATTGCATTTATTTCATCACCAAGACTTGAGCCTTGTGAATGGCGAAACACTGCATGCGAGCAGCATCACGATCGTCGCGAAGAGTCATAGTAGGCGTAACTACAAGGGAGACGCGACACTGCGAGGCGACAAGCTCTTCGGAACTGGCAGCCATGTGGTGACCATTCAATGCTTCCATGGTACCGGGTGAAAACTTGTTGGCACACTCCGGAAAGACGTAGTGAAGCGTCTTGCCGCTACTCCATACCTTGATACTGATGTCCCAACAAGCGGCGGCCATGATGCGTAGGGACTTCTGGGCAACCTCGACCGAAATTCCCTGGGCACGACAGGGGTCAAGAAGCGCGCTCATAATATTAGCGTGACGTTCCACGGTCCGTCTGCGAAATTCAGAGACCTCCTTGGACATAGCGATGGCCTTGATTAACTTTGCGTGGTCTTCAATAACGCGCTGGCGGTTGCGGTTGTAAGTAGGACGATCTCGATTATCTGTGCAAGCGCTTGGTGTCAGTAAAATGGAAAAGCGTGCGACAATGATCGGTTTGGTGAGGAGACATACCAGCGATGTTGGCGAGCTGGCCCTGTAGAGCTCTAAGATGAGCGTCCATCTGATCGGAAAAGCCGAGGAACACCTGAGGTGTCAATAGCTTCTTGAGTAGATAATCGACACAAGTACGCTGGAGAAGGTAGGGGACGAAAACCCTGGTGCTCAAAAGATAGGTTAGGTGACTTGATGCGTGCTCGGGGTCCTTATAGACCTGCTGCATCAGATAATGCCACGTATAGGACTCTTGTTCCTTAAGCTTGTTGAATGGCACGTTGGGTGGGCTATTCATATGGCAGTTGGCCACATAGCCCTTGCAGAGGTCATAGAGATGCGCCATCGCTCGCTGGACGTCGACTACTTCCCATTCCTCTTTCTCACGCGGAATGAACTTGTCGCCCGGTAGACGAGAATTCTCTTCAACCGTGGGATACTCACCGAACACGACGCCGAACGGTGTGCGGATGAAAGTTGGTGCACCGCCGTGTGCGGGTGGTCCCACGTATGGCGTTAACGACTTGGACTGGTTGCCGTGGCCGTTGTAGAGAATAACTTCACCTGAATTGCCAGACGACGAATCATCCTGTCGTTCAGTGCTACTGTTGGAAGAAGACTTTGCAGCATTATTGATCAACGTCTCAATGCTTGCTGTAGCTGGTGCCCAGGCTGGTGCTTGAGGATTAGGGACGAAACTGTCTTTCTTGGGCGGACCGACCAACTTATGTAGGTCATTCAGAAGCAAAGAAGTTTCATAAGCTGACAGTTTGTTTCTAGGCTTCGGGCTGTTAGAGTCATAGGTGCTTTGCACATTGTTTACGGAAGCAGGCTGGGTTGGTGTAGAAAAAGCGCCACCAAGAGAAATGTGAGAGTTAGAACGCAATGCTTTAACCTCACTCTCAAGGTCCTACGATATATCAAGTTAGTGATATGTACGCTTGTTTAGATTGTACCTGTTCAACATACAGTCATCGCTTTGAAATGCTTCTCATCTTGTTCCTTGTAATTCTCAATAACCTTATCGTGGTGAGCATGAAAGCGCACTGCATCCGACGTAAGTGTATCCAATTGCTTCTGGACAGCGACTAGCTGCTTCTGTAGGTCTTTGATGTGGTCCTTCATCAGGTTCTCACGCTCAGAGCTGTGGTTGAGTTGGGGCATCAAAGTTCTGTTGATGGCCTCCACCTCCTCTAGTGACTTTCGTAGCTCTTCAGCTTCATGCATGGCGCGCTTGTAGCGCTCGTGCTCATCTTCTTTGCCCCGATTTGCCTCATCGCGTTGCTTTCGCAACTGAACAGTAATGGTGCTAAACCCTTGAGATATCTCTTGGAGCAGATGTGTAAGTTGGGTTTGGGTTTGGCTTGACAAGCCTGGTGAAATGTTGACGTATTGAGTAGCAGTCATGATAGACGCAAAGACCTGCTGGCAAGAATATACTCCCGGCTAGTCTCAGTTAGTATCGCGCTGCTCTTTAGAAATAGTACAATCATCCAGCTCAGTGCCATAGACCCTAATCTTACCTCATCAGCAAGTAGATTTCCATTGTTGAAAGGAGTTCCGCCCATACCAGGTCGGAATCTAGGAACGGAGCTGCCTTGACCCCCAGGTGCTGCAGTCGACGACCGGTACCTGCCAGCCGACTGGGCGTTTCCAAAACGACTAAATCCATTGTTCGCCCTGCTAGGAGTAGGCTGCGGAAAGGCAACGTGGTGAGAATAAGCATTCGGATGAATCGATTGAGGGACACCAGGTGTCTCGGCGAAAGGATCCTTCAAGCTTCCAAAATTTTCAGAGGCACGAACAAGCGCCTTCTCCTCGTCAGATGGCGACTCAAGTTTGGCTTCCTCATGACGCCGGAGGGGCGGTGCAATGGGCGTGGTCATGGAGGGGTATAGAGGTGCTCCTCCATCAGAGTCGTCACTGCTATCTGTGTCAGCAGGCATGATGAAAGCTAATATAGTAAAGATGAATGAATAACGCGTCCAGGTCTAGTAAAGTCGGTAGATATGGATAACGAATGATTATACTAGAATCAGCCGTAGAGAAACTTTCATCCGTCCCAAGTTAATGATGTCGATGCGAGTGTAGTACACTCGATTAAATATGAACGTCGAGTTGAGAGGATGGACAATAAGATAGGGTACCAATACTGTAAAGTAGTTCGTGACGAGCAACTGATATTACGTGTGACCCAAGCAGAAGCTATAAGAAAAGGGGGAGAGATAGGTTGATATGAGAGGGTAGAGTTGGGATTGAGTGGGCGACTTGTGTAGAGAGTCAACCATGCATCGGTGGCACTGCAAGAGCCTTGGACTTGTCGAAACCACGGGAATATATATATGTACAACCCCAAAGTGAAGGCCACGGGTCAACGCGAGGAAGGCTTCTAGTGATGTATATATGAAATGTAATGGCTCCAGTGATAAATATAGACAAGAACAATGGGAGGGAGGGCATCCAATAGGAACCGAGTGTGAGCGTGCAGAAACTCCGAGACCAAGACAAGGCTAAATTTAGATGTTGTGTTGGATAAAGTGGACGAAGGCGGATGCGCGAGGTGGGGACATGGGATGAAGGTTCGGAGGTGAATGAAAAAGACCTGTGTTGTGGACATGAGGGAATGAGGTTAACAAGATGGGAAGGGCTGCCAAAGCTGCGTGGTCAACGTGTTTTTTAAGTTAGGCAAGGCAGGTGCAAGTTGTCCCGGGTCTTGCCTGGGACATCGCGTGTAGTGAATGATGTTGCCGCTCAGATACAGGCAAAGAAGTACCGGTACTTCCTGAAGCATGCATCAGGTGGCTCTGGTGTTTGGATGAGTGATATAGTCTTATGACCGACTATGAGACTTATCGACAATCGTAAAAAGCTGCCCTGCCAGCAGAGCTCTTCGGCTGGTGCCGCGATAGAAGGAGGCGCTTGTCTTCCAAGTTGTCGGCCGTGGTTGGCAACGGCTGAACTAACCAGTCGCGAAGTGAGGCATAAGACATCTTGACCACAAAGTACAGTGTGCACCTTCGGCCTCGATATAGCCTAGTAAATCAAAGCGACGTCTTGCCTTCCCTAGATAGACCTGGACGCGGTAAGAGAATGTCTGACTTACGAACTCATGTCTTGCTCCCTCGCAATGGGGGCGGTCTCTCTCGGCAGTGACATCCCCTATGTCTCGCTGACTTGGTGTTGAGTTGTTCTACATTTTCTGGTTAGAATTGAAGGCCATAGCCGTAGACAATGATTTCTCCTCGATAGTGCAGAACTGGGTATCTCTGGGATATTGTATATATGGGATCATGATATTCTCGAAACATACAGAGCTGTATGAGAAATGATATGATGGGTAGGCAGGATATATAGACAGCCCACAGTAGCAATGTTGATATGAGTGGGCCTAGGGCAACTCCCGGGTAGGCTCGCTCCAAAAGGGTGCAGGACAGCCAGACTAGAAGAGAAGAGAGTCGTGATGTGACAAAGCAGCACTCGAAACACACGAGAGCAGCATAGAGATGAGAGCTATAAAGCAGAGGTGAAATAAGAAGTGGACTTCAAAGGCAAGAAGCCTAGTAGTGTTCAATGTGCCACCCGTGATGATGCCTCTGGTGATGGTGTTGGGAGGTTCCAAGTGGGTGCAGAATGAATCTCAAGGATACCTAGTGATAATGAAAGAAGAGGGGAATCCACTTACTTTAGACTGAACAAGTATTCTTGACAAGATGTCTGCTGATATTGGCGAAGGTGCAAAGTAGAAGAAAGAAGAATGAAGAATGAAGATGGAGGAGGGAAGTTTTGAGAAAATGAGGAGAAGGGTTGTGGGAGAGAGAAGAAGAAAAACTCTGCCACTAACCACAAGGAATAGAATACTACTTGGATGAAAAGCAAACCTTTTGTGGGCAATATACGGGCCCAAAGGCATGGGACTGCTCTTGTTGGTCCGAGTGAGAGCCATTGGAGAGTGAATAATATACTGTACTAGATGAAGGACGTCAGGGCGACGACACGATCCTAATGCTACTGAATGCTCTTTCCTCCTCTCTGCCCACTCTTCTGATAGACTGCCAACATGAAGTCAGCCCCTAGTGTTTCGAATGTAGGTCGAATCTTGTCACATATCTCAGTCAGATTCAACCTGGCATCATAAACATATACACATGATATATGCAAATTAGATCAAGATATGTCCAGGGATGAAGGAGAAAGAGCCATCCACATAGGCTTCTGCTTGAAAATGCTCTGACTCTATATATTATTAGAGCTAGTATGCTCCCCAAACGAGATAATACAGAGTATTCTGTGTTTAAGTTTGAATGGACACGGGTCGTGATGAGTCTGAGTGATACTAATATATGAATCTTCGTTAACATCTCTGCAATTTAGTTACAAAATCTTTCTAAGGATAATTAAGGCGTGTGTACCATGCAGCTTTAAAAGTAGGGAGAGAAATGAGTGCTAATTTCCAACTTCGACAATACGCAGAGCAGTCAAAGCGAGTAAAGTCCCAAGGTATTGGCATCATATCACATAAAAGGGCGAGTAATATAGAAAGGTTAAGAGATTGATTTTGTAATACATGGCGCATACTTCATGGATTAGCCTGGAAGGAACACTGTTGCCATCTTTGTGACTCCTTTGTGCTACTAATACATACTATGCAAGAACACCAAAGAAAATCCACTAGAATGACTATTCAGTCTGCCTGAATGGTCTTGATATTCCCATGAGATCCTGCTCTCCCCGCCTACCGCTATTGCTCGGAGTCTTCCGTACCTAATCGTCAATGGGGACTTGTGGCTGCTGAGGCATGACTAAAAGGTTCTCTGCGAGTATGTTATTTGAATCGGTCAAGTAACGGGACTGCACGATGAATTTATCGGCAAGTTTCAAAGATCGAATCAGCTTGCCAGTTAAGCTCAAAGACTTAACCCGCGCCCAGCTCTCCACGTATAACGTCCGCATATGGTTAACAGGTGCAATGCGAACGAATCGAAGCGCTCGGGCAACAAGAAGGAAGAGGAACCCAGTTCCAGGGCCGTTAGTTATGATGACTCCAGGATATCGCAGTGTAGGAATAGGTCGCTGTCGAGGCGATGTAGAGAGAATCCCAATGATGTCAAGAAGGCTCAGAATCGCAGTAAAGGGGGTAGTGAACCAGCTTTGGTGAACGTAGCGGGCACGCCCGAAGCGCACAATATCGAAAGTTCCGCTATCCAGATTGTGACGCGTGAAACGGTCAAGCAGACGTTGTTCGAATGCGAGGATTTTATCGTAGCTCTTCTCGTCGTCTTTCCCGATAGCCCATCGACGATGAGATGATTTCTCAGGGCGAATACTTCGTTCAACCATCTGGACCATCTCAGCTGTATGACCGCCTGATCCACATATAATCAGAACATAATGTGTGGCTGGTCCCTGTACTGCTCCTCTACCTGTTCTATAGATGAAGTAGCCAGCGATGAGTAACCATGCGAGTATGGCGACTAGAACGGTGACCTTGTCGATATTAGATTTGTACATGAATCCGATGATGATGATCGCAATGGCGAGGGCAACTCCGATAATGGCGACAAGAAATATGCCATTTGTGAAAAGATCAAGAACAAAGCTGCCAGTTGCGGTTCGCATGGCCTGGTTGCGACTGGTGTTCATATGGAGGAGACTCTCTTTGTGTGGCAGGTTTTCATGGTGAGCAGACGGATATTGATGGTCTGTGGATGGACGAGAGAGTCGAGGGACACTGGGAGGCATAGGAGGAATATTGTGGGAGGTACGATGTGGAGAGTGGGTGTCTTGAGAAGACTCTGTATACTGTGTGCCACGCTCCATTGCTAATGAGAAGAATTCGTTAAAATCCGAATGAACAGCACGGATATCATACCCCTAGATGGTGCCTCTAATACCAGCAGGTAGATCGTACCTATACACAGGAGTTGGTGGCGTCTTAAGTTGCGATACCATGTGATACCATGATATCTGATGTAGACGAAGTAATTCACTACTGCTTTAGCTCAACACTCGACTGCTATGTAATGAGGCCTCGGGCGTTGAAACTTCGTTCGCTGAGCAGAAGGAGGAACCAAGATGAATACCGCCACCATCCACTGACGCACAGATTCGTTTGGCCAAGTGGCTTGGTTATTGGCTGGTCACCCTTGATAGTCTCTCACAAAACCATGAGAAGGAAATGACCCTCAGTATCCGCGCCACCAAAGAAAGAAGCCAGTTCTAGATATATGGAATCAAATATCGTGTTATAACGCAACAACTTGAAGTGAGGCCAACGGCATTGACACTACCTACTTGTCACTATCAAGTCAGAAATATGGCCAAGCTGACCGTGACATGGGACTAGCAATCAAGGATAACCAGCAGCGACTTGTTCCATATTATCTAAAGCCTGGTCAAAGATGGTCAGCCATATGCTGTTAACTGATAACATATTGTACGAAGGTAGAGGTGCTTGTGATTAATCCAAGGAGGGCATGTTGCAAAAGTACAGGGAGAATATAATCTTAATGATCTATCTCTACTCTAAGTGTTATAATCTATGGGTCAGAAATAAAAGACTTTCCAGGAATCAGAATGGTTCAAAAGTGAGCCATACATGCTCTTGATCGAATAGAATATAAGGGGATTTGGCAACGATTAGACCCGGATGTCGCATACGGGATATGATATATACAATTCACTCACCCTTGGTATCACTGAATTGAGTAGCTTCTTCATAAGGGTCGGAAAGGGCTTTGATGCGAGTCAAGGTCCTTTACAGACGTTTTGGTTATCTGGAATGTGTAGAAGGACTCTGTAAGACTGATTGAAGCTATTGCTGTCTGGCCTCATCCAGTGATGGCCCCGCTAATGTAAAGACTTACACGTCCTAGGTACGGTTAATGCATGTACCATAGATCTCAGTAGCTCTCATGTCCCTGGGACAAATAAGTCTTGTACCAGTACTAATATTTCCAGCAGATAGAAAGGTAATGGTAGGTACCGTGGGGGCTTGCATGCAGGGTCTGTACTCCTTAGACACCCAAGAGCAAAGTACTGGCCAGGGAAGTCCCATTGACCTATCAATTGGCTGCTCTAGCTGCAGCCTTCCAAGCAGCAAGCTAGGTACAGGGCAGAGTACAGGGAACATAAACAAAACTTGGCGCTACCTACCCCTGCCAGTCGCCGTACTCAGCAAATCGGGCCTCACCACCTGGCAGAACCTGCTCTCCGATGCTAGGCTCGTCGGCCGCGTTCTGACAATATCGGAACGAATCCGCTTGCTTGACTTTGTTTCCTTTAGCTGGCTGCCATTTCGTATTTCTCACATAAATTGAGCTGGGACCCCGGAGAGCCTAGAGCCTACTCTTTACATGTACCAATCCAGCCAACATGGGGACTCTTCGGTCCAGGGCTTTTCTGCGATGTTTTTATTGCGGACGGAGATCAAACATTCGCTTTGAATCTCAGAAGTCATTCCACTGTCTCAACTGTGATGCGACCAACTGGTTAGACCAGGTAGAACAATCCCTACGCCTCTCTGTATCTGTTGTGCCATTATGCGCGAGTTCAACTGACCATTAATGTAGAATGGTGATATCACAGATCCGCCTGCAGCAGCCGAAAGCCTCGGGCGCAACAATGTTCAGTTTGCGACGCCGCGATCATCAGTCCCTCGCCCACCGTCGAATCCCACAGCCGCAGGCGTAGAGGCTGATCCCATTTTCTGCGCAACTTGCCTTCGAAATCAACAGATGTTGAACTCTTCGCTTGCGCAATTCGAGTGGCCTGATGACTCTACAGCTGCTGAACATAGTGCAAGGGAGCGCAAGTATTGGGCGCTCAGGAAGGATCTTGAAAAACGGTACCCCCAGGTTTGCGAGAACTGCTTACCCAGAGTCAACCAAAAACTTCATCAAGCGAGTTACACAGCGCAGACAGATCATCTTAGGCGCATGATAAATCGCACACGATCGCAGCGGACCACCCCAAAGAAGCGAGGTGTATTGGATGCTATCGATTTCTTGGGCAAGTCAACCTGGCATGCTGGCTTTGCACTTCAGGCTGCATGGCATCTGATAATGTTTTTCCTCCACCTCACTGAGCCATACGCTTCTACGCCACAGGACGATCACTGGGTACCTGTGACTTTAGGGACGTTTCATCGGATGATTGCCTCAGTGCTACCATACTCAGATCGGCTTATGTGGTGGGCAATAAGTCTCGGGATGTGCTCATTTCCGTGGAACCCACGTTTCAAACAGAGCATACGAGGCTTCACTTCCCATATCCTTGGCTTTAGACAATGGTATTCGTACCAATTGCTAGCCCTGTTCGTGCGACTCGTCGCGTTCTCTATTGCGCAGTACAGCAAGACCCAAAGGCTACCCTCGTCAGCTCAACTCGGCGCTCAAGTTATCATACCTTTAGTCATGATTCTAGTAAGTCATTGAAGCGCCGAGAAGTGTCTTTAGTTGCTAATAGGGCTTAGGTTTACTCAGCGGCTAAGAAATCCATTCACACGGACACCTCACCCCTCTTTCGCCAACCAGCAAAGCTTGCTGCTGGCTTGCACGTAGCATCCCATGAGCAGTCTACGGCAAATGAGCCTGATGACCTCGGCACTATTCTCGATGAAATATCACATACCACTAGTCCGCCGCAAGCCCCGACGATGGCAATTTCGCCGCAGCAGTCATTAGCAGCTGGCCTGAGGGGGAATAGGAGCCCACCGATGCTCACCTCTCACCTGACTAATGGGAGCATCCAACACCCCCAGCAGGAGGTCCATTATGACGATGAAATGGACTGGTCCCCGTCCGCTTCTCAACATCGCGCATTCAGCTCTTATAATCCTTACAAGATTAAGAATACCAACCCGAGGTTCAGCGATGTACCGACTGAACCAAAACCAGGGCCTATATGGTATAAAGTCCCACCAGCTCCTACCAATCCAGCTCAGAGATTGCGAAACCCACCTATGCGCCCCATCATCCGGGAGAGTCCGAAAGAGAAAGAAAATTTCTTCCAGTCGACAGGACGACAGCTTGACTTTGGGGGCAGATCTCTTGGAAGCTCTTCCGAGCTGCACATCGCGCCACCCAGATTTCACGCTCCTCAGACCCAGGATGATCCACGGGACGGTTTATCGAACATGTTTGCGAATTCATTTAGCATCAGCCCGAGCCCGAGCCCAGAAGGAAAGAGGAAGCGAAATACAGGGAAGAGTGGCACATTAGATTTCGCCGCTCAAAGCGATGCTACAGTTCCGAACCGCACCTTGACTCGCGTTATTGAATTGGCAGCCCTCCTTGCTGCGTTATGTCTATGGATCTACGCGCTAGGCAACGAGGAACAGTATGGACAAAGTATCGCTCTGGTGTCCGTTTGTACCTGTCTTTATATTTCGATACGACTTGCAGCAGACTTAGGGATTGACCAGCAAATCCTCGGGCGCACGCGGCCATCAGCTCTCGTATCGTTATTTCCCCGGGTTGCACTAGCTCAGACTATAGTTGTTATTCTCTTCATGTGGCATATATGGTCAGGTATTTCAACAAGTGTCTCGTCAGGGGTGTATGGCAACACTCTGTTTGGAGCTATTATCCTGCATCACATGGTACACATCTTCACATAAACCCCCCTTTTTTGTGTTAAACCACTTTGAAGAATAGCATGCCATTCTTGGACAGGTAGAATGACGAGGCTACCAAATGGGTTCCTGTATGGACCTATACTATGTTGCGGGGCACGGGCTTTGGCTTAATTTTCTTGCATGGTGTTGCATGGCATGGAGTTATGAGATTTGCATTGGACTATGGGGCTGGATCGCATGATACCCGGCAGGGCTTGAAGCAACTGCGTTAGAGACCGCCTTGGTTAGAGTATTGTATATATCAAGTCATTATAGGCGGCCATGTCAGGAGGTTGATACTCTAAGTAGACACAATGATCGACTGTGCGTTGTCCAGTATATCAAAGAGATTTCTCATTGGAGTCAAGTACCACAAATGTCCACCTGTGTCATTCATCACATTGAAACGGACTATGTGGGCTGGTTATTGGCAGCCTGTTTCTCGGGATCCCGGGATCCCGGTCGTCTTGAGCATTACCCGAGCAGCGGAAGGTACATCTAGATACCCAGGCTCCGAGGGGACCCGGGTATTCGATTCAGGGGCTACACGCACGTGCGGACACCACTAGGAAGGTAGAAACTTCATATAGACAAGGTCCCCCATCTGTGCATGTACACATTAGGTACCGAAGTAGGTGTGTAGTTGTTTACATAACCGTACCTACTTTGATAGTATGCTTGCTACCTGCCGTCTTGCTTGGTCTCTTCATTTTTCATCATCTTAATTCACGGTTCTTCCGTTTATCATTCGGCTACCACAATACTGGGATCATACGATAGCCGTAGCGCGTAACGCCACTGTCAGGCCGTCACAATTAGAACTAAGCAGATACCGTTCAGTGGCGCTGCTGTGGGTTGATCGCGTCTCACGCCCGCGGCCGCGGAGTGCGTGGATGTTCCTTTCCATATCCAGTAGCACTAATGGTACATGCCCAGGAACTGCACTAGACCCGCTGGGACTAACCATTTAATTTAACTGTCCAGGCCCCTGACAAAATTGATGGGCATACCGCTTTATCGATCTTCTGTCCCTCCTTTATCAGCTTCGATTCCCAGCTTGGCCACATTCTCTTATAACTTGCGTCTAGCTTTCCTCATTTTCACCTAGGTATATCCTTCATCACGCTCCCTTTTCTGCCTGGAATTGAAGCGCACTTGGTTGCTTGGTTTCCACTTGTCCATACCGGCTTAATATAGAGGCATCATGCCGGGACGAACTCTCCCAACGTTGACCCAGTCCCAGGTCGAGTCGCACAATTCGGCCAAATCCTGTTATGTCACCATCGGTAGCAAAGTCTACGATGTAACGGATTTCCTCGATGCTCACCCTGGCGGCCCTGAGTTGATTCTTGAATATGCTGGAAAGGATGTCGCCGATATTCTCAAGGACGAAGATTCGCATGCCCATTCCGAGGCTGCCTACGAAGTCCTAGATGATGCCCATGTCGCATTTCTCGTCAGCGAGAAGCTTGCACCGAAGACACAAGGCCACAGGAACACCGTCGAGCCTCAGATCAACGAGAAAGTCACGCCCACGATCCATCCCCGAACCGGTATGTCCTGTGAGGAGGATCTTAGCAAGGACACCGATTTGGCCCAAGACTATAAGACACACAAGTTCCTCGACTTGAACAAGCCCTTGTTGATGCAAGTATGGTTTGGCGGATTCTCAAAGGAGTTCTACCTCGACCAGGTTCATCGACCTAGGCATTACAAGGGTGGCGCATCGGCGCCATTGTTCGGCAACTTCCTCGAACCTCTGAGTATGACCCCCTGGTGGGTAGTCCCTCTTCTGTGGCTGCCCGCGGATGCCTACGGAACCTATCTCGCATCGCAAGGCTTTCAAAGCTATGGTAATCTTGCTGCCGCTTGGCTACTAGGCGTCTTCATATGGACCCTAGTAGAGTATATCTTACACCGATGCTTGTTCCACCTTGATTAGTATGTCTTTTCCGAGACCCCTCTACAATGTGGCAATTGCTAACTGATTACTCTTTTGCAGTTATCTTCCTGATAATAGGGTCGGCCTCACAATGCATTTCCTACTCCATGGCATTCACCACTATCTTCCCATGGACAAGTACCGTCTAGTCATGCCACCTACTCTCTTCTTGGTCCTTGCGACGCCTTTCTGGAAGTTGGCGCATACGCTATTCTTCTTTAACTGGCACCTTGCGACGGCCATCTACTGCGGTGGAATCTTTGGCTATGTAATGTATGATATGACACATTACTTCCTTCATCACCAGAACCTTCCGCTGTGGTATAAGGGCCTGAAGAAGTACCACCTTGCCCATCACTTCCTTGACTACGAATTGGGTTTCGGAGTCACCAGCGCGTTCTGGGACCGCATCTTCCACACGGAGCTGCCTACAGTGGCAAAGACGAAATAATGGTGTTCATGAAGGCTGGGATTATTTTGTGATGAACTTCTTGTACACTCAATATAGGGTATTGCGGTAATCAAATGAGCATTCATGAACTCGGGGGTGGCGGCATTCATCAGTTGCATAAGAACTGAGAACCACTCAGCTTACATGAAAATAAAGTATATAGTTAATGTTAATTTCGCACACGTAATTTGAAGGGCGGGGGAAATGAATAAATGATTTACTTGATGGTAATGCCATTAGTTGAATACCATAGGTGCCAGGATTACGTCTTGCTCTTTGCTGTGTATTATTTCTCAACGATATCCTTGCGTCTCATTTGGACAGCCCTTTCCATTTTATATCAACCATTAGTCGCCATTCCTTTTATCTATCATTGCATAATTCAATTGACAATGAGTTATACTTTATGTATCTATGCATAAATCTAGTACGCAGAGATAATATTCAAAACAGTCAATGAACCATTTACCGTTGGACGGCATAACAGAGGGGCAATATAAATCATCAACATGAATACGTTACCTTCTCTAATTACATTTGAATCTTTGACACTACTGCCAACTCAGGATCAAGTTTTACAGCTATAGAAACAGTTCCACCGACAAGCGTCTCTTTCAAGAACCCTAATCGAAGCAGCTTGCGACCTCGACTCACTATGAGCTGATATGATAGCTTGGGGATTCTATCCTCGGACTTATAAACGGTAGGGCCGCAATCAAGAAACTGGAAGGGCTACTATCTAGCACCATCAATGAGCCCATTAGCGATGAGCGACGCAACATTGTGATCATACCTCTCACAGTCCTAAATCGTGTGGTGCAATAGTTGGATTTGATTGAGCACTTTGGATCAATCAACAACGACTCTGTGCTGGAACACGTCATCAGGAGGGCAGGAGTCCATGGCATATGCGCCGGTCTTCTCACTGCCCAGGCAGTATCAAGTGCCACGACGGTGGATCAAATTGCGGTTCTCTGCTGCACGTCACCTAGGTTAGCTTTTTGCGTAGGCGCCTATGTTGATCTAGACCAAATCAGCAGCGATGGGAAAATTAAGGGCGCGACCTTTGCTGTTCGCTGAAAAGCCCCTAAAAAAACTTGATGATATTCAGAAAATCTTTCTTTCTAAGGCATCCGAAGGCTGGTTCTTCCATGCCTTTCTATTCCTTTGATGCTGACTTGTGGGTGGTAAAGACGTATGTAGCTGCCATTAGAGATGAATGAGATATAATGATCGCCACACCGGTAGAGGCAGCAGAAAATCTACGGCAAGATCTCTCGCGAAATAACGTCTCGTTTATTGAGATTAGACTGAACGGGAGATATCATACTAGTAAGCATGTTGATGTTCCGAGCAAGATCATAAAAGCAAACGAGGGGTGTGTTGATCTGCGATTTAGCAAAGCTGAGCTTGTGAGGTCGAGTTTTAACGGCCAGATCATTCTTCGCCACAACGCCATCCGTATAGTACTGGAGTCAATCTTGGTGAAAAGCGTGAATTGTCATCTGACTATTATTTCCACCGTGGTACAGTCTATCAACAAGCGATCGCTTATACTGGCAATTGGTGAGAAATACCATGTTGTCAAGGTCAAGATGGTACTGTCGGCGGATAGGTTCTGTAATCTACTGATGAATTAGTATAATCGATGACGAAGGTAACAGGTGAAACTGGCTGCGGTCCTGGTTGAGAAAACCTTTTTGTTTCTATATAAGTTTACTACATATACAGGTAGAATGGTAGATGTAGATTAAATATTAAATCAAGGAGCTGGCATTGTCTCAATATTCGCCACTGCCTGATAGACGTCGTTGTTCTTCACTTTTTACTCTTTATTTTGTTTTGGAAGAATTTGAGTGAATCTTCTCATTTCTACAGTCATATCAGTATCATGCAATAAACTCTGATGTGATGTTGCTCGTGTGTGCTTAGGTTGGAACGGTTGTTCTCTATTTGACACACACAATCAATGCACATTGACTTGCGATTGCGAATGCTGATGAGTATACCGTATGGAATACACTGTACATTCTGCAACTTCTAAAGGCTTCAAGTTTATCCGAGACAATGGCGGGTGGGTCTTCTACATCGACCCACTTGCCCGCCACTTTGCAGAGGCTCTGCCTTCCTACTTCGTATCTAATCCTTACCCGGTGACCTTGCTTCAGTTATCTAACAGTTAAGGCTACGACCACCTGACCTGATCTGCCAACTAAATCATCTTTTCCCCTCCAGGTTATTCCCCCCCGTTCATCTGTTAAGAGTGAGCACCGCACAGCAGCTCCTATTCGCACAATCACTCTTGAGTCTTAGGTCAGCATCTTTTCCCTGGAATATAGCAGCCCAAGATGGCCACACTTGACGTAGAGGCTTTGCTCGACGCCACTGCTAGCAAGAATGACGATGTGAAGGAACCCCAGCCCCGCGACTCTGCCGACCGAGAGAGATCCGATCGAACCGACCGGCGGGATCGCGACCGTAGTCCGGATCGTAGCCGACGAGACCGTAGCCCTAGGAGGCGCGATCGGAGCAGTGATCGTGGTCGACGTGACCGAGGTGATGACAGAGAAGCCACTCCCCGAAGTGATGCAGGTAGCCATAAGAGTAGGCGCAGAAGCCGGAGTCGTGATGATGATCGCCGACACTCACGCCGTCACAGAGGAGGTGATGGGGATTACTATCGTAGCGGCCGTGGTGGCCGAGACCGCTCACGCTCTCGTTCGCCTCGCCGGCATTACCGACCGAGGGATGATCACCGCGACCGTGATGACCGCGGGTCATACCGAAACAGAGACGATGATAGGCCCCGCAACGGCCGGACTCCTAAGCGCGACGCTACGCCCGTGTTGACCGAGGATGAGCGTGATCGTCGCACCGTATTTGTCCAGCAACTAGCAGCTCGTTTACGCACCAAAGAGCTTAAAGAATTTTTCGAAAAAGTTGGCCCTGTGAACGAGGCCCAGATTGTCAAAGATCGCATTAGTGGAAGGTCTAAAGGGTAAGTATCTATAGTTGCCCCTCCCTTATGGGCGCTACTGACTCTGTGCTTTGTAGAGTTGGCTATGTTGAATTCAAAAACGAAGATTCTGTCACTGCAGCCCTTCAGCTCACAGGTCAAAAACTAATAGGTATTCCGGTCATCGTTCAACTTACGGAAGCTGAAAAGAATCGCCAAGTGCGTAATACCGACGGCTCCGGCCATGGCAACTCGGTTCCCTTCCATCGCCTCTATGTAGGAAATATCCATTTCAGCATTACCGAACAAGACTTGCAGAATGTCTTCGAGCCCTTCGGCGAACTTGAATTTGTTCAACTTCAGAAAGACGATACCGGCCGTAGCCGTGGTTATGGATTCGTACAGTATGTTTCCCCCCTCCCCGACTAAAGCATTTTTTTGGCTCTTGTATACTAATTAATACTCAGGTTCCGCGATGCCGACCAAGCTCGGGAGGCGCTTGAGAAAATGAATGGATTTGACCTTGCCGGTCGCCCAATTCGTGTTGGTCTTGGAAACGATAAGTTTACCCCTGAGTCAACTGCCAATCTCCTACAGAGATTCCAAGGCCAAAACCAACCATATCAGGGCTCTGCTTTCTCCGGTGCTGGTGGACGAGGTCCTCAGACCTCTGGCTTCGATCGAGCTGGTGGTCGTGACAACGACAAGGCAACCGGTGCCAGTGCCCTGGACGACACTGACGTTGCTGGTGTAAATTTTAACAATTATAGTCGTGATGCCCTTATGCGAAAACTTGCTCGAACAGATGAGCCCTCTAACGGCACGCCAAACGAAGGACCAATCGTTAAACCTAAGACGGAGACCAAACCCCTTCCTGTCAAGGTAAACATGGCTAGTCGCTGTGTAGTCTTGCACAATATGTTTGATGCCCAAGAGTACGTCACACCCCGTAAAATCGTCTAAATTGGCCTTAACTAACAAAGAAATAGGGAACAAGGTGAAAGCTGGGTTAAGGAGCTCGAGGATGACGTTAGACAGGAAGCCGAAGAGAAATATGGCCACGTCGTTCATATTTCGCTCGATCCTAATTCGCAGGGCGACATTTATCTCAAGTTCGACAAAGTTCAGGGAGGCGAGAATGCCATCAAGGGCCTTAACGGCCGTTATTTTGGAGGCCGCATGATTAGCGCCGCCCCTGTTGTGGATGCAGTCTACAGCAGTTTGTTCTCTCGCACCAAGGCTTTCTAACATACTAATTAATGGCCTGACTTGTCTGCTCCTAGGAAACCTAATAGTAAGTTGAAAGCCTGTTTCTATCTAATGTGCATTCTATCCATATTAAACCTATGATAGGCTTCGTTGAACTCGGCCCTTGCGGCGCACGATACCTCCGATATCTCGCTGATTGCGAGCTTCAAAAGTTTTTCCCTGGTAAACGGCACGAGGTCCTGCGACTCGTCTACGGTTATTTGTCGATTTTCCTTTACCCATGCGCAGACTGGCAGCAAATGACTTGACGCTGATTCTACTGCAGCACATGACTTACCCACACATACCCACACTCCAAATGTACACGAGGACAAACCATCCTCATTCACTAGTTTGCCGGCAGCACCAACTACACTGATGACTCCTAGGACAGATGTGGTAATTTAACAAAGCAATGGGCCACTGAAGCAAGTGTATATAGGGTTTCCCGTAGGCTCCACTGGCGTTCAGGTCCTCTTACTGCTACGATATGAAATAGAAAAACTGACTATAGGCGGTTGAACAAAAGATTCTTTTGAGAGTAGTGACGTTCTATGTAGCTTCAACGTATATGTATCATGATGTTAAATGATCTTAGGCAGCCTTGCATTATAAACTGCTTGGTATGATTAGAGTTATGTGTGAAGCATGTAGATTGATGGTCCTGAAATCACCCAAGATATTCTCAATTGCAGTCGTATTGTTAAATCGTGAAAGAACATGAGCTAATGTTCAGAGTGTTTTGCCTGGCCCCCTACATTGGCATGATCTACACCAACCTCATCTATCTCGTCCCTCCTTATAATTCCTTTCACCGAAATCAGAATCAAGCACTCAAGCATCATAGGCTACCATCGCTTGTAGACTAGATTTTACATCCCTTCTCCCGCTTTTCCTTGCCCACCAAAAAGGATCCATGTACTTATGAGCGACGATTTCTAACGCCAAGAACTTGACAAATTCATTTCCATTAGCGCTCGGATACCCTGAACGGTAATCGGCGGTGTATGCGCTCGTTGATGCGGACGAAGTTCCGCTCATTGTCTGCGGTTATGACGCCGTGGCGGATCAGGAAATCTATCAGGACCACAGCAGCGTCGGGCTTGAACTCGTTGTTCAGCAGCGCGCTCTGCACATCCCCGACACTCATGAGGTTGTAGCTCCCGACCTCGCCGTCGTGGGGCTTCGGAATAACGTCCTCTGGCAGCTCCATGTCGTATGTGTAGACGATGCCGGGACACAGGAGCCCGGACTCGCCGGGCCAGCCGTGTATCGCGTCGGTCGAGCTGACGTACGTTAACAGGCCCGTGGACCGCACCCTTGTGCGCATCAGCTCGGGCTGCAGCGCAGCCTCTTCACCTGCCTCCTTGATGATGGTCTCCAGGGCGGTCGTGCCAGCCGCTATACCCCCGGCCACAGTAGAGTCCAACATGTTGGGGCTGCTGAAGAGATGCTTAGCGCGCCGTGGGATCCAGAGACCTGAGATCACGCCACAGTCGTCCTCGGTGGCGCGGGAGCGCACATAAGCGATCATGTGGGCGCCCTGCAGGAGGATCCCGAACAGCGGCGCGGCGAAACGCTCCATCGTCACAACGCCTGTGCTCGTGCCCGTGCCGCCCTCGCTGGGGCTGGTGGGCCAGGAGAGGAGGGTGAAGGGCTCGCTGTGCCTCTTGGCGAGCAGGCGGAACGTGTCCTGCTCTATGAGGATGTCTACCAGCTTCTGGAAGGCGGCCGTGAAAGCAGCCGCGCTGTCGGACCCCTGCGACGAGTCCAAGACCGTCACGGTGCGCGGGTGCTCGTGGGACACCTGGAACAAAGACGTCCACGGCATCTTGGCCACGGTCTCCGGCCGTAGGTAGCCATGCGGCTTGGGGTCGCCGGCCAAGATGAGCTGGTAGTATACCTCTAGCAGATCGCGGTCATAGGGGAAGCTTGATTGAGGGAGTGCGCATGAGCTCAACGTCGGGACAATCTAGGAGAGGGGAATGGAAGGGAAGCGGAAGGAAGAGAGAGTTGTGTAGAGGTGAGGCTGGGCTTACTTATCAGCATTTTGCACGATGGGTAAGTAGGACTTGCCTACTGTTGAGCGACCCATGGCTTTGTCCTTCTGGTTGGGATCCTGTGGCGTGTCTTGAGGTGTCTGTGTCTCTGGTTCTGGCTAAGCTAGTGTATGTATATGTTGATTATCATCAATGGCTCTTGGGTCGAGTTGAGTGTGTTCGTTCCAACGGGGCCAGCCACTGGTGGTCACAGGTAGGGCTTAGATATGAATCCCTCCCAATAATGTGACGCTACCTATAGGGAGGTGCAGTGGGGGGGAGTGCAAGTGAGGAGGTTTGATTGGGATGGCTGACCGCTCGCTCGTGCGTTGCGGCGAAGAAAGACGCTTGACTTGTAATACAGTAGTAGGTACTTGTCTAACCCAGGCTTGTCTAAGGACTAAGGACAACTAAGGATAGCACTTGCCGGCTTATAGGAGGTGCGGAAGAGGTGTAGAAGAGGTGTAAATTGTAATTAATTAGTTAGTTGCTACGAACGGGTATAGTCGCCCTTTGACTACAGTACAAAGCAGAGACATACTTGCCTTACCTTAGCAGACCTTAGGTAGGTGGATAGGCGAGATATAGGTACATAGTGAGGATAGAGAGAATAAGGGATAGCGTAACAACGCAAGGCGATCCAGATGTTACTCCTGGCCGATCGGCCGAAACAGGCAATGCAGACCGTTATAGAGACTTGGCGCTATTATACATTCTACCACGATGTTTCCGAACAAGCCCCGCCCGCTCTTGACTGTTGGTCTCTACTGCAAATGTGCAACAGTTTATCCTCAAGTCAATGAATAGAAGCCTGCTCACCCGGTTTGTTTCCATGTCAAGTACTGTATCTACATACAATTCAATAACCATGTTCACCCCTTACCAGCCCTTGCGGACTTCAATGGGCAGGGCGAAAGTGGCTACCGCATGTTAGTCCACGATGAACATGTTATAAGGCACTAAGTACCTAACGCATCGAGTAGCTAGCATGACAAGATGGTAGACCGCTTATATTAAATCTGTTCACGGCGCCACACAATTGCATATCAAATCTCTAGTTGTCGCCAAGTTGACAACGCTTCTTCCAGGCCCTGGAAGGCGTCATATTTAGAAGATGAAACAACAGCGTACGAGTGGATTCAGGGCAAAGGAACCGGACCCGAATTCCTTGGCCACATCATGGCGGCCGGGCAATATACAGGGTTCCTCGTGGAATACGTGGGCGGTGCCTGAATGGCGGGACCTGCAGACTTATCAACTTGCCGGATAGCTTTGGCGAAGCCGTATGCGTTAGGCATACGAAGTACGAAGTAGAGCATCACTCCCTCATGCGCGATAGCGAGGCCATCATCATTGGCTTTGAGTCAGTATGAAAGCAGTGCCAGGGACTGTCACTAAGAGATACACATCTATAATCTTCCAAGTTGGTAACCTGATGCGACTACAGGATATTGTAATTGAGCTGGTACTTGATACCATACTGACGTGCTTGTAATGGAAAGAAGCGGTTGTTAATATAGTAACGGGTGGTGGTGGTGATGATGAAACGTTGTTAGAACCAACTGTATTTACCCAAGACCTCCTAGGATCGACGCTACCTACTTACAAGTTACCAGGTAGAACAGGGGACCAATCCATCCTGTAAACCTCGGCAACTCGAGAATCCATGTAAGTGTGCCTAGACTACGGTACCATATGCGCCATGGCATGTACTCAAGGACTCACCGACTGATGAGCTACATAGCATGTGAAACCAGCATACCGACTATTACGAACATAGCGGATAAAGAGTTCTTACTACGGATTATGGGTGAAATGGCGGGCGATCTATTCAACGAATTGCTAGTTCAACGCATAGGATAAAGTACCGGTAGGTATTATGCAGCCAACGCGAGACGTTACATCCTGAGTGACAAGGATACCTAGGTATGTACATCACATCACTACTGTACTATGTTAAGCATCATGTTGGTTTTAAGGACTGCGTTTCATACCTCTTCTCTCTATAGTAAGGGCATTATGTACTGCTGATTCTACGATATGTGGCATAATGAAGCCGACGTAACCTCTATGTTGATTAGTAGGTGAGTACGCGAACAAGTCGTGCTTTAATATCTAATTGGAGAGAAACGACCCTATAACAACTCTGGTATATGTAGCTAGATAGGCGACTTTATGTAAGCTCGAGCCTCAGAAGGATGCATGTAGAGGATGATATTGTGGCGTCGCGTTGGATCTTCAAAGTAACCGTATTCCTACCAGGAAAGGGAGCCCCCTCCCAACAATTAAAAGAATGATCAGTTGGAAAACAAAAACAAATCAAAACGCAAAGCAGGGGCATGGAACAGATCATACGCAAATGCATTGATTCATTGTACAGGCGCGCTTTAAATATTGACAACACTCCCGCCAAGCAGGGGGATGAGACGTGTGATGGAAGTTGATGGCCCACCACGGCACCGACGACCACACACTTGATAAATGCCCGGCTGCGACGATGGTTTTACGATTTTACTTCCCTCAGAGTTCAGATGAACTCAGCGTCATTCATTTTGTTTCGTCTTACATGTTGATTAGCAAATCCTACACCTACGAGAGGAAAAATCACATGCCGTGATGACGAGTGCCAGGATGCCATTATCCTCCAAAGCTACCTTGTCTGCGGCGTTGGCTAAGGCCAGGACTGCCGTTCAACTCGACCAAGCTCAATACCATGACGGCGCCAAAGCATACTATATCGAGGTAGTGGGCATGCTTGCCCGAGTCATCTCGCGGGCTTCTAATGAGAAAGATGTAAAGAAACTAGAGGATATTGTGAGTTACCCTGTTAAACTACGGGACATATTTGAGCACTGTTGCTGATGCACACAACAGCGACGGGCCTACACGGACCGCATTCAGCAGTTGGATGCATTAGTGGCGGGCGTTTGAGACATAAAAGCGACTCGGATATGTTGTTAGCATTCGGCAAGGGACTCGGGACATTTGAAATCTGTATTTTCCATAACCAGGGAAGAATTTAAGCGCTTGATATCCAGGTACAATTCGGGCACTCGGGGCGTGGCGTTTGGATGGTATATACAAGGGATTCATACAATAGTTTTACATTGAAGACGCAATATACCCCAACATTCTCATCTATTGAGGTCTGCCTGTTGTGACAGTCTCCGCTATGGGTTCCTCTGCCTCTGCATCTATATCGCTGCTGGCTTCTTCGGATTCCTCCACCTCGCCGAAATTGGTGTATGCAGAATCTTGTTCTGCTTGGACACTGCTGATCTGTTTGGTGGCCCACTTCTTCCAGTTCTCGTACTGTTGATCTTCGAGTTCCATGCTGACCTGCATGGCGGTCTTGCCGAAGTATGCACCCATCTTCAGGGCTTCCTCCTTCGCTACTCGTCGCTCGACATCTTCCTCGTGCCGTAGCGCGTAGAATTCCTTCCGTACGATGTCATATGCCATTGCCTGTGTCATTCCTTCCACGTTATGCATCATCCATAATTGTCTCTGGACAACACTGAAAACAACACAATTAGCCCATGATTTCGCTGAGAATCCCCCAAACTGAACCCAAGAGCGTCATAAGAGAACAAGGCTTACCTCTCACCACAGAGGGGCATGCCAGGCTGCAGTAACCCCTTGGACCAATCGTATCGCTCTGCATCTCTACCGTCCATCTCGACAATCATCCTTGGCCTCGCCAGCTCCCAGGGGTGATCTTTATAGAACTGGCTTCGTAGGTCATCCTCTTCGTAAACTAACTTTTGTGGCTGGAAAAGTCTGCTCGGCTTCCGTATCTTAGGGTTGGGTTGTTTATGCTGGGGTGGAAGGGGTCGCGTGACGGTCTCGGACGGCGGTATCGACTCGATGACGTTGTACCAAACGGGTTTTTGAACCTTGACGTGGGGAAATGTGCGGTGGTTTAACATGTGGGTGACGGTCTGGTAGACCCGGGAGGGCCTGATCTGCCGTTGACCGCCGCCGCCCATGGTAGAAATCAAGCGATATGACGCGACAGCTTTAAAAAAGAAGCAACAGGCGGACTGATTGACTTAATTCAGCTGTGAGCGGTGTTGTGTGAGAAATGTGCCGTCGCCGCCGCTCGAGATGCCCCGTTTTGCATAGAGGCTCACTCGCCAGAAATTATTGAGATGGCAAGGGAGAACATGTTGATCCGAGATCCACTGTAAACGGCAATTGAGAGGAGCAGATAGGCGGAGAGCCGCGCTGGCCCCTCTATAATGACCGCACTAGGCAGGGATTTATTGCTGCAGCTGCAGCTATCTTCAACTACCCATCACTTTTGCGATCAATTTTTTTTTCTTCGATGCCTCGATGATTTCATATCATTCGGGACCAAAAATTGGCATTGCAGCGTCGCTCCACAGCCGATTAAAGCCACACAGCAAATATAGAAAAGGCTGTGATGACGAAACCACCATGCGGGACGCCAGCTCATGAACATCTCTAGAATAGACAGGTCGAGATACGGCGCGGTATTCTTTAGCCAACCCTTGCCGACTGCCCGCTCGAAAACCCGTTATCGAGCAGTCTGTACATACAATGGACACGCAAGGTCTGTTGCAAATGATTTCCACATCACCCTCCGCCGCAACCGTCTGGTCCAACCGCAATGGCCGCACACACCCCTCCGTAACATCTTCCCACACCGAACATTCTGCGCAGCGGTAGCCCCGGCCGGCGCTCGAAGTCCGCTGAGCTCGAACTTCTTTACCCCGTGCTCTGCGAGTGTGCGTAATTGGAAGCGTACTACTGTGTCATCCGCCGAGCCAGCCGAGAAATCGCATAACGCACACAGATCGACTTCCTTTGACCGACGCACTTTGAAGCAATCGAAAGACGAGGTTCTTGGGATCGTCGATTATTACGATAATACTTCAGTCGAAGAAACTTTCCAATTTTACAGGGATCCTTATTTCAGAAAGTATGCAAATCCTAATGGGCCTGACGTTGTGGTTTCCGATAAGCCGGAGGATCTTGAACTTCAGACCATCAGTGGTGAGCGACGTTTCGTTGAAGACGAATTTGTACCGGCACAAGAACTGCGAAAAGCAATTGCTCTTCGACGTCAATATCCCTCTCGGGTTTCTCTGGACACTATATGGGAACTCTATCATGCGCTTCCTGAACCCCGACCGGTACACATAAGTGGCTACACACGTCATGCCCTAACGGCTGCTTTGGGGTCTGTCGAACGAAAGGACCAGAAATCCATGTTAAGGTACTTCGCTGTAATAGACGACATAAAAAATTCTGGGTTCTCTTTGACCAGCATTCAATGGAATACAGCTATGTCATTTGCTACTAGCTACGTCGCGAGAACTACAGTCGTGGAAGTGGAGGCTGCTCTCAAACTATGGCACCAAATGGAGAAAGATGCGGGATTGAAGGCGACCGAGGTGACTTTCAATATACTTTTTGATTCTGCATCAAAGGCAGGCAATTTCACCTTGGCTGAGATGGTTTACGAAGAGATGAATCATCGCGGCTACGCATTTAACCGTTACCATTACACTAGTCTCATCCATCTTTTCGGTCTCAAACAGGACTCAAGTGGTATTAGGGCTGGGTATAGAGAAATGGTGGAGGCTGGTGAAATAGTTGATACAGTGGTCGTGAACTGTCTCATTGCTAGCTTCCTCCGATGCGGTGAAGAACCATCTGCCGAGCATGTTTACGAGAAGATGAAGGCATATAATAAGGAACTACCTACGCTACCCCACAGAGATTATACCATGGCAAAAGCCATTAACAAGGTCCTTGCAATGTTTACTCGCGTAAGCAAAAAACATCCTAGCATGCACCCCACGTTTCAGAAGTCCGCTCTGTTATCCCCGGACCTCCAAACATATCGCATCCTTATCAACCACTACGGGTTACGGCTTGGCAATCTTAGCAAAGTCGCCCAATTTCTCGATGAAATGAAGGCTTTCATGGTTCCGCTCAATGGCGTCGTCTTCCTAGCATTGTTCCAGTCGTTCTCTGTACATGGTGGACCAGGCTCTGACTGGAGCGCTCAAAGGCTTACTAGTGTCTGGAATGCCTTCTTAGATGCCTTGGACTCTGGGGCAGACGGCGTTTACATCAGCACCTGGTTGGCTATGGCTGCTCTCGATGCGCACGCTCGATATTCAAACCACGACGAGCTGCTCGGTGTTTATGATTGCCTGAAATCTAGATGGGAACTGGACGAGAAAAATACCCAATACATGCTGCATTACTTACATCTGCTACTGACAACGGGTCGCACAAGGGCTAACAAATCACGATGGACTTCTAGATTTGGATAGCATAGCTCAAACCATATTAAAGTTTGAGACTTGCATGTACTGTACATGTATTAACACAAAATGTATATTGCTAGAAGAGTCAACAGCTTTTTTTGTTCGCGATACCTCTTCTCACCTGTGTATATATAAATTAGAAAAGAGAATTGAATAGATACAAGCCGTTGTCGGACCAGCGGGCATAACTCAATATAGACTTGAAAGATAAAGGGTCATGTAAACATGTAACGGTAGGGTCATGCATTTTTATTGGCATGAAATAACTGAAGATTAAAATGGGGTTTACGTTACACTTATGATATCCTAATAATCAATTGTGATGGATATTGCATCTTTATATGAAAAACATAGCTTGAAAGAACTCCATTAGTGAGCTGCTCTCTTGCCAAACCCAGCTTGCACTGGTGTCAGTCAGTAGCAGGGATAGGTCTCTCTGGTAGCCTGTCTTAGCAAAGCAAAGGAGGACAGTGTCGCTTCAGGCAGTGCACAATATCCCGGCTGTGATGGAATAGAGGTAGAGAAGCTCTTACTTCTGTTTGCCGCGCCTGTTCTTGTTTGCTCGTATTCCTGGATAGATCACTTATATGTGCACAGTATGGAGGGACAAATGGAATTGTAGTTTGGCGGTCGCCTCTTAGATCTATAATGCTCCTATATGTACAGCCGCATTGTTTCCCTCGTTTGCATCCAAGGCATCACCCATGTCAAGTTCCTGTTCATCTGAAACCCGGCACTAATACAGAGATCCGATCGCGAGACGCTTAAGCCTTGGGCTTGTTGGTTTGCCAGACTAGAAAATACAACTGTTAGCACATCATATCCGCCGCACCAGGTCCGAATGACTCTTTCGTCGAGCATTGCAACTATATCAGTCGAAACAGCTGAGGGGTTGGTCGGCTCGGGGAAGCGGAGGAAAATTGACGCACCGGCAATACCGAAGGGGGCGAAGAACCCAGTGATGCAGTAGAGCCAGTATCGGACGGCGAAGAAGCGCGTCTTGGTGTTGAACGGCAAGTTGGAGTAGGGGCCCTCGGGGTAGTGGTATGGCGAGGATAGACGGGCGCGGGTAGCGTGGAAAGCTCGACGGCCGATGAGAGAGCTGATGCGCGGGCTGGCGCGGGCGAAGGCTTGGGGAGACATCTGCAGTGGCCAATTAGCTTCCCGAAGCTTGGAATTCAGGAGGACGAGGCGTGGGCTTTACCTTTACAAAGGTTGACGGGGGTGTGGTAGAGCGGAGATGGGTTTGTACTCTGTCTATGCTATTGAGCTCAGGAAAGAATCATCATCATCTATCATACGACGTTACTGGCTAAGGGAGCTACAGACAGGCCTGGTTGGTCGGATCGGTTGAACTTCGGCTAAGCGATGGTGCCTACGAAGTGCCTATGTACCTTTGTACTCCGAAATGAACCACCGGTACGTACATATGTGTACCTAGGTACATGCAAAACTCGATCTCACCGCCCAGCCCCGATCCTCGTTAGTTTGCCAACCTTGTTTGCATGGTTAGCTCAAGCTAGTTATTTTTCTGCCACTCTTCAATCCTAGAAAGTCTCATCTTTTCACGACAAATCGCTTTGCGATATCCTGTCGGGTCCATTCCCATCTCACTTAGTTCTGTGCTACGCAGTTAACCCAGTTATTTATCCAAGTTACGTCGACTGTTTTGAATTTCTGCCAGGTCGAATCACAATGGACGACGACCTTTTCGATGTCTTCAACGAGAAGCCGGCCGATAAAAAGGCCGGAACTCAAAGCCAGGATGGTGACCCATCTCCGGCGGGAAAGACGACTAAGTCAAAGAAGAAGGACAAGAGAAGCAAGAAGCGTAAAGCTGATGGCGCAATGAAGAATGGCGTTGAAACTGCCGCATCTGCACCGTCCGCGCCTGAGATCGATATGGCTGATATTCAGCCAACCTCTCCCGAAGAGGACGGCGTCGAAGAGCATGCTGTATCAGATAGCCAGGGCGACAATAAAAGACGGCGAAAAGATGGTGTCGCGGAACCTGTGCTGACTGATACCTTTGAGACCGCCGAGTCCAGAGAAGTTGCTGCAGCCGCAGGATTTGCCGCTACGAAGGAGGAAGATTCTCTTGTCTTGTCGCACAACATCCAGCATCAAGTTGCCCTACCGCCAGATCTAGACTACGAATATGTTCCGCTTTCCGAGCACAAACCGCCCGAAGACCCTGCTCGATCTTGGCCGTTCACGCTCGATCCTTTTCAACGCCTCTCTATCTCCTCCATAGAACGGGATGAAAGTGTGCTTGTATCAGCGCATACAAGTGCTGGAAAAACCGTGGTTGCCGAATATGCCATCGCGCAATGTCTTAAGAGGAATCAGCGTGTCATCTACACAAGTCCTATCAAGGCACTCAGCAACCAGAAGTACCGAGAGTTCAATGAGGCCTTCGGTGACGTTGGCCTTATGACCGGCGATGTCACAATCAACCCTACAGCTAGTTGCCTCGTTATGACGACGGAGATTCTGCGGTCCATGTTGTATCGAGGATCAGAGATCATGCGTGAAGTGGCCTGGGTCGTGTTTGATGAGATCCACTACATGCGGGACAAGTCGCGTGGTGTCGTATGGGAGGAAACCATTATCCTTTTGCCAGACAAGGTGCGGTATGTCTTTCTGTCCGCTACTATTCCAAATGCCTTCCAGTTTGCCGAATGGATTGCAAAGATTCACCGTCAGGCCTGCCACGTCGTTTATACCGATTTCCGGCCTACGCCTCTGCAGAACTATTTCTTCCCAGCCGGCGGATCAGGCATCTTCCTAGTTGTTGACGAGAAGGGCGTTTTCCGGGAACACAACTTTAATAAGACAATGCAACTGCTAGAAGATCGAAAAGCAGCTGAAGCTAACGACCCGAATGCCAAACAAACGGGCAAGGGCAAGCATAAGAAAAACTTTAAGGGGAAACAGAATGATTCTCAACAAGCAGACATCCAGAAGATTGTAAAGATGATTATGAATAAAAATTTCAATCCCGTCATCGTGTTCAGTTTCAGCAAGAGGGAATGCGAGATGTTTGCCCTTCATACCTCGAAGTACGCTTTCAATGATGAAAGCGAGAAAGCAATGGTACGCAAGGTGTTCACTAGCGCTATCGAGTCATTATCCGAAGAGGATCGCGAGCTTCCTCAAATCCAAAATATCCTCCCGCTTCTAGAGAAGGGTATTGGCATCCATCACTCCGGTCTCCTACCCATTCTGAAGGAGACAATTGAGATCCTCTTCCAGGAGGGGCTTATCAAGGTTCTCTTTGCGACTGAAACCTTCTCTATCGGTCTGAACATGCCTGCAAAGACTGTCGTCTTTACGAAGGTGACGAAGTTTGATGGCACAGCAATGCGTCCTCTTACCCCGTCAGAATACATCCAAATGTCTGGTCGTGCCGGTCGTCGAGGTCTTGATGAACGTGGTATCGTCATCATGATGGTCGACGAGAAGTTAGAACCTGAGACCGCAAAGGGCGTTGTTATCGGCCAGCAAGACCGTCTTAACTCAGCCTTCCACCTTGGATACAACATGGTCTTGAACTTGCTCCGAATTGAAGCGATCTCTCCTGACTTCATGTTAGAAAACTGTTTCTTCCAGTTCCAGAACACAGCCGGTGTTGCTGGTCTTGAGCACGAGCTGATGAAATTGCAGAAGGAGCGTGATGAGATGGTTATTCCGGATGAAGCAACTGTTAAAGACTACTACAGCCTACGTCAGCAGCTATCGCAATACACCAAAGATATGTTGCACGTTATCCAGCACCCTAACCACTGCATAGAATTCTTGCAACCTGGACGTTTAGTTCAAATTGCAAACCCAAAGACTGGAAAGGATTTCGGCTGGGGAGTAGTACTTGACTTCACGAAACGCAAAGAGCCAAAGTTTGGCGAGAAAGAGTATGAGCCACAAGAGTCATACTTCATTGACGTTTACCTCCGCCTCGACCCTGACTGTGATCCCTTCGGGCCTGCTAATCCCTCAACGGAAATGCCAGTCGGTGCTGCACCGAACGATCCAGGCAAGGATGGCATATTTGAGGCAGTTCCTTGTATGCTCACTTGCATCAAGGCGCTCAGTCAAATCCGCGTGTTCATGCCCAAAGATATCTCGTCGCGAGAAGATGTTGAGTCTGTTCGGAAACAGCTCTTTAAAGCCTTGAAAGAGGTTGAACGACGTTTCCCCGACGGCTTGCCCGTGTTAGATCCTATTGAGAATATGAATATCACGGATGATTCATTCAAGAAACTTCTTCGCAAGATTGAGGTCTTGGAATCGCGCTTGTTATCTAACCCCTTACACGGCTCCCCGTTGCTGCCTGATCTATGGGAACAGTACTCGAAGAAGATTGCGCGAACTGATGAGATAAAGAACCTCAAGAAGAAGATAGGCAAGGCACACTCTATCGCGCAACTGGATGAGCTCAAGTCAAGAAAACGAGTGTTGCGACGCCTCGGCTTTATCAACGAGGGCGAGGTTGTCCAGATGAAGGCCCGCGTCGCTTGCGAGATCTCATCAACAGAGGGCCATGAGCTTTTGCTTTCTGAGCTGCTTTTCAACCGTTTTTTCAACGAATTGTCGCCTGAACTTATTGCCGCGGTGCTTAGTGTATTCATCTTTGAGGAGAAGGTTGAGGCACCAGCTCTCCCCGAGGAGCTAATGAAACCATTTTCGCAAATCCAGGCTCAAGCTCGTATCATCGCCAAGGTCAGCCAGGAAAGCAAGCTAGAAGTTAACGAGGACGAATATGTCCAAAGCTTGAAGTATCAATTGATGGAAACAGTCTATGCCTGGGCTAATGGCAAGTCTTTTGCAGATGTCTGGTATGTATGCACCTGGGCGGCTCCTATGGTTCTCTTGATCATCCTATGCATCCCCTTGGTTTATAGTTGCTGACGAATCCCTAGTAAAATGACTGGTGCTTACGAAGGTTCTCTCATTCGTCTTTTCCGCCGCCTTGAAGAGCTTCTTAGACAGATGGCCCAGGCCGCTAAGGTTATGGGTAGTGAAGACTTACAGAGCAAGTTCGAAGAGAGCTTGACTAAGATTCGTCGTGATATCGTGGCTGCTCAGTCCCTTTACCTATAATGGGTTCTCAATGTACTCTTCAATGGATTATCATGCGTTTCCTTTGAGCATTGCATGAGCTACTTGCTTGGGGACTCTATGAACCAGTGGTTTACCACTACGTAGTAGGCTCCACACGCCGTGGTCTCGTCTGTGGATTCTGCATTGGTACTTTTCTGCTTTTCAAGGAGTTTGGGGGATACCACTACGTTCATGTTCTCAAAAAGGAGAGAGTGGAGGTAAGGGGATGAGATATACTTATGTAATTTTCGGTCTATGTGGATTACACGTGTGGTTTTGGGCGGTTGCGTATGCTTTAGATAGACAACCCGAGTATCACCATTGTTGGTGATGCTCAGAGCCTCTTTTATCGTCATTCTCTCTGCACCGTGACTTGTCCTGATTATGTAGAACCCATAGGCATTACTGTAAACGCCGTGCCATGCCCCTTTCCCAAACGCCATTTCTATGCAGAGTAGCGGCTTTGTACAAACAGGTTAAACAGTGAAAATAAAATCCTCCACTCTCTGCGAAATTACTTATCATCTCCGGAGATGGCTCGAATAAAGCCTATTAGCACGCCAAACATGATACCAATGCCTACCATGAACCGCCATCGATCACTTGACATGCCCTCTTCGCGAATAAGCCAACCTGCGCTCCCAAGCGGCCAGATAAAGCCTATGATGACACCCCGAACCAACAGGTCGACCAATGCGACCAGCCCAAGCTCGTCACTGGCCGTGCTAGCACCACCCATTCCCAACATGCCGCCGCCGCCGCCGTTAGCGCCCACGCCCGTCGCAGCAGTAGGCATAGCAGCCCCATTGTCATCGATCCAGGCATCTTCCATGCGACGAAAGCTGTCGGGACTTGGCAGTGTGTCGGGCGTATACCGCGAGGAATGTATGCTGCGGAACTGCAGGCGCAACTGATTCACCTCGGACGCGGTGAAGCCGGTAGAGAGAAGACGGTCGAAACCCCTCGGCGGCGCGGATGTGGTAGTTGTCGCGGGCGCACCCGTCCCTATCGTCAGGTTCAGGCCAGGGGTTGCGGAAGAGGCGTTCAGAGACGACGACGTCGGCGGCGGTAAAGCGGCGGCTTTCGCCTCGCTCTCTAGCTCCGAGGGCGACAGCTCGTCTCCGATGCTGCAGTTCACGTAGATCCGCGGTGCGGGCTCCGGGCGCCCTGGGACGGATTTCCCTTTGCTTTTGCCCCCCTGGGCTACGGCACTGCCGGCGTCCCCTTGGCGCTCGGGGTTGGTTGTTGATGGGCCATTCTCGCTCCGTTGCGAGGACGGCGGTGGAGGAGGGAGAGCGCGCAGGACTGAGCTTAGCACGGCTGTGTCTGGCAGGATCTTGCCGCCGTGAATAAAGCGCAGGCGGCGCCGCGCGTGTGCCTTGTCGAGACGTGAGCGGATCAAGTCCTTCAGCGAGACGACGGTTGTGGCGCCCGGGCGCGGGATGTCCAGCTCGAGATCGGGCAGGGCTGCGCTGAACCGGATAGTCAGGAGCAGAGGCGGAGGCGCCCCTGACATGGCTTTCGGGAGGAGAGGGGACCTCGAGGCTGTCGTCGTCGTCATGTTGTTGGGGCGCTGGCGGTGCTGGGAGGGAGAGGCATTGTGCGGGCGCGGAAAAGGGCTGGGGTTGCTTCTTCTACTCGCTTGACGTCGGGCGGGTCGTGGTTGTGGGAAAGGAGAGTTCACTGAGCGGCGGCTTGAAATCTATATCGCAGGGGTTTAATGGGATGTGGTATGATTGTGATTCTGGGAAAGAATCCCACCTGCAGATAAAATGCTGATAATGAAGCGCTGTAAGTGCTTGGCGCCTGCAAGCTCGCTGGCATGGAGCCTCAGGGTCTCGGTCACTTTAGCGGCATCTCTCCCGATGTTAGCTACCGGTTATAGTAGGTATATTTGTAATACTGTAGCAGAGCTGTAGGTAACAAATGTACGCTAAGATGGCAGACAAATGACGTGCTTTAACAGACCCTCCGCACTACTACGTATAGGTATACAACTGCCACGGATTGCGAGTCCGATCCCGGAATAGCTGCGTCACAACATCCGCTGGAGGACGTCTTTCCACTCGGATTCACCATAAATAGCCAAGAGGAAAAGGAATAACTAGGAGAGAGAAAGACAGTCACGATTCAGGCGATTCAGACGATAGGAAAATCACCAGCAAGCGACGACATCATTGAAGTGGAGGCTGGCTCGTGAACAGTCTCCGAGGGTAAAACGCGCCAGAATTGAGAGGCATCTGATAGGGTAATAGTAACTTAAATGGGCCGTGGTGGTTTTCAATCCTGTTCTAGATTTCTACTTGGAAAGAAATTGGTCATTTTTTCTAAAGTCCAACCTCACCCAGTCGTATACCGCAGATTCCACATTCCCATGGCTGCACAACTTCCGGCCAAGCTAAAGCCCGCTGCCAGGGTCGCCGGTCAGAGACAGGATGTTTGGTAAGCCATCACTCGCTACATGCCGCGCTGTGTTACGGGTTGGCTGATAGGGATCGTAGGTCCATTATCAACGAGGCCGCAGCGGCTTCTCCTGTTCAGCCCATCGTGAATATGGGCCAGGGTTTCTTCGGCTACAACCCGCCTAATTTCATCATCAACGCTGCAAAATCGGCTCTAGACCGTGTCGACTGCAACCAGTACAGCCCTACTAAGGGCCGCCCACGACTAAAGAAGGCCATATCTGAAGCCTATTCGCCGTTTTGGGGACGCAAGCTTAACCCCGACACCGAGATCACTATCACGACCGGTGCCAATGAGGGCATGCTCAGCGCCTTTATGGCGTTTATTGAGCCGGGCGACGAGGTCATTATCTTTGAGCCCTTTTTTGACCAGTAGGTTTGATCAGGCTATATGTATATACAAATAAGATGGGATTTGCATTTGTACTAAGGAGCTTGTGTCTAGATATATCAGCAATATCGAGATGCCTGGCGGCAAGATCGTTTATGTGCCCCTAAGTCCTCCCAAAGATGGGGCGTCACGGACATCGTCATCAGCTGAATGGGCGGTCGACTTCGAGAAGTTGGAGCAAGCCATCACGCCCAAGACGAAAATGATCGTCATCAACACACCTCGTAAGTTTGCGCACCTCGCACTTGGAAAGGAAAAATCTGTTTGAACCAACGTGTGACTGACTACTCATGACGTACAGACAATCCTGTTGGCAAGGTATTCTCCAAGGAGGAGCTGCAGCGCATAGGAGACCTCTGCGTCAAGAATGAGATCATCATTCTCTCCGATGAGGTCTACGACAGGCTTTACTATGTACCGTTTACAAGAATTGCGACGCTCTCACCCGAGATTGAGAGTCTAACGCTTACCGTTGGATCTGCGGGCAAGAACTTTTACGCTACAGGATGGCGTGTTGGTAAGTGGTTTATATCTCTACATTAACCAGCATGATTTGATATGCAGGTTCAACATGGCCATGAAGCTGACGAAGGTGCTCAGGTTGGTTGATGGGACCTGCGCGTCTGATTCAATACGTGTCCGCGGCTCACACCCGCATCTGCTATTCCTCAGTTTCGCCCTTACAAGAAGCCTGCGCCGTTGGTAAGTTCTGCCTTTTGGCCTTCTCTTCCTAGGTATTTCCCACAAAAATAATACTGACCTCAAATCCAGGTTTTGAACAGGCTGACTCAGAAGGATTCTGGGACGAGACGGTCAAGGATATGACGGCGAAGATTAAACGCTTCAACGCCATTTGGGATGAGTTAGGACTCCCTTACACAGACCCTGAGGGCGGGTACTTTGTCATGGTAAATATGGCAAAGGTCAAGCTACCAGAAGGCTATCCATTCCCACCTCACGTCGCAAGTCGTCCGCGAGATTTCAAGCTCGCGTGGTTTTTGATCCACGAGGTCGGTGTCGCGGCTATCCCCCCTACCGAATTCTACACCGATCCCAATACTTGGATTGCTGAGGACTATATGCGTTTCGCCGTATGCAAGGAAGATGACGTTTTAGAGACGGCAAAGGAAAGACTGAGAGGCCTGAAGAAATATATACAAGGTTAGGCCTAAGCTATTGTGGCTTGGTGGTGGTTGGGGATTAGACGATATAAAGAGTAGACGTTGCAAGTCGTATAGAAATAAATCTTTGCAAGTGAGAACATGTAACCTTAATGTCTATCTAGTGAATGCTTATCTACACTGCTCATGGTACGTTGCAACTCGCACTATATCTTTGTGCATTCCTGTAATGTCACTCATACAGACTACGACTCTGTCTTAAGATCATGTCAATGTTGCTCGGTTTGACTTCAATATTCATATTATATACATGCTTGCCAAAGAGGACTCGCTTGCTTCTTCCACCATGACACTTCGATTCTCCCCCCTAACTACGAAGTTTCGTCTACTTGTGAAAATGAAGGCACTGAACTTGGCAGTAATCATACAAGCCACGTTTCCCAAGCTCGCCACCAAATCCACTCAGTTTCCAACCGGCAAAATACGCCCCAAAGTGAGGCCGCTCAAACCGGTTGATCCACACGGAGCCAGATTCGAGTCTCTGCGCGATACGACGAGCCTTGTCTAGGTCCGGTGTGTACAAAGAGGCACCCAGCCCAGAATTTTCGAGGTTGGCGCGTGCAATGACATCGTCTTCGTCTGACCATATCATCACTGGTGTTATTGGTGCTGTAATGCCACGGATATTAGCCTCGTTATACAGATCTATACTCACTCGCCGCTTTTGATCGGGACTAGAATGTGCTTACCAAATTGCTCCTCCTGGACAATACGGGACTCCTCGGGTGGTTTTGCGATGATGGTAGGCGGCAACCAAAATCCCTTTTCGTCATTCTTGACTTCGCCGCCAAGGACGATGTCGTGGTTATTCTTCTTGCTGTCCTCGAGGATAGACTTTGCCCGCTCAAAGTTCGGTCGATTGCTCAGAGGTGCGAATAGGATGTTGTTGGGCGACCATTTCTTAGCCTCTTCGATGAAAAGCTCCATGAATTTGTCGTATAGGGACTCGTGTACATAGATTCGTTTTGAAGCCACGCAGACCTGTCCAGCATGGAAAAAGCACCCATGGGCAACGCTCGGGATGACCTTCCCCAAGTCTGCGTCCTCACAGATGATGGCAGCGTCGTTCCCTGCCATCTCTAGAATCACCTTCTTCATGGTCTTGGTGCAGTTTTGCAGGATATGCTGGCCTACGGCTACAGTGCCCGTGAAGCTTATCTGATCAATGCCTCGGTGAAGTGTCATGCGCTCGCCGAGATCGGCACCGCCATGCAATGCCTGGAAGACGCCTGGAGGCAGGACGGACTGGACGAGCTCACAGAACTTGAGAATTGCGTATGGCGTGAAGGGAGATGGCTTGATTATCACGCAATTCCCTGTCGCTAGCGCTGAAGCTACCTTCACGCTGCTTAAAATTAGGGGGAAGTTCCACGGCGATATGGCAGCTGTCACGCCGATGGGCACGTAGGTCCCTACAATCTTGACTTCGGCATCTTCATACTGTACATCATCCTCGAGAGTCATTCCCTCTAACGCTTGCGTTAGTTTGGACAACCTCTGCGTAGACACACCACAGGCGAGGGTTATATAAAGTACCTACTGTAATATTCATAGTGAAGAGCCGCGACCTCGACATCAGCACTTGCCATGATGAATGACTTGCCCGTCTCTTTCATATGAGCCTGGGCCAACACATCCTTATTTGTACGTAAGCAATCGGCGACACTTTGGAGTATCTTTTCGCGCTCATCGTGAGAAACAAATCTCCAAGTCTTGAAGGCGCGCCTGGCCGCATCAACGGCGTCGTCGAGGTCTTGCGCTGAGGCCACGGGGACATCCCAGCCTACTTCCTCCGTCCGCGGATCAATGACTTGCTCTTTGACATCCGAACTTCTCGGCTTTCCATCCACGATGTTGTGAAAGGCGAGCTCGGGAGCATCGCCGTTTGCTATTGTGGCAGGCATATCGGTGGCGAGTGATGTTGCTTTGTTTTTCTTACTTTCGCACTTACACTTGCTAGCGCAGTGGAGGATGAGCGGAATGATGAATTAGAGTCACCCCAACGGAAAAAATACAGCCTAGGATTGTCAAGACGTCAGCCGCCGCTCGGACTTGGGTCTCTTTATTCCTCCCCCACCTCTTATCCCATCCATGTCAAGAACCATGTTGTAGCAATCCTAGAGTGAGGGGTTTCCCTGCCGGGGCACGCGCAAGATTCAGCCGGGGCCTACCAGCGAACCTTGGTACTGGGATTCTTCGGCAAATATTCCTTCTTCCCCGCCGTGCTAGCAGAAAATAGTGGGCAAAGTGATGGGGTCACAGGTTGGTTCAATTTGAATAGCGCTTTATTCTCTTTTCATTCTAGCCCAAGAGTAAGGATTTAACAATCGACGACCCTCAACATGATTCTATGTCTTTATTGGGCGTTGCTATTTGAGCCGCAATCCGTTTTCGCACACTGCTATCTGCATGCTCAACCCTGTCATAGCGAGCGACTCCAACTATTGCCTAAGATTCAAAACTTAGCCTGAAATCGTAGCGACAAGAACGGCTGTCAATGAGTCGATCCAAATCAAAGCCCTTAGACAATTGTGAGTTAAATGTAGAGAAAATGTATAAAGAACTTTTGTTTCCTTAAAAAATAGTCTTGAGTAGGGGATCGGGAAAGTCGAGAATTGATGCTTGGCAGATCTCCTGTCCGTTCGGCTGGGCGGGGAGCACTGGAGCAAAATGACCAACCTAGTACAAACCACGGCGCTGGTACCGATTTGCCCGGCGAGATCCCATCTAAATGCCACTGGCCCTAGCATCCTCCTCCGATGTTGTAAAGTACATCCATTTTAACCCAAGAATCCACTATGTAATTATGTTCAGGTTTTAGTACACCATATCGCCGAGCGCCGCCCGTAGTCCTCAACACGCTTTGCTCACGATACTTCGTTCCCTTTCACACTTTCGCTAAAGAGTACGCTTGATATCACAATGACTTGTCGGGGCTTGCACTAAAGGTGAATACGGTAGTTTGAGAGGACTAGGCCCTCATGAAATTGGTAAGGGTTGGTGTGGGCCATTACGATCCCCCAAGGGTCCTCCCGCAACTCTAATGTCTGAACCATGAATAGTTTCAAGAGAATCTGAAGAGGATCTAATGTCAACGGATGACAAACTCAAACACTATTAGTGCTTAGAACGTACAATGGTTGTCAGAACCTTGTGGCATTGGAGTTTGGTGGTTATCGTCCTGAAATTCTACGTAAGTATATCTCAGAACGCTACGCGACAGGTTTCTGTTACCTACTACAAGTATAGACTGCCGAGCATTCCTATTGTTGATTATGTTTCCCATATACGATTAAAACATGCGATCTCTGCAACTATTTCAGCTATGATGTGCTTGCTCATTCCTTAACTAATAGGCGTGGTAATTATTCTCGATTTCTGTAACCGCCAGCTCTAGGTAGGTCCCCATTGATAAAGCTGCGGGATCAGATGGTTCTGCTCAAGTGCTTGTGTTAAACGCCCCAGCATGTTGTTGTCGCTAGGGCGTCGAAGTCAGAGCTCTCTTTAAATAATATGCACCAAAGCATATCTAGGGAGCAAGGGGGACAGTTTCTCGGAGGCAGTGTTAAGGCCAGGCCACAGGAAGAAGACAGGCAAAGAACGTAGTGAGAAAGTCGTCATCATGGGCTTGTATACAGCCAATACATGTTTCTTCGCTCAAACTCGTCACAAATTCTCTCGCCCACTTACGTAGCTTGATGATAAGCAGCTAAGCGACTCAGACGGTTTGTAGTCTAAGTCTGTCCAACAAAACAAGGGATGAGACTATAATGTCATATATTTAATGATTGGTGGCTAATATGCTTTGTAGCAAGTACCTGTAGTTTGCAACAGGGGTCTCAATGTTTTTCTTCATTTTGTCCGAGTTAAGCGCCCAATAAATTTGACAGTATGCTCTCTGAAAGATGAATAATAGGCAGACGAATAAAATGATGACTTGTTATAGCCTTCTATGGCGAAACTGGAGTGCCCTCGCACGTCCATGCTGCCTTGAAGTATGGAAGGGTGAGATCTGCATCATAAGTCTTTGTACCATACATTAGCATATCAATCGTAATTGATAGTTACAGTAACGGACAGCGGTAACAAATTGCATTGCTTGTCGCTCATATCAGCTGATTCAGCTTACTCGAATATAACCTCCGGGGTTTCTTCCTACAGGGGCCTCTGGCAAACTGGGGTAGCATGGGTCACTCTACAGCCAAACTGCATTCATATTAGTGCTTAATGATGCATCTGGGGCTTTAACGAAAAGGTTCAGTGATCAGTGCGTAGACGGTGGCTAGAACCCTTCGATATTACGAAGTAATGTGACTAAGCCATGTGTATGGGGCTACGGAAACCTGTATTCGAGCTTGTGGATATTACCTATGTTTGATATCCAGTCTCTGCGCTGACCCCTCACCATAAGCCTGGCTGAGTAATTGGGAAGCTGTTGAGAGGTGCAACCCAGGCGTACAACGAAGTTCAACGCTCAACACGAAAACCCCTCGCGAACTTTCGATTTCAGAGTCTTACGTGCATAGTTAGCTGATTCGCGATCCACGGGTTTGAACCCGATAAGATTTGGTGTTGCCGGGGAAAGGTGGAATTGCAGTGTATACTTGGAAAGCTGTTATTTCTGAGGCTTCATTAGTCTGAACTATGATCTCGTAGCCGGAGCTTGCATCTATCAGATCACCTTGTATCTGATTTCACCGCAGAGTTACTAATTTAAAGCCTTAAGACTAGGGGAAAGGGGTTCTCATATTCCTAACTTTGCCTTTCCTACGATGCTGGATATTTTTGATATCCTTCCTTAACCCGTCGCGGAGAAAAGTAAGGGTGATGAGTACCACAACTGGTTTTCGGATATAAAGTTACTGAAACTATTGAAGGCGTGATATGTTAAACTAGGCGCCCGGGGCTGGGGAGGAGTCCCGAGCATGCAAAATCTGAGGCAAGTTAGGCACCTAATCTCATGACCTGCAATGACTAACGTGCTTCGTAGCATGATGCACATCGATGGCGCCAGCAGTATCCGTTTGATCCGTCACGATGGTGACAGGATGAGTTCCGTTGTTGTCGCGTATGCGCATCCCCTCATTCTCAATACGCAATCCCCATCACGGGGCGGGCTTGCAAGCGCTACAAGCCGATGATCTTACGGTTTCGGTATGCATCTAGCTCGCAAGGAGAAATATCGGAAAGACCGTTGGAAGCAAATGAGCAGATTGGGCAACTTATGACGAAAAACATTCCTTGGCCAATGAATCATGGAGGTCTAAACCCTAGACAGCGCTTTTCGCTCGACGTTATGTCGATGATGCGGCTTGCCCAATGACGAGGATCATTCTCTATGGAGGTGGCTCTCCGTCACGATAAGTTATGTTTAGAAAGAATATCTTGGGGTGGGTGAGGTTATGCTGGCGAAGACAATACGGCCTTGAGTAGCTAGGTATTTCGAGTATAAGAACCTCAACTGTCTCCAGTGAATTGTGTCTAACCCTTAAGAAAAGACTTAACAAGTTTTCCCAAGACCATTCTTCTTCTTGTCTTAACAACGAACATCTTGAAAATGGATCACATTCAGATGATGTCGAACCTTACGGAAGCAGAGAGAGGGCAACCCCTTTCTCTTGTGACCTCCCTACCTTCGTTTATTTACTCTAGCCATGCATCTAAAACCTATTTATGGATGTATTTGCTCGTTGCGCCTATGGTCACAGGCTTACTGTGGATTCTATGGAAATATGTCGTACGGCTCTACTTCGTCCGAAGATTTTATGAGAAGCAGGGCATCCGCTTCGTAAAAAATAGTTACCCTATCTTCGGCCCAGAGATGTTTGTTAATGGGTTGGTGGCCAACAACAAAACACACGATTGGCTTTATACGGAGCGTCCAACGGACCTCTATGGCTCCGTTCGGGGTTTCTCCGTCCAGCTTTACACTACGGATGCGGAATCATGCGAGGAACTCATCGCCAAGACTGGGCATTATGTCGATAGAGATACGCCTGCAAAATACTCGTTCGGTCGGATGAGTCCTTACGCGCTGACCTTCTACCATCTGAACGATGGACGTTTCAAGGAGAGGAAGGTCACGCTGACACAAGGCATGAAAGACAGCAGACGCCTATACGAGATACTCCAGAGACAGGCTCAAATAGCACTGGAACGCTTCAGTGTGAAATCTGAAACGGGTACAACTATCAACATCCGTGATATTTTGGACAGCTGGACTCGAGAGTCAAGCGGAGAGTCCATATGGGGAAGCAATATCAAACGAGAAATCAAAGTATACGACATCAACGGAGAGCTGAAATCCTTCCCCTTCATGGAGGCTCTAAATGAAACTTTCACTGATTTGCGTTTCAACGCCTTCCGATTTTGGCATCGAGTTTGCTTTCCACTTGCTGCCATGCCCCTCACGAAAGAGTCTCGTCGCCTTGGGTACAATGTCAAGGTTATACGCAAAGCAGTTGAAGATATGATGACTACGCCTGAGCCCAAATCGGTGGCTTCGCTCGTCCAGAAGGCCAATGAAGGCCTTGGGATCCCAAAATTGGTATGTATCAAAACCTGCTCTACCGGTTGTGAGACCTGGTGTTCATAAAAATATCGGTTTGTCTTCAAGAACTAACAATTGCTCTAGTATGTAGACTGTTGACCTAACAACGCGATGACCATTATCTATGTAAATCTAGAAAGTATGTGATAAGGAGTTAGGCTAACACATTTTGGTATGGCAGCAATACTCGCGATGACCTCATGACAGCCACCATCGCTGGACTAGACACTATCAAGTCAGCTGTGATGGAGGCATTGTTCCACCTTCTCAATCCCAAGAATGCGTCATGGAAGCAGCGCATTCTAGACGAAATCAAAGATGTCAAAGAAAGAAACGGAGACTTGTTTGCAGAACTCCCACAAATGCCGGTGCTGAGCGCATTCCTCCTCGAGACGTTGCGATACGAGCCCCCGGGCTCCCTGTTCAACAACAGAGCCAAGAAAGACTTTGATCTATCTGTGCATGGTAAGAAGTATAGGATTAAATCCGGTACACGGATTGTCACCAGTATCCACGGTCTTCACCAGAACGAGGAAAACTGGCGGAAAAAGGTAGGCGTCGAGATGGCACCACTGACTGAATTCGACCCCAACCGCTTCCTGAAAAACGCCGATGCTATCAATAGCTCGGGCTGTTTTATGCCTTTCGGCAAGGGGCCTAGACGATGCCCTGGCCAGGGCGCAGGTTTAATGATGACGAAGGTCTTTCTCGTTGCGTTTCTCAACCACAATCCAAATTGCAGGCTCGTTCTGCCTGAGAATCTGGGCAATGATGCAGCGTGGTTCAACCTGTACAGTAGAGCTGGTTATGAGATTATCTGTGATGATAAGCCGGAGGCAACAAACTAACAGGCCTTTCATCTCTTCCTTGGTATCTCGAGTCTTAGATGCTTGGTGACTAGGGGCTGCCACTGGTGCGATTATGAAGGGGTGCAGTACCTCGAGTTGCTGAAACAGGACCAAAATAACTTTGGGCGGGTTTTCTTTAGAGAGAAATACAAGAACTTTTCCATTCCCATGATGCCTCTTTCTGACGTTAACATGATTGCCGTCTTGATTTTGATATTCGTAGCTCTTCCAAAATAATTATGAAGTAACATCCCCCCTATAGGAATTAAAAATTACAATATCTAATCACAACCTCTGGTCATATACTCACATGGTCTAATCATATGTAGGATATGAATTATAAATGGACTTATCCATGCAAACAAGCCGTCAGGTCATGGCTAAGCAACCTCTAAACCCAGATATCCCCATAGCAAGACCCAAATTCTCTGGAAATTAGTCAAATAAAGGTTTAACAGCCGTATATCATCCTCTATAATCCTCCACTGCGTGCCAGCGTACGCATTCTATCATACGTATCACACAATTTTTATAGTCTTAGACATTCTTACATATAATTATCATTCATGTTCAAGCCTCCATTTTCGTGGCCTGGGAATCTTCACAATGGCTGTTTCGCATGTTTTGAATGACACTATATTGTTGGCCGAATTACTACACTAAGGAAATCGTTACACCTTGTGCTATGTTAATTTATTCATGATGTTGCTGGCTTCTTCCCCCAGGCCCTTAGGAGCATATAATGAATTTTGCGATTGCCGAATTCCTGATCAGCTAATGCAATTACTTCGTCCACGTCGGCGTCTGTAGTCAAACCCTCGACCCCACCTAGACTGACGATTCCACGCAATGTTGGCTCGAAGAATGCCGTAAAATTGCTGTTAGTTTGTGCGATCCAGTCTTTTCCTTTATCTGTATACAGGACCGCGCTGCCGGGGTATGCTTTGTCATCACACTCTATGCACCCGACCTCCTTGATATAGGATAATGTAGCGTTAGGCAGACTAAATCATCGTCAGCTACAAAATCCCAGAATAAATACAAAGAAACGGGTATGACATACTTTAGGTCGCTCCCCACCTTCTTTGCAAAACGCCAACTTGCTTGTTGAAACTTGAACCATGCTAGACTAGGTGGCTCGATTGTTGTTACGAGCTATAGTATAGATATGTTAGAGACAAGGCAAAGAAGTAGGAGATGGACAGTGTATAAGTAATATTATAAGGGCAAAATCCATTAGGTAAATCAATCATGATTAGGCTGGGAATGAGGTTAAGGTTCCTCGAAGACTCGACAGCGAACCCCCTTTACTCCGTGAAGAAGAACTCACTATGAAAGTGTTAGCATAAAAGATGGTGTATACTTGATGGGATCTCAGTCAGCTTCTTACCCGGCCCAGTCTCGACCCATACCAGATAACCACCCGGCTTCAGAAGGGTCAACAAATTTCTCGCTACCTCAGGTCCCCGCCCCTCTTTCACGCCAAACAGTATCATCCGTACATGTACGACGTCAAAATTCCCTAGGAGGTCACTAGAGAACGGCTCGTACATATCCCCTTTTCCGAGCTTGATATTGGGGGGTAGCGAGGATGGAGGCGGAAACCTTGACGTGTCATAGTCCAAGCCGACGAGCTCGGCTTCGGCAGGAAGAGTCTTAGCGACCTCGGTCAGCCATATCGCCGAGCCCGTGGCCATTTCCAGGATCTTAGGGGGGGTAGGCTGTGCATCGAGTGCGGATATAATATGCGGAGGGAGCAAGTGGCCTTGCATGATATCGTTGAACAGATGATGTTGCACGTTCAACCGGTCGTGCTCTACCTGGGACGACCCGGAATTGAGCATGTACATAGACTCTGGAATACTTTCGGCAGCCATTCTGAAAAGCTTTGGAGCTTGGGTATGTGATCAGGAGATGTGTGACTTTAGCTACGTTCTGAAATTAACATCGCTAGCTGGTGGATAGAGCATAGTATCCAGACGCTTTCACCAAGTGTTTTTTATATCACTTGCAGTAAGACCCATCAGGACTCGACGACATGACCTAACCGAACGTCGTCGCCGGCCCACATACAATGATTACCTATTTGCCAGACCATCACGATACATGTATTATGCCCGTACAAATCGACCCGGCTGTATATTGATGATTCATCCTGCAGCATTGATATGCTTGGAGCCTCAAGGTAAATGACTAAGCATCTACTCTGCATGCGGTAAGATGCTGGGCCCGAGCATTCGTCACAGTGGACGTTGTATTGCAGGAAGGCGCCGTGTACGGGCGGTCGTTCGGATCTTCCGGTCGACTAACCCGTTGACTCCGTCTCGGCTACATGGTCTCGGCTCCATGCGCCGCGCTGGGGAAATAAGCTGATATATGGAGCTTCGATGCCGGATCAAGCGCGCCAACTTCCTAGTATTCATTTGCGGATGTACTATGCTGACGCCAACACAGGAGCGATGACCACAACTTACAGGGGATGAATATTGGCGTACTCTTTCAGGTGGACCTCATGATCAGTGAATGAATGCCTCGTTGCTATTCGACCCAATGATAGGGAACGAAGCGAAGTCCTAGATCGCCTCGAAGTCTTATATTAAGTATGTCAGACGATGACGAGTCTTGTGATCGCTATTGCTGATTCGTCCATCTTACCTAGGCTTCTACAGATGCAGAAGAGTACCATCGACAACTATTGCCTATCTAGACATACTCAGTGCATCTGCATACATGCAACTCCTACGAAGTAATCGTGCAGGGTACTTTTGAAGCTGCAATGAAAGCAAGATAACATTCCGGCCGGCAGTGAGGGTGAACTGAGATGATTACTCACCCCATCTTGAGATATTGCTTGACGAGGACGACAAGAAGACAATGCCGTGTAACGCTGCTTACGAATCCGGATTTTACAACTCAACTAGTCTTCAATCTCTTAATTGCGATGTGGGATACAGCTGCTTTACGCTCGTAAATGCCCCAAACGATGAGCCAGGGCACCTGTTGAACCCAATGAACCGAGAAGTTACCCAGTCACCAGCCAACTCCTCAGACACCCAAGCAATACGGCAATGGAGAGAACCAGCCATTGCTTTAGTTTGTCTATCGATAGGCGGCAGTCTACCAGATTCTTGACCTTCAATCAAGTGCCTAGTAGCGCAGCAGGCACAGCAGGCGGCTGCTGTTTTGAATGACGACACCTGTGTCTCACATTTTCATAACCCGAATGTCATTCGTGTCCCGCGTGCAACATGGTACAAACCCGTGCTACCCGTGATTCGATGCCTAGCAGAGCCTAGTATAACGAGGGCCAGGGATTAGGTTGGAGTTCTATTGTCCGATTCGACTGCCCATCACATCGAGATGGCATTTTGATGAATCAAGAACGAAGCTTCCCTAGGTAAGCAATTAAGCATGAATATCATTGTAAGCTATCGTCATGTGAGGGTCGATGTATGCCGGTTCAGGCCTAGATAGGGTGTAACCGGAGCTGGCCGACTTGCGGGCTGTAGTGAGCGGTTACTCCTACGGATACCTTAGGATACCTCGGATACCTAGAGAGCCCAGGCACTGCCCAGGGACAGCCTAGTGATAGCCTAACTGCACTAATCTCCGCTAATAGCCCGGTGTGAGTGTGGGGTCTTGACCCCGCTGGGACCTCCCCGCCGACTTTGTCTTGGATATCGTCGTTGTCTGATTCGTCACTGCCCGTACCTCAACCCGTCCCTACCTCCTACTACGTAGGTAGCTACATACATAGTACCTCCTTAGTATCTGTGTGTGTCGCATACCGCCGCCATGGCAGGATGCGGGCAGATAGACGTGAGAACCGCGTCAACTCGCCTCAACTTGCCACCCGCACTCATCCCTCTGATCCTCTGATCCTCTGATCTTCTGTTCCTCTCCTTCAATAATACAGTCTGTAGTCCGTCTATCTGTCTACCTTCTTCTACGTTCTGATTACCTACTATCTGCCTGCCTAGAGAATTACTGCATGTCACCACGAGCCATGTGAATGTACACGATACCGACCCTCCGTGATTAATCTTCCTCGCCGCTCGCCGTTTTCCCCCTCGAATTGAACATGGCCCCTAGTGCCATCTCCCCAGAAAGGCAGTCTGGCTTCGACGCCTCTGCGCTGACCACAGTCTACCACGACACACTCCGTTTCTTCTTGAACGGCACCCGAGTCGTCCTGGACGAGATCGACCCAGAAGTGACGCTACTAGAGTACCTTCGCGGCATTGGTTTGACCGGAACGAAGCTGTGCGTCCCTTTCTTGCCTCATATTGCTCGTTTGATGAGCGCATCTAACTAATCGCATGTAGCGGCTGTGCCGAAGGTGGATGTGGTGCTTGCACAGTAGTCGTCAGCCAGTACAATCCAACTACAAAGCAAATATACCACGCCAGCGTGAACGCTTGCCTCGCACCACTTGCCAGTGTTGACGGAAAGCATGTCATTACCATTGAAGGGATCGGCAACGTTAACAATCCCCACCCTGCCCAGCAACGGATAGCGAAAGGCAACGGCAGCCAGTGTGGCTTCTGTACCCCTGGTATTGTTATGAGCCTATATGCCCTACTCCGAAATAACGACAGCCCCAGCGAGCATGACATCGAGGAGGCATTTGATGGGAATCTCTGCCGTTGTACAGGTTACCGACCTATCCTTGATGCCGCCCAGACGTTCACCGTGAACGTGAAAAATGCATGCGGGAAGAGTACGGCAAACGGCGGTTCTGGTTGTTGTATGGATAATGGCAACAGCACAGGTGGTGGTGGGTGCTGCAAGGACAAGAGCCTAGATGGTGACCAGCCCATCAAGCGGTTTACTCCTCCGGGTTTCATCGAATACAATCCAGACACTGAACTTATCTTTCCCCCGGTATTGAAAAAGCACGAATTCAAGCCTTTGGCGTTTGGGAATAAGAGAAAATGGTGGTATCGTCCAGTTACAGTGGAACAGCTGTTGGAAATTAAGAGCCTGCATCCTAATGCCAAGATCATCGGTGGCAGTACAGAGACGCAAATTGAGATCAAGTTTAAGTCAATGCAGTACCCAGTCTCTGTATTTGTTGGTGATATCCCTGAATTGCGGCGTTACTCCTTTCAGAGCGACCATATCGAGATTGGTGGGAATGTTATTCTCACAGACCTTGAAAATATCTGCCAAGAGGCCATCAAGCATTACGGCGAAGTGAAGAGTCAGGTCTTCCAGGCTATTTATAAACAGCTTAAATATTTTGCTGGGCGACAGATTCGAAACGTCGGGACACCAGCTGGTAACTTAGCCACTGCATCGCCAATCTCCGACCTGAATCCCATATTCCTAGCGGCGAACTGCACACTCATTGCAAGATCTAGGGGTAAGAAAACCGAATTACCTATGGCAACGTTCTTCAAAGGTTACCGCAAAACAGCACTAGACCCAGACGCTATCATTGCCTCTATCCGTATACCAGTGATGAACAAGGGCGATTATTTCAGAGCTTACAAGCAGGCCAAAAGAAAGGACGACGATATCGCAATAGTAACTAGTGCACTCTATGTACATGTCGATGACAAAGGCACAGTTGAGCATTGCAACCTGGTATACGGCGGTATGGCGCCCTTTACTATTGCTGCCAAAAACACAAATGAATACCTCAAGGGGAAGATGTTTGCATATCCTGATACACTTGAAGGCACTATGAACGCACTTGAATCCGATTTCAACCTTGAATTCAGTGTACCAGGAGGCATGGCTTCCTATCGCAAATCCTTAGCTTTGGGCTTCTTTTACCGGTTCTATCAAGATGTCCTATCAGCTATTAACATAGAGAACAAGTACGGAGATAGTCAAGCTATCACCATCGAGAGCATGCACGGAGATAGTCAAGCTGTCGAAGAGCTTGAACGAGCGTTGTCAACAGGCTGGAGAGATAATGACGCTACCGCCGAGTACGCACAGGAATCTCTCGGAAAGGCTGGCAACCACCTTGCCGCTTTGAAACAAGTGACTGGCGAGGCACAGTACACCGATGACTTCCCGCCTCTTAAGAATGAACTCCACGCTTCCATCCTCTTCTCCTCTCGCGCCCACGCAAAGATCAAGTCCATTGACTATTCAGCTGCTCTAAATATCCCAGGAGTGGTTGATATTATAGATAGGAATGATGTGCATAAACCTGAGGATAACAGATGGGGTCCACCAGATCTTGACGATTTTTACTTTGCCGAAGATGAAGTTATGACAGCGGGTCAACCTATAGCCGTGATTTTAGCGATATCGAAGGCTAGAGCAAATGATGGGGTCCGTGCGGTCAAGATCGAATATGAGAACCTTCCAGCTATCTTCACGATGGAAGAAGCAATTGAAAAGGAAAGTTTCCATAATTTCTACGGCTACATCAAGAAAGGCGATATAGATGTAGCTTTCAAAGAGAGCGACCATGTATTTACGGGTGTAACACGTATGGGCGGCCAGGAACATTTTTATCTCGAAACCAATGCATGCATCGCCATACCCAAACCCGAAGATGGTGAGATGGAGATCTGGGCAAGTAGTCAAAACCCGACTGAGACGTATGTTCCTGCCAAACCTAGCCTTACTGAAATGTTGAGCTAATCAAAATATAGCCAAGCACATGCAGCCAAGATCCTCAACGTGCAGGAGAACAAAGTTGTGTGCCGAGTAAAACGTCTTGGTGGTGGTTTTGGTGGCAAAGAGACGAGATGTCACCATCTCAGTACCTTAATAGCTCTATCTGCGCAAAAGACTAAGCGCGCTGTTAGATGCATGCTTAACCGAGACGAGGACATGGTGATGTCCGGACAACGTCATCCTTTCCTTGCGAAATGGAAGGTTGGTGTTAATAAGGATGGTATGCTTCAGGCCCTTGATGCTGATGTGTTCTGTAATGCCGGGTACTCTCGAGACGTCAGCTCGTCTGTCTGCCAGCGTAGCCTAACCCATATCGATGGGTGCTATAAATTTCCTAACGTTTACGTTCGCGGTCGGTTATGCAAAACCAATACGATGTCAAACACAGCTTTCCGAGGCTTCGGGGGGCCTCAAGGCATGTTTATTGCCGAGTCAATTATCTCTGAAGTTGCCGACAGACTAGGTATGCCTGTGGATGATCTCCGTGAAATCAACCTATACCAGGTCAACGATCAAACACACTTCAACCAGACCTTGGAAGACTGGCATATTCCGATCATGTATAAACAAGTAAAGGAAGAATCGGACTATATCAACCGTCGAAAGGCTATTCAAAAGTTCAATAACAACCATAAATGGAGAAAGAGAGGACTTGCTATGATCCCGACGAAGTTTGGTATTTCCTTTACATCGGTCTGGTTCAATCAAGCTGGTGCCCTGGTGCATATTTATCAAGACGGGTCAGTTCTTGTCGCGCATGGAGGGACAGAAATGGGCCAAGGGCTTCACACCAAGATGATCACCCTCGCAGCCGAGGCACTACAAGTGCCGATGGAAAGTGTATTCATCTCAGAGACGTCTACAAATACTGTCGCAAACACCTCAGCTACGGCAGCCTCAGCGTCCTCTGATTTGAACGGTTATGCTTTATGGAACGCCTGTGAACAGATTAATGCTCGCCTAGCCCCGTATAGAGAAAAGCTCGGACCGACAGCGACCATGAAGGATATTGCTAAAGCGGCATATTTTGACCGTGTGAACCTCAGTGCCAATGGCTTCTATAAGACCCCTGAAATTGGGTACAAATGGGGTGAGAATACTGGCAAGATGTTTTTCTATTTCACTCAGGGTGTTACAGCTGCAGAAGTTGAGATTGACTGCCTTACTGGCACTTGGACATGTCTGAGAGCTGACATCAAAATGGACGTTGGTCGCTCGATTAACCCCTCCATTGACTACGGTCAAATAGAGGGAGCTTTCGTCCAAGGCGTTGGCCTGTTTACGATGGAAGAAAGTCTGTGGCTTCGTAATGGCCCCATGGCAGGGAATCTATTTACCAAAGGACCAGGGGCATACAAGATTCCAGGGTTCCGTGACATACCGCAGGTCTTCAATGTTAGTCTGCTCAAGGGTGTGGCATGGGAGAACCTTCGGACAATCCAGAGGAGTAGAGGAGTCGGTGAACCGCCCCTATTCATGGGCAGCGCAGTCTTCTTCGCAATCAGGGACGCCCTGACAAGCGCACGTGCAGAATATAATGTAAGGGCTAAACTAGGCTCGGAGGGCGGCGAAGACGATGGCCTATTAAGACTTGAGAGTCCTGCGACACCTGAGAGGATTCGATTGTCATGTGTTGATCCTATCATGGAGCGGGCGCGAGTCGTCCCCAAGGAAGGCGAAAGGAATTTTTTCGTCGCCATATAACACGTTCACACGCGTCGACTGCGTCTAAAAGCTAGCGTGGAATGCCTGACCAGCTGGAAAGTCGTGAGATTGTACCTATGGAATAATCAATAGCAACTGAATGTAAATACATGATCTACTATTCTTTTGGCGAAAAGCGATGACAGTAGCATGGCGATACTTGCTGTTTCAATTTGGGTCCGTCAATGTAGGTAGAAAGATAAGTTACATTATCTCCCCAGGTTCATCGGCGTTAACGCTTCGACATGCTCCAACTTTACCTTGTCGCCGACCACCGTACCCCATTCACAATGCGAATCGAGTGACTTAGAGCCGCACTAGAAACGTGTAGCCCACAGCACTAATGCTCAGTTCGCGGGTTGTTTCCTGAATAGGTCGATGAGGAATTACTAATTGAGCAGCCATGTTGACTACGTCAAATTGAAAGCGTAGCTTGAGACCCCGAGCAAACTGCCGAATGTGGACAGAAATCCAAGCTTTTACTGAATGTATATAGAGATAGAGGCGTGTATAAATGAGGGATTGTGCCGCCTTCGAAATTGACTGAAAGAGGTTAATACAGTTCACCGAGCAGCACTACTATCCCCATACTTATGGTGTTTGATGGAATCTTAATACATCTACCTCTTCATTGAAACGCCCGACTCTACGGCACGAAGCAATGTCCAGGATAGCTATCGTCGGCGCATCAGGCAAGCTTGGCGGGGCCACGCTCTCCGCCCTCGTGGCTCACAACCTCGCGCCGCCCTCTGACATCATCGCCATGACGTCTTCGACGCCAGACTCGCAGACATGGGCCAAGCTATCCTCGACGGGCGCGCAAGTCCGGCACGCGCGCTTCGAAGACGGCGCGACGTTCGAGGATGCGCTGCGAGACGTGCAGACGCTCTTCCTCGTCTCGACGCCGGATATCGCGCTCGACTTTGGCGTCGCGATGGACTACGACGGGACCGCGCCCGGTGCGGAAAAGGATATAGGCCGCGAGAGCCATCATAAGAACGCTATCGATGCTGCTGTGAAAGCGGGGGTCAAGTGGATCGTGTACTCGAGCTTGGGGTTCGGGTTTAAAGGCGGTGCAGGCGGAGAGAGCAAGGCTGGGGTCATGCGCGCGCATTTGTGCACCGAGGCGTATCTTCGGAGTGTCGGCGCTGCGCATGGTGTGAAGATTACGATCCTGCGCGAGGGGCTGTATAATGAGTCCTGGCCGCTGTATCTCGGATACTTCGATAGCAGGAACGCGAAAGACGAGAGAGACGTCGTCCCGCTCGCTGGCGATGGGAAGATCTGCTGGACGGCGATCCGTGATCTTGGCGTTGCGAGCGCGCTTGTGCTTGCGTCTGGTGGGATAGAGGATGGGGAGAAGGAGTTCGTGGGAAGGACGGTTTATTTGTCTACGCGGCCTGGGACGGCGAGGACGGTTGGCGAAATCGCTGGGATTGTGGGCTGGGAGAGAGGTAGGGGTGTGAGGGTTGATGTTGTTGGCCGCGAGGAGCATGAGAGATATTATACTGAGGATAGGGGGATGCAGAGACCTGGTGTTGAGTGGTGGGCTAGCACGTATGAAGCTCTTGAGGATGGAGAGTGTCTTGTGGATGACCCTATGCTAGAGAATTTGCTGGCGCGGGTCGGGTTGAAGCCTATTCCGGTTGAGGAGACGGTTGCTGCCATGATTAAAGGAGGGGGTGATTGGAAGAGCAAGCAACAAAAAGCTTGATCGATGCTTCAGTCGATATGATGGAACTTAAGATAGTCTTGGACAGAGTCGTTATGAAAATAATATCTGTTACATGGATATTATAGGATGAGCGTTGATTAAGGTAGAATATCTCTAGCGCTCTGTTCGTGGTCCCTCTATAATGAGTCTTCTCAGCTCTCTTGTGATCTTGACGATCAGGTCCAATAGCAGCCCCTCAGGATAGTGACACTTAGGTTGTATCTACAAGCATGAACAAAATGAGAAGTAGCGAATAGGATCCTCTTAACAGTCGAGACTTAGAACATAGGACTATTCAGAGACTCTAATGCTACAGCAAATCTTTCTCCCTTAAATTCGGGGCTCGAAATTCTGAGAATTCATTGTCGTCTTCTTGAGCTGCATTCGATCTGTCGATCGGGCTCTAGTTTACTTCAAGTTTAACACCTTCGTGATAAGAACAGCTCTGTCACCATATTGTTTGCGTAGAAAGAGAAGCTATATATTAACATAAATTTTCATAAGCAATTATAATTAGGAGTGGTATTCACGCAGTGACATAGATCTAGTTAGCATTACAATATTGGTGTGTCGTATATCTTGAGAGAGAATAATAAAAAGCACAATTTTATCCGATTTGTATCGTTATTATTCCAAGCAGTAAGGCCGGTGGGATAGCTGCGCCCAAGTAACTCTTTTCTTAGCAGCCCCTTTCCCTTTCTCTATTAGATGGGAGCAGACACTTCATAGTCCGCTAGCTATCGTTATATTCCTGGCTCCATAGATCTCGATGCTCCTTGGCTAACTGATTGTTGATCACTACCTCCTGTAGAAGTCGGCGGTTGAAGAGAAAGAATCGATTCCATAGACGGGATAAAGAAACAACCTATACATCTTAAATCCAATGATGCTATGTACCCCATCTACCATACTCAAAGTGAGATTGATCGATTGATTGATGGTGTTTAACGTTGTGAGGGTATGCTATGTCATACGGACAGTCCTATGAGACCTGAAGACCCGAAGATAACCGACGCTACCCCTGGCAGAAAGTAAGGCTATAAGCGATTGGATAAGAACAACCTATTGGCTACAAGAAGACCAACAGTTAAAGCATGAATACCCAACGGAAGGAAGGGAGTCACAGATTATATAAGGCCTAAATAAGCATAAATAGCTAAGGAATCTCCCATTCCAAGATAGGAGAAAGAGAGAGATTAAGGCCCTAGAAACCCCTAGTAGATTATTAATAAGTATAATTAAGTTCCAAGCCCTTTATAAAAGCCCTTATTACAGATAATCTACTATCCCCCTTTAGGATACTCCAATATAGCCTAAGCCTCTATATAATGGATAAGCTTTAATAAAATCTCCCCCTATATATATATAATGCTATTTTAAGCCCAAATCCCTATAAATATAGGATTACTCTAATGAAATACTTCCCCTACCTTTATTAAGCAAAAGGTATTTTAAAAAAGTCTATACCTTATGTCCAACAATTTAAACATTATATGCTACAATCCTAATATTCCTATTTAAAGAGCAGGAAATAGCTAATAACCTTATTAACCTAAAGCCTTAAACTTTTTTAAAATTATAGATGTACCCTAGCTATAGGATTCTAACTCCAGTTCCTACTATCCTAATAAGGATAGCTTAGACTTTAACTCCTTAGGATCTTTTTTATTATACGAAAATTATTCCAAGGATAAATAATGGTTAAGCTATTTACCTTTACTACTTTATTAGATTTAAGAGCCCGAAATTAGGGATGTCTTACCCCCTGGTAACTTATAGGTTGAATTAGAATGTATGGAAGTATTAAACGAATATTCCGTTAGTTTAAATTGGAATCTAGCTTTTACCCTTAAACGAGCTATATCCCTTCCGTTGCTACTTACTATACCTAAACCTACTTATTTTAATCAGGTTGTATCCCCTTTTCCTAAAGGACTACTTCCTTTAAAAGACCTATTTAAATCCATTAATTAATTAGCTTTATAATAAAAACCTTTTATTATAGCCTCCAAATTAATATTTAAAGCTATAGAACTTACCTTTTATAACCCAACTATTTATAAAAATATTAAGGATATAAAAATAAAATATATAAATATAATAATCTAAAACCTTTTATAATAGGTTATAAATATTTATAACTATATAAGTAAAACCTTTTAAGTAGCCTAATCCTTATAAAAATATAAGTAAGGAATGCCCCCTAAATAAAGAAAAGCATTCTAAAATATATATACTACTATTTATAATATATATAATACTTTAGTTAACTTATATAAAATAAATGTATAAATAACTTAAAAGTAGATAAAATATTTTTAATAAAAAATTATATAAGGAAGTATTACCTTTTTTTAAAATATATAGGGAACTATTATATATATTATATAAGATGCCCAATCTTAAGCTAATACTATTAATTAGTTCGAAAAGGTAGCGGATTACTATTATTAAGCCTTCCGGACTTTTTAAAGTAAGCTTGCTAAATAAAAAGCTAACCATTAGGAGACTTAAGGAATTATAAATAATTAAGCTACTATAATTAAAGGATAAATTAATTAATTTATAAATTATTCCATTATAAACCTTAATTAAGTTAATAAGCTATAAGTTTATACTTAAGTAGTAATTTAAAAGATTTAAAAATAATTGGATAAGTAAATTGTACCTAATATAAACCAGATTATTAATAAGTTAAAAAAGTATAATGTTATAACCAGCTTTACCAACTATCCTACTATAAAGTACTTGTTATTAAAAGCTATTTTATAATAATAAATCAGTAATAAAGCATTATAAGTAGTAAGGGCTTAATTAGTTACCCGGGCCTTTTGAGTTTAATATATAACAACAAAAATCTTTCCGGAAATCCTTACCGGAATTGCCCCGCTACCCGGAAGTAACCTAAAAGGAAACCCTAATAGCTTTAATAATAACGATAACCCCTTCGAGGGATAACCCCCCCGCAGTCCGCCTAAAGGACTACCTTAAGGGCTACCTTAAAATCCTAATGGGGGACCTAGAGGAGACTTGGATAACAATAATCCCCTTAGCCCCCCTATTAATAAACTAATGCATGCTTTCTCAGCTACATTTAGAAATGTTGGTCCTATAACTATAATATTTAATCCTATTTAACTTAATAAGCTTTATATTTATAATAGAAAGAATACTTTTAAGTTTTCCTTATAGTAGGTTAAGGTTAGGGATTATATATTTATATATACGGAAAGTTTTCCCCTTAATAAGCACCGTATTAATTAAATCGGCTCCCTTATAACGAATAAAGCTTTACAATGGTACCAATTTTACTAAAAGCAAATCCATTATATCGGTATTATTAATACCTAGGCAACTTATTAAATAGCCTTAAAAGCCCAATTTAAGGATCCTTTAACAATATACCAAAATGTTAATGCCCTTATAAAGGTAAAGTACTCCAGCAACATTGCCTAATTTTTTATTAAGATCCTTAACCAAAATGATTTAGTAAAGTAATTTAACTTAACATTTTAAACCTTTATTACCAAACGCCTACCATTTAAACTTATAAAGATGGTTTATTATAGTTAGGGCTATATTTTTAAGGATAATAGCAAGTTTCTTAATGTAATTTAAAAAGCTAGCATTATTTATAAGAATATATTAACGTACCCTAGGCTATCTTTAAAAGGCATGCCTAATTCGATAAAGGAGTAATCGAAATTGGGCTATTAAAACCAAAACAAAAAGAATTGCTCCAATTTAAGCCTAAACCAATCCTTAAAAAAGGATAAGGAAAGGAAACCTATTAATAAAAAGCTAAATAAACCTAAAGTCGATCCTAAAGATAATCGTTAACTTAATACTACAACTATATTAAAGGGGATTAATTAAACTACTATTAATAAATAAAAGTAAAACAAAATTAATTATTAACGGTGCAGTAGGAGCAATCACTATACCTTTACCTATTACGCCAAAAAGGATATTAACAAAAAAGAGCTTCCTCTAGCCCCTAAAAAAACCTCTTTTACTAAAAAAAGGCCTAATAATAATGTAGAACTACTATTTATAACTAAACGAACTAAAATTAACGCTATTATTACAAAGGTAATCAATCCTATACAATATATAAAAATAAAGGAATTAAACTTAGATTTTTAATTAAACCCTATAAAGTACTATATAAAAACCTAAACCTTTAAAAAGGTAACTTTTCCTACATTAATATAACTAAACGAACAAAAGATAAGCTTCCTAAACTAGCCTAAAAGAAGGCTAATTTAAAACCTAAAACAGGGTATAGGCCTATCATCCCTATAACCTTATTATATAATAACCAAAAACACCTAATCAAAGTACTTTTAAATATAAATAACACTATTCCTATAATATCCTTTTTAAAGGCTAAATAATAAAAGCTGCTTCTTATTAAAAAAGTGTATCTTAAACTTATACTAACCTTTAACGTAATATACGTACAAAAGGTAGAACAATATTATACGGAACAAATTATTCTCCAACACCAGGAAGACTATTTCATAAAGCTTAGCTTTAAATTAAACACCCTTAATAAGAACTATAACATTATCCTACCCCAATAATAGATAAAAGAACATTAACCTACGTATTTCTTTAAAAATACCGGAAAAATCATATTCGCATCTAAATACTGCTATAAAAATTATACCAGCCAAACTATCCTCAACCCGGGAACTACCAAGGTTATAACAACCACGCTCCAAGCAGCCACCAAAGCAACGATAGAACAAATTCCCAAAGAATTTAAAGAATTCCTCCCAATCATAACCAAGGCAACAGCACAACGGTTACCTAACCACCAACCTTAAAATCATACAATTAACCTTATAAATAGGAAAACTCCCCCCTAAGAACCCCTTTATACTATAAACAATCGCAAACTAAACACACTCAAACTATAATTGGATAAAATGCTTAAAACTAATCGTATCCACAAATCTATTACATCATACAAAGCACCCCTTATATTCGTAAAAAAGAAAAACCTAAATAATCCACTACACCCCATCGTAAATTATTAAAGCCTTAATACCATTATAATACTAATAAAGTATCCTATTCCCTTTATCGTAAAACTTTAAGCTAGATTTCGAAAGGCTAAATAGTTTACCAAAATCAACCTAAAATCCGGATTTTACTTAATTAAAATTAAAAAGGGTTATAAATAAAAAATAGCATTCCGTTATAAATATAAACTTTTTAAATATATAGTTATATTTATAGAACTTATTAATATTCCTATAACGTTTTAATCTATAATAAACTATATCTTTCGGAACTTTATTAATATAGGGCTACTTATATACCTTAATAACCTTTTAATCTATGCGGAAATAAAGGAAGAATATAATAAAATAGTTAAAAAGGTATTATAATACCTTAATAAGCATAATCTAACAATAGTACTCTAAAAATACAAATAACGCATATATAAAGTCAAATTCCTCAAATATATTATTAATATTAATAATATTTCAATAGCCTAAAACAAAATTAACTATATTATTAAATGGAAAGTATTAACTACCCTATATAAATTATAATAATTTATTAAATTTATAAACTTTTACTAAAGATTTATTAAAAAGTTCTTATTAATTATAAAACTACTAACAGATGTAAATAAAATAGATTAATAATAATAAAAGTAAACGGAAGCTATAAATAAAGCCTTTCTTAAGTTTAAATACCGTTTTACTATAGCCCCTATATTTATCCATTTTAACCCCTTTAAAGTAGCTCACGTTAAAACTAATGCCTTTAACTTTACCCTTAAAGCTATACTATTATAAAAGAATAATAATAGTAAACTCTACCCCGTTGCCTTTTACTTCTAAAAGTTAATACTAATAAAAATGAATTATAAAATATATAATAAAGAGCTATTCGTAATAATAAATAGATTTAACCAATAGTATTAATACCTAAAAAGCGTTTAACATTAAATTGAAATTTACTTTAACTATTAAAACCTGTTATATTTTATAATAGCTAAAGTCCTAAATAGATGACAGGCCCGTTAGGCATAGCAACTATTAACATATTAGTTTATAATAAATTATTAACCTAGTAAATTAAACGAAAAGGCTAATATTATATTGAAATTAACCTAATATTGCTTTAAAAAAGAAGGGAGTAAAAACTAACCGGTTAAATCGGTTTTATAGGAAAAACATTTTTTACATTTTAAAGGATTAATATTTAACTTAGCAACGTTTATATTACTAACCTTTAAACAGCTTTATAGCCTTTCCATACCTAAATAGCTACTAAAGTTCGTTAAGCTTATTAAAGAAGTAGCAAAGGATAACCTAGAGTACTATTTATAAAAGGATAAACCCTTTAAGGATATAAAGCTTATAAATAACTTACTATATAAGAAGGGATACCTATAAATATTTATAGCTATATAATAAAAAGTAATAAAAATAAAGTATAATATATAAATAGCTAAATATATAAAAATAGATAAAATATTAAAACTTATTATAAGAAATTTTTAATAGCCTAATATTAAAGCAACTATAAGGGACTTTATATAAAGCTGCTACACTTATTAATAAAATAAAGCCCTATAATACGCCCCCTATAAATTACTTTAACCTATAAAGTTATACTATATTTTATAGCAATTGGTTATAATAAACTTTATTATTAATTTACCTTTATTTAATAGCTATAACTTTATTTAAATAATAATAAATCCCTTTATAAAAATAGAATACTTTATACCCTTAAAAGTTAAGGAAAAAAAAACTAAAGATCTTATTAAAATCTTTATTAAGCATTATTAAAAATTATATAATATACCCTTTAATATAATTTCTAATAAAGACTTTAAGTTTATAAACTATTTATAAAAGGACTTTTTAAAGCTTATTAGTATTAAATCCTATATAAATATAGCCTTTTATCCCTAAACTAATAAATAAATAAAATAATTTAATTAAATTTTCAAAATTTATTTATAAGCATTTATTAATTATAAAATGTCCAATTAAAAAAATCTCCTATTAATTGTTAAATTTATATACAATAATATTATATTAGCTTTAACGTATATATCCCCCTTTTATATAAATTATAATTACTATTTAATTATATATAACCTTCCAATAGTATAACCTTATAACCTATCTAATAGGTTATATGCCTATTAAATAACGTAAATATATAAAGAAGCTAAGGAATAATTAAAAAAGGCCTAATAATATATAAAGGAATAAGCGGATAAAAGATAAAAGGCTTTACCTTAATACGCTAAAAACTAATTAATAATACTAAATATAAAAAACATTAAAATAAAAAGACCTATTAAAAAGTTAAATAAAAAGATATTTAATCCCTTTAAAATCTATAAAGTAATTTTACCTACCGCTATTAGATTTATATTACCTAAAGGATAGAAAATCTATAATTTATTCCATATTTTATTTATTAAACCTTACCGTACTAATAATCAAGCATTACCTAACCCTAACCAAATCCTACGGGAAGCACCTCCAATAAAATCTAAAGACTATTAAATAAAAGAAATTAAAAACTTTTTAAAAACCTAAGGGAATATAAAGTACTTAATTAAATGGAAAGGTTGGCCAGCTAAAAAGTATTAGACTTAGGAGCCCTATAAGCATATAGATAGCGCTGGTGTAAAGGCTTTTATTAAATAGTTCCACCAGTAGAATCCTGGCAAACCAGCGGACCCCCGAGCGACTAAAGCCCCGGACTCGCAGACCCCCTAAGGAGTCAGTCGTGCTCAAAGTCGAGCATCAAAAGGAGGGAAATAGTATTACACGGATAGTCCTATAAGACCTAAAGACCCGAAGATAACCAACGCTACCCCTGGCAGAAAGTGAGGCTATAAACGATTGGATAAGAACAACCTATTAGCTACAAAAAGACCAACAGTTAAAGTATAAATACCCAACAGAAGGAAGGGAGTCACAGATTGTATGAGGCCTAAATGAGCATAAATAGCTAAGGAATCTCCCACTCCAGGATAGGAGAGAGAAAGAGATTAAGGCCCTAAAGACCCCTAGTAGATTATTAATGAGTATGACTAAGTTCCAAGCCCTCTATAAGAGCCCTTGTCACATGCTACGTAGTAGCTTACCCAAGCCTCCGCAAGGGCATAGGGACGTGGCACGCTGTCCGCTACCTGAACTACCTAGTAGGGTACATATATACTCAAAGTGAGTGTGAAGCTATATACCCATTAAAGTCCAATTCCAGTTCTAAAACTCAAACCCAATTGTTGGTGAACCCCGTTGCGCCTCACCCGACACCACACCTCTTTAATAATTACATGAAGCCGTTTCTCATGTGCCCGGCTTAGGCTATGCTTAGCGTAGCTCATTTGTGAACAAAATTGAAAAACGTATAGTCTTCTCGGTTTCAGCGAATCGCCTTGTTCTACACCCATGGTCGTAGTACCTCTGCGATCTCTATAGACTAGGATCTTCGACTACTCTCAAGGAAAGCCACTACCAGTGATGAAGGTAATGACTGCCATGAGGTGGATGAGGTCCATTGCCATGATATCGGTGTTGCGGATCAAACGGAGGTCCAGGGGGTATATGTTGTGGGCCTGGGATTTGCATGTTAGGGTAACCATTGCCCTGAGGTGGTAAATGTCCGTTGTCTAGGTAGTGCCGATGTTGGTCGAATTGAGGCCCAGGGGGCATATGTGGTAGGAATGGGGTTTGCACGTTCTGGTAATTATTACCCTGAGGTGGTAAATGTCCGTTGCCCGGATAGTGCTGACGCTGGTCAAACTGCGGCCCAGGGAGCATGTGTGGTGGGCATGGGATTTGCACGTTATGGTAATCACTACCCCGAGGTGGATTATATCTTGTATGCAGATAACTGGAATCGGGGCCAACCTCAGGCCTTATCCGACCTCCAAGTCGATTATGCAGAGACGAATCTTTATCCACTGGCGTATGGTCAAATTTGCGATTCTGTCGAGCTTTCAGTCGATCACGCATAGCCGAATCTTCATCCACTAGCGTTTGGTTAAATTTGCGATTCGATCGAGCTTTCAGTGGGTTATGCATAGACGAATCTTCATCCACTGGCTTTTGGTCAAGTCTGCGATTCATTCGAGCTTTCAGTCGACCCTTGACCGGCGAAGCTTCAACCACTGCTGGTGGTGGAGCCGGAGCTCGAGGCAAAACGTCGTAGTTTGGGTAAAATCAAGTTAGCTCTATCTCATTCATACCAGGGGACAAAATTGAACTTATCTTTCTCGCCTCTAGCTCCCTTCTCTCCCCTTTCTTCCTTCGCTCCTTTTGCTCTTTGTTCGATTTTGGCGCCTCGTTTAGATTTGCCTTGACCACGTCCCTACACATGTTTGATGATCTCATTGCTTGGTTCGTTCCTTCAGAGCGTATCAGCAGGCATGTCCCTTAAAGGTGCATTGGTATAGAGTGAATCATATTACCTGATAATAACCATTTGGGTATCCCGCTGGCGACGGTAGTGTTCGGCAGATGGCTCCAGGGGAATACCTTCGTGAAGGTATGCTGATTTTGATATTCTGTATTTGTCTGGTGAGGCGAATGATGACTGAAAAGGAATAGGAACCATTTGTGCTTGAGATATTTAACTATATATACTTTGACGCCCTTGTTGGATGTACTAGAAAATTAAACAACAAAACAAAAAGATCGCACGTCATAAGTTTTGTACTATCCCTCGTCGAGGTAGTCCTGGAGATTAGGGATCAGAAGCTGCTAAGCACCGTAAACCAACAGGAACTTCGCGAGATATTTCAAGAATACTCACCAAGATGGTCGCAAACTTGTGCAGAAATAGATTCTTCTTCCCCTACATACGACCAGCTGCGTTCCGATAGTTAAAAAAGGCTTAAGGTGGGTTATGCCGTGGCGATATAAGCAGCAGCTTCACAGTATGATTGTTATAGCAGAAAAACTGTCCACAGATATTTAAATTCTCATCTGCCTAAATAAGAAAAACAAACGGGTGTAGTTTGGATGTTATAGACATAGGCGCCTAGCGTTTTCTGCGCACCAACAATTGACCGCAATCTAGGTACCATGTGACTGGGCCCTGACAAAGAACCAACAGCAAATGGTTTTAGATGCCTATCTAGTAGGTTTCGGTGATCTATATATGGATGGGGTCATGGGCATGACGCTATATGAGCTAATTATCGAGAAAAGAAGGGATGCTGCGGCAATTATAAGAATCGAGGAAAGGGATCTTTGATGTCGTTGGTTTTATGTCGATATAGGAAGCCGGCCTTCACTGGTACTTTAAAAACGAGGTCTCAGCAAAGGGAATGGATGTTGGTGGCCTTGTTCATATCATTCTCATCTCCCTTGATTTAATGTTTGCGGCGAAGACGAGACCTCGACTTCGGTTAGCACACCGAAACGCGAGATCGCATGGATTCCCTTCCCCTACGCATAGAATACGGTGAGCAGCCAATAAGCCATGCTTGAACTTTGCCAAGACTCTTAGGGGCGGTATTCAAGAGACAGATCTAAGGAAATTGCAACCACAAGCAGAGGGTCGAAGATCACAGTCGTCCCGGATGAGGAGTAGTGATTCGAACGCTACTGGCAGTTAATAGGGTTGGCATATTCATATATTTATCTAGTCAAAGGCGTACGATCTTCATCTTCATCACCGATTGCTATCATATTAGCATGTACTCGAGGAGGTAGCTGGGTGGTAGAGGCCATGGCATTTTGCCTTGCGAATACAAGTCGCAGCCAGCGTCATTGATACCTCGTGTAACCATACAACTTAGCCGATGAGCAGGTGCATTGGTGTGAGGGGGTCTTTTGGAATGGCTGTCAAACGCTACAGGTCTTTGTGTGAATAACTAGAGTGAAAACCCGGGAGAATTGGTTCATTTGGCATCCTTCACCGCTTTTCCCTCCCTCGAGTAAAAACAAACTGTCTCGACTTCGAAGAGGTTACTAGAAAAAGCACCGTGGCGCCTCCTCTTTTGAAAAAGCCGGCGGACTGCATTGTGGCTGCTGCATGTTGCTGCATCTGCATGTGCGTGTCTCTGTCTCTGCCTCGGCATCGCTCTGGCGATAATTCAGGTCTACCAACTTCATTGGTAGATAGATACCGCAGGCTAGATAGCTGCTACCTACTTAACCTAACCTAGGTACCTACCTAGTTAGTCTACGAGCTATGGTATAGCAAACTCGATAGCGGGCAGGGGATGCCTGTCATTTCTTCTTGATAATAGCTCCCCATTCCTAAGAAAAAAAGCCACCTATTGCAAGCAAACAAACTCAACAATTCCTAATATATATATATTTTTGAACATTTTTCGTGTGTACCTTATAACTCAGACGCGGGTATCCGACATGGCGGGACCGAGAACAAACCAGAAGACGGTGCTTGTGACTGGGTAAGGTGACATTGGCCTGTGTTACGCAGCGTTTCCCTAACACACGACACACCTAGCTACTCAAGTAGCTATCGCGACTCCGCTAACGCTTCATTCTCATAATGTAGCTGCACGCCAGGAGGCATTGGCCATAGCCTGTGCCTTGAGTATCACAGGCAGGGTAATTCTTGATCACTCAATTGAATGCTGTGAAAGCTGTTCTGTTGACTATGCGCCGCCAGGACTACACGTCATCGCGACCGCGCGTCGGCCCGAAGTCATCGCAGACCTCGCTGAGCTGGGTATGAGCGTAGTAGCTCTGGACGTAACCGACGCCGAGAGCATCAAGAAGTGCCATGATGAAGTTGCCAAGATCAACGGCGGCAAGCTGGACATCCTAGTCAACAATGCGTGAGTAGGCCTGCGACTATCTATCTATCTCTCTATATATCTATCCATCTACGTATGTAACATGATAAATATACTCAACGGCGATGAGCAGGGGCCGCACACATACGCATCCGGCGCTAGATATTTCACTCCCCGATGTTCGCGCGACGTTTGAAACGAACGTCTTCGCCATCATGGCCATGGTTCAAGCCTTCACCGACCAGCTGGCTGCCGCAAAGGGTCTGATCATCAACATCTCGTCACTGTCCTCCATCACGCCCTATCTGTTCGGGTCTGTCTACTGCGCCAGCAAGGCCGCCGTCAACGCCTACTCACGTACGCTGCGCATGGAGCTCGCCCCTCTCGGCGTGCGCGTCAGTAAGTACTTATGGGTTCAGATAAAGAAAGACCCCGATATCCCTATTTGTTGATTACTGACTCCTAGCTTCGTAGTGGTGTCGATGACGGGGACGGTGAAGAGTAACACGGCGAGCCAAGGCCACCGCGTTCTGCCCGAGAATAGCGTTTATCAGAAGATCAAGCACATCTTTGAATGGCGGCTTGTGTTCAGCCAACACAACAATACTATGGACACGCTCACGTTTGCAAAGAGACTGGTTGCTGATTCGCTCCGGCCTGAGCGACCGATTTGGTTACGAAGTTTGGTTGGAAGGCCCGACTGGTTTTGGTATGGTGGCATGGCTTCTATAGCGTGGTTTGGTCACAGTTTGGGCGAGTGGGCGGTTGACGCAGTTTGCTGGTACAAGTTCCGCATGCCTGAGATCATGAAGTTATTGGCAGATAATGTAGCTCAGAAGAAGTCGAAGTAATTGGGTCTACTTCTCTTTAATGATTCAGGACGCATACTTATATTATGGGCGTTGGGTAACTACATATGTAAGTCGATGATAATAATAATTAATATTCTCTCATAGAAGCGCTGTATGCTCTGGGCCGTCATGATCCAACATAGCTCAGAATTCTGAATTCATTCACGGTGCAAGTTACCCTCTACCACCAAGCTATATATCTCTTGTTTGGCATCGCTAATTATGTTTAATTCTAGAAGTTCACGAAATGCGACGATACGGGATCATGTATAGAGCCTCGAGGAACCATCAAACGAGGCAAGTCCCTTCAGTAATTCACTCAACAGCCCTCCATCGTCGTTCCAGTTCGTCGGCAATATACGTCGGCGAGCCGCTTATCTCAGCTCCAATCGCAGCAGCCTGTGCAGCATACTCCGCGCCCTTGATATGCATATGATTGTGATGTCCGGCGCCAATGGCCGAGCCGGCATACGTCGTCTCCAACGGGAGTGTTCGATAAAATGTATTCCCAGTAGAATTGTAGAAAAAGCTATTATTCAGCGCCATTCTCTGCTGAAGCACCTTGATCTGCATATTGCTCATGATCTGCCGCACCCGCGGCATCGTCTCCGCGTACACGGCGCGACGCTGCAGGCTGTACTCGAGCAGCGGCGTCGGGTCGGCCGGGTTCGAGGCGCAGGCTGTGAGATATAGCTGTCGCATCCGCTCGCTGTACATCTCACACATGACGCCTCCTTCGACATAGGTGCCTTGGGACGGCATCGCGTCCGCCAGCGCCGTGCCTCGGATGAACTCGTGGTAGCACTCGGCGCACATCGTGCACTGCTGCCAGCCGTACCAATGCCTTTTCTCGACGTACCTATCTCGAGCGCACATGGGCAAGCATGCATATTCCCTGACGAACGACTCGAGTGGCGCAGGATCCTGTTTGTATACCAGCTCTAGCAGCTTCGTCATGTACGTGCTGAACCGCGCGATGCCCGGGTTGAAACTGCATGTGATCTTGCTCTCTGGGGAGACCCCCTCCTTGGCCGTAAAGTGGTGCTCGATGCCCATGGGCAGGACGATCGCGGCCATGCAGCCTTGACATATCTCGAAGCCCGGCGGGTTCGATAACAGCGTGTACCACGCGGGACTCTGCATCTGGCTTTGGCATCTGGGCGAGCAGTTGACGATGTGCATGGCTTTCCAGAATAGCTCTCGGTCGTTCGAGTCGAGAGTACGACCCCCGAGGACCTGCATGTTGAACTGTTGGCCAAAGTAGCACCCCACATCGACGCCGAAGCGTCTCGCCAGGTCTTCGCCTGCGTCTTTCCAGTCGTTGGACAGGTTAGTGAGGAGGATGTAGTCGCAGAAACACATCTTGCAGATGAGCAGGCCCTCTGGCCCACGGACCGGCGTGTAGAAATTATCACTCGGATACACTGTCTTGCTGCCCGGGCACGGCTTGATCGTCATGCGGGCCGCCACGCCTTGCACGAAGGCCGGCCAGTCGTTCGTCTGGGCCCTCAGTTTGAACTCCCTTTGTATGTAAGGCACCGCTATATCGCAAAACCACGTCTGGTCTGCCTGGTGCGGTAAGGTGCTGGGTTCGAAGTGATCTATCCCGAATTCAGGACACGAGAGGATGAGGTCCTCGTAGCACGCCTGACAGACCACCATGGCGGGAATGGCATTGTGTCGCGGCCGGTACCACTTGACCCCGGCAGCCCCATTCACCCCGCGCTGGCCCACGCAGTCCGGGATCGTCGGACGCCGGATCATGTACTCGACTACGCGCGCGAGAGAGCCGCTTGATAGAGAGGGTCCCCAGAGGCAGTCTTTTATCCGCGGGCATTTCCACCGGCAGACTCGGGGCTTCCCGTCATCGTGGTATGTCCCCTTGAACTCGCCGGCGAACCGAGAGCTGCGGATCTGGCTCTCGTAGCAACTTTCACAGATGGGAAATTCTGGTGCCTGAGGATGCGTAAACCAGGTGGCGGCAAAAGTGACATTAGTTGATATACACTCCCTCGCCGCAGCCTGAGACTGCGTCGGTGGTGTGGCGGAGGTGCCAGAAGAGGCATGGGATGTCGGTGATTGAGCAACTAGCGACCGCTGTGAGGGAGAAGTAGTTGATGGTTTGGTAGTAGGTGGCTGTGGATTTGGAGAGTGCTGTGGAGGGAAAGAAACCTTTTCTGGGATCGAGGGAGCTGGATTTGAGACTGGACGAGGTGTATACGATGGCGTTGCCTCATTGTAGTTTTCTAGCCGCATGGTTTGAAAGCTTTCACTGATTGCCGCCATTTCATGATTAGTTGCGGGTTGAGTCACCTCTTTTGGAATACTTGATTGTCTGAATTTGTTGTGGTCAACATGGTAAGCATTTGTGTTAGCAGTTGAATCTTGTGACTTGTCAACGGGCTGCCACGAGTCCCTGTTTTGTATTGGAGCTGTCTGTTGAACTGCACTTTGCACCTGGTTTGGTTGAGCGTATGCCCCTGAGGGGTTTGGATTCACCGGCTCGGAGACACTTGGAACAACACCAGCATTTAGCTCACCAGAATTCGAAGGGGGTTGAGGGCTACCGCTAGCCGCCAAGTGAGCAGGCAAGGGCGGCGGCGGAGGTATCCTTCCACCAGGAAATAGGTGAGAAATATCAGAGTAACCTGACGTCTGATTTCCCGGATTTCCAGGAATTCCAGACTGAAACTGGTGATGCCCACCGTACTGTGGTATCATTGAGTCTTCTGTGGTACGCGGAAGTTTGTTCTGAGGGTGCGAGGAGGGACCTTGAGCTCCGGCAATGGGAACACTCTTCCGCTGGATCCCGGATGCCGACCGAGGCGGAAGAGCAGGCCGAGGCACTGCATCCGGGGTCGGCACCAGTCCGTGGCCGTCATTACGTGGTGGAAGGGGAGGCGGATTTGCCGCATTGTCTGGGCCGGTGTGAGGCCAGTGAGACATGTTGTCTACCACGGATTCCTAGTCTACTATTGATGCGCAAGAGCAACATCGGTCGGATAGTGATGTTTGTTCCCAAGACTATCTATATCATGCTCTTTTCAACATCTAAAAAGCGCTAAAAAGTGGTATGGTGGATTCCTATGTTCTGCCTGCCTGGATGGATAAAGAACTCAGCCGCATCTTGGCGCTCGACTCATTGGTTTTTCGACTACCGAAATCTGCTAAGCTCGTACGTGATATGAGTTACCCCATACCCTGAGGCCACGGCTAACACGCATAATAGGTACCGGTATGTTGAGAACTGCAGCTGTTGCATGATTAATCATCACGGTCTCAGGCTGCCCACGTCTAGTTGTCGATATTTTACCACACTCATCTACTCATCTGTGTATCGGCATAGTTGGGAGAATGAAATGTCATGATAAATAGTAGGTAGTGAGGGTCACCTGGTAGAGCTAGAAGAACATTAGTCATATAATGTTTGCGATCTTACAGAATGAACGAATTCAATACATGATCTCGTGCCGCACGATAGATGTTAAATCCGAAAGTCGTTGCGGATCGGAAGTGATAAGAAAGCCAACTCAACTTCCGACAGTGATAGTTTCATCTGACAACAATTTGCGCTCATCTCATTCCCAGTAATATTTTTGTCATGTGGTTTAAAATTGGGTCATTTGAGCCTGGTAGGGATATACTCGGTGAATTATATCGAGCTAAGGGCGATCAGTAGATTTAGGCATCCTTCAGTGTTTGCTGATTTCCCTTCACGCAATATGCGAAAGTACTTATGCGTTGATTTACGGGGACTACCTACGTATAGCCTCTCTATTAGCAGCGGTACCCATGAGGGACAATGTTCCAAATGCAGTTGGATCGCAGCCATGGGCCGATTGCTGATACCTAGTAAAATCCAACGTTACAATTTACCCCAGTTGGAGATCTCCTGCAAGATTCACTAACCACTACAGGGCTGGGAGAGACTTGGCAGTTTGTGCCAATCGTGATGAGCTATGCTGAACTAGGCATCTAACAATAGGTACTGGTAAAACCAGGGTGAGGGTCGCATCCCTTTGCGCACGTAAGTAGGTAGACTAAGCCTCCGTGCTGTTGGATCCTCTTGCTGAGATCCTATCATGATGCGCCCTCCAGATTCGAGGTCATCTGCCCTGAGCAATTTCGTGTTGCAGGTCCCGAAGCTGTCAACCCTGGACAGTACAGTGGTTCGCAGCCGTGGAACCAAACAACAGGGAGTGCAGACGTTTGGTTTGGTCAACGAATCGGCGAGGAATTCACTCACCTGCCCTGTCATGCTGTACCACGACGGAGAGATGTACCCTGGTTAGCGTTGCAACCTCGTGGTTCATTCCGCAATGGAATCCTACAATGCAATGTATCTATATAAATCCCACCGTGGGGGAGCTGTTCCTCACATCTTGTTTATTATCTCCTCACCCAAGTCTTTTCGTGGTCTCTTCATCAGCCACCAGTGGGAACCGACCTGGCAGAATCAGTTCAGATCACCAGATTGTCCATAATGAATCGCTGGACTAGCTTCCTTCTGCTCGGGGGCGCTTCCCTTTTGAGCGCCCAGTGCACTGCCTCCAATGTGCCGTCAGTGAAAGTTCCCTCCTGTGACAAGGGCACCGGCAGCGTGCAGTACGACAAGTCTGTCCCGAACGGCCAGGACAAGTTCCCTCTTACCCAAGTCGATCTTTGCTACACCAACAGTGATATCAAGATCACCTTCACCGCATTTGAAGAAGTCAACTTCTTCTACAATGAAAGCCACACCACCAATGACCCCCTCTATGAGTATGAGGTCATGGAAGCCTTCATCTATCACGGTACGAACGATCCCAGGAGCTACTTCGAGTTTGAGGTGAGCCCCAATAACGTCACATGGCAAGCCTTCATCTACAACCCGTCCAAAGTCCGGGCTGAAGGCATGCCCTTTGATAACGGCCAACTCAGGACTCCCATTGTCGATGGGCTGGTCACCAGCACTAAGCTGGATAGGAACGCACATATCTGGGTGTCCAACGCGAGTATCCCACTAGGTCTTTTCAATGTCGACGATGGAGAGGCTAAGGGAACTCAATGGCGCATGAACTTCTTCCGTACGATTGTATCACCTGATACATTCCCCGACCAAGGCTTGGGCGCGTGGAGCCCTACAAATATGAGCAATTTCCATATGACGCCATTCTTCGGGAATGTGCTCTTCGTCTAGTGCAGATAAACTAGATTCAGAAACAAATCCAGAATAACAAGTCGTCGAATTGAACTTATCGTCGCCATTACCCGACTCTGTGTGATTCAATGTTGAACTCAGCTTGTGGCGAATAGACGTGAAAGTAAGCGGTGAGAGGCGTTGTCTAATTAGTTGCCCACCGAGCAACTTCAAAGTCTCCGACGCGTATCTGACGATGGGCGAATACTTATTCTGGGCGGATGACGCCTCTTAAGCATACAATGTTGCCCATTTGCTATTAGCTTTATTCAGTTGGGCTGAAATATGCATTAGTAGTTTCGGTATGGCCACTTGGCGCATAAGGCGTTGGGCAAGTCTGGTGGTGTCGATCTTAGCCGTCGAGGACATTCTGCAGACCGCCATCTCATGCAAGCTGCAATACTTCGTCTCAATTCAGATGGCGTCGGCAAATAGTGTGGATACTGAAATTGTAAGTAGCGGTCTTAGAAAGCCATAATACAGAGTCTGGAAACATCGCCAAGTTTGATGCTCATTTTCCACTCTTCTTCCATCGTCGAGGATTTATTCTGCTGTATTTATCAGATTGCCTGGCTATAAGTGTACCAGGTCCTATTCCGCAGACGTCTCTGTCGTAATTTCGCTCGTCGCACGCGAAAAGGATCAAAGATGACGATGGCGAAGACTCACTTAACCATACACACGTCCACTCTGTTCGACTCGAGGAAGAAACAGTTCGTGTCTGATATCTCGGTCGAGGTGGACCCTACCACGGGACTTATATCCAGGACGTATCAGCGTAGCCAGCCATTGCCTCACCACGGTGTCTCCGATTCGACGACCATAGACCTTCGCGGCTTGACGGTTATCCCGGGGCTCGTCGACGCTCACACGCACATATTCCTACATGGATACTCTGAAACTCCATCACTAAATCAGATGCGCGATGAAAGTCTTGTCGAAAGAGTTGTGCGAGCGACCAACCACGCAAGAGCTGCGCTAATGGCAGGCTTCACGACGTATCGCGACCTTGGTACAGAGGGATTGCGTGACGCAGATGTTCAATTTCGAGACACTATTAATCGCGGCATCATCCCCGGGCCCCGTATGTTCGTCACAACTGAATGCATCGCTTCCAGCGGGGGCTATGAAATTAGGCACGAGAATAGGCTACCTGGCGTAGGCAATGCCGTCGTCAGGATTTCCGACCCAGCCGATGGCATCTACGGGGTTCGAGCCGCTGTTCGTCGACGAATTGGTGCCGGAGCAGATATCATAAAATTCTATGCAGATTATGAGAAGCGCAGACTCCGTTTCCCGGCTCCTGCTTGGCCGGGGGCGAGGGCAGTTGCGTTTCCGCCGTCTGGGGAAGTATTCCTGGGCGGTGAGAATCCTGTATTTCCCTTGTTTACTCAGGAGGAGATGGATGCGATGGTAGCGGAGGCGAGGGTGAGCAGAGCGCCGATAGTGGCTCATGCTGAAAGCCCAGAAGCAGTCATCATGGCTGCGAAGGCTGGTGTGACATCCATCGAGCATGGCGGTATACCTGATGAGGCGGCTCTGGAAGCAATGAGAGAAAACAAAACAATATTTGTTCCTACTCTCGCAGTGTATGACGAGGAAATACGACGGCAAAGCAATTATTCAGAAAGTGCCAAGAGAGCATATCAAGAGATCGCTACTTACACGAAGGCAGCGTACGACAAGGGAGTCAAACTTGCTTGCGGTGGTGATGTAGGATCTTTTCCCCACGGAGAAAACATACGAGAATTTGAGTTCATGCTCGACGCCGGTATCCCTCTCCTAGATGTTTTGCAGGCTGCGACTTTACATGGCTGGGAAGCTTGCGGAGGCGATCTCTGCGGTAGGAGATTCGGTTCCATCGAGGAAGGTTATGCAGCAGATATCGTCGCCCTCGATGGCGATTTGGCTCGGGATGTGAGTGCTATCAAGCGCGTCAATTTTGTGATGAAAGACGGCCGAGTCTACAAAGATAGCCGACAAGAGCCCATCTCTTGACAACGAATGACGGGCAACCTTAAATTATCTATTGAACTGCACGGTGCAAATGCAGCCACCTACTAAGTGTATCTCTACATAGTTTCAGTGACTGAAATGTAAAAACAGAAACCTGGGCGTTGCGCCTCGACGTTAGCTCTCGCTTGCTCTCTCTCCCTTTTTCGTTTATACCTTTGATGTGAAGCTACTTGAAGGAGCCGACGCCGCTTCGCACTTCCCTAAGAAGAATCCAGCCATATTTATCATCATGGGTTTAATCAAACCTATCACACAGAAGAAGGTACGACTGCTCTGTCTCATACGAAATGCTTGCCTCGCCCATGACTGGGGGTGGGCGTTCATATACCAGCCCAAAACAACAAGCATATTGAGCACGATCAACAGTATCAAACAGCTATTCCCTATCAAATAGATCTTCTGCCAAATATTCTTTGTCCTTTATTCAATCGGTTAACATGCCTGGTCTTGACATTATTGTCGTGGGCGCCACGGGGTTCGTGGGCTTCTCCGTAGTGCATTGGGCTATGTACACCTCGCGCATCAACCATATAATCGTCTTAACCCGCAGACCTATGCCAACACATGTTACCAATAGTGCAAAGGTCACGGTCATAATTCATCAAGACTTCAGCGATTGGCCACTTTATCTACTTGGGCTACTAGGAACTGCCCATGCGTGCATCTGGTGAGTATAAGATGGCCCATCTCATCGTTCGTGCATCATGACTTAGACGTGCGTCCGCTGACTCTATAGAAGGGCTCTTGGAGGTCATGCGTACACCTTTGGTAGCCTTGATGACGCAAGGGAGGCAACTATGGATTTCCCCCAGATAGCAGCCCAAGAATTTGCCCAAGCTGCCCGACCTTACCTGCCACACGGACGGCCTTTCATTTTCGTCTACGTAAGCATTCGTTCAGCAGAGTGGGACGATTCCAAGCGCCTACATTATCTCAAAAATACAAGACGTTTAAAAGTGAGCCAGATTTCGCACATCAGTGATAGCACGCTCACGTCTACTCTCTCAGCTTCCCTATAAGCCTAAACGAAGAAAGCACGATAGTACTAATCATACTGCTGCATAGGGAAGCGCCGAAATAGAATTACTCAGAACCGAGGAGGATAACTCGGATTGCTTAACAGTTAAAATAGCGCGCCCTGGTTTCGTGGTAACCAGTATTAAAAGCGGGCTCAAAGGTCCTCTCAAGGTACTCGGCAGAAGACTCCCAGGCGGCATGGTTGACGTTAGGAGGCTAGCCCACTGCCTTCTTCAAATTGCCCTGGGCGATTTTCCTGATCGTGCCATATTTGAAGCTGAGTTTTTAAACGAGCATGGGAAACAAGATTATGGTTACACGCCTAATGCATTGGTTCGTCTCGGTCGAAGCATACGTGATCGGGTAATGCGGCATTAGGTGCGGTATCAACAACAGGAATCTATTATAGCGGTAGGCTTCAGCGGCTTGGTTAAAGATTCGGAGTATTGAATTTCTCAGACAGAGATTTGTATCGTTTGATTAGCGGTGATAGGAATAACAACGTTGAACTAAATCTTACTCCCATTGACTTCGAATTCCTAGCAGCATTGGATACAACACTCTCGATAACGCGTCTAACAACGACACAGCCATTAGTTACAGCTCTTGGACGAAAATTTGGATTTGATCCTTCAAAACAACGAGTTCGCTACGCGCCTCACATTTTGAACCTTATAGCCAAATCTATAATGTATAGATCGAAGAGAGATAATTTTACTCAACTTGTTACAAGATAGGAAGATGAAAATAGCGATAACGAAGAAGAGGCTCTACAAGAGCTGGTTAATATGCTTAATGATCTAGAAAATATGGAAGATGGGGTACACATAATCGATCTCGATCACGAAAACGGGGATGAGGATGATGCTGTTTATCCTATCCCATCCGAGCTCAATGCTGAGGAAATGGACAGTCTCGAAAGAATCATGGGTGAATTTCCAGGGTCGTTGGATATTGTGAAGGCGCTCTTTGGGTATAGATAGTGCTAGGCTGGTTCTTGGGAACCCCTGCAGGAGACCTATCATCGCGGCGTTTGATGATGCTATGAAGAATACGTAATAAACTGGAATATTAATGTGTTCTTTCTCCATGCAACACTAATAGACATAGATAATCAAAGACTTGAGTAGACAAAGCCTAGGATTAGGGGTGGAGACTAAAGGTAATCCGTTGTAGGGCTACCAAGGGTGCTGCTCTTGGTGGTTGTCCTGCTGTAGTGGCCCCCTAACAGATACCAGAGCCTTCACAAATACGCGCGCGCAACGACATTCTTTCATACATACATGCTTCTTCAAGTCTACCAACAGCCCGCTAGTCGTTGTCTCTATCCGACCGCGCAGCGCAGCGGATGCTTTTTGCGGCGACTCAATCAATTACATCACACGCAACGTCAGAATCTTCTTCCATTCGTTTCGCCACCCACATCTTAGCTTTCCTAGCTTAGAACTCCAGAATGGCTACTTGGATTCATATTAATACATACGGTATGTTTTTGGCACGTATAATAATCCCACTTGATCCTTATATGATGCCAGGGACCATTTACTTCGCTTCATGTCGTTCCGCCATCGATGACGACATGATACAATTGTACTCAAGAGTACTCTTGGGCAAGACAGTAGGTTAGTAATATGGTCCGTTGTTCGGTTACAAGCGTATTTATCAACTCAGAGTCAACATTTGATGTCGTGTACTCGCATATCGCTAGAGAATGGTACCAACAAGAAGACATTAATATCAATCCCTTTCATAATAGCCGACGGAACCATATCGAGACCTGCTGGATTTTTGACCTTGATAACGATGTTCTCCGACTTAACAAGGAGAATCGTCACCTTCAGCTTCCCCTTTCCCTTATCCGCGCTCGCTCTGTTACCATTACCGACTTTGAATCTTACGCGCCACCAAGGCTATCAGAACCAGGTTCTCGGCCTTTCCTCGCATCGCCTTACTGGAATTTGCGACGCAAAGGGCTAGATCCGGAGCGCTTGGGACGGCGCCGGGCTTTTGTTGGCAGGGCCCTCACCGATTTTGCATTTCAGTGGAGGCACATTCTTTGCGGCCGGTACAATAACTCAACGTTCCGGAAGTTTGCTTGCGCGATTATTAGGATTGCTACCTTGGACTTCAATGTCGTGGAAGCGACTACTTCACGTCAGGGCTCTGGTGGTTTTCTAGTCTGGCTACACAACCTTCCAGAATGGGATCCACTCAAGGGGGATGTTGTCCCAGTTTCTAGAATATCTATTGTTGTATCTCGCCATATTACCCACGCCATTGCCATTGCCCGTAAACACTTCGCGAAGACGACACCATCAACCCCATCACAGATCGCTTTAACAGTGTCTGACGAATATCAGACGTACTTAATCCTCACAATACGAGAAGTCATCCTATATCGAATCAAGAACGATTCTGAGATATACACAAAGCCTGAGCGTTTGTTTAACGGATATGAATCCCCCTCCGAGGAAGCGTTGCAGCTCCTCCTTGAAGCTACATATGGCCATTTTACTGGAACTCTTACTCACCGATTGCCTATCGAGTTGCATCATCGAATTCTTGATAACGTGTCGGCGGGACCAATTGAGAGGGCTAGAGTTGGCTGTATACTTGAATGTGGTTCCATTTTCGCATGGAAGTGTGGGGGCCGGAACATAGAGAGAGAAGAAGGATGTCGAAACAGGACGCAGTCGACTCCTGTGGAGTCACACATTTGGTTCGGCGACCACCCTAGTGGCGTAGCATACAAGTGAGCTGATTTAGCATCTCGAGGCTGTGGGGGGGAAGATCTCAAAACTACCACACGTCGCGCCCACTGTTTCATCTACACCACGTGGAAGCCTACACAAATAGCAGGGGATTCTCTTTAAGGTATTGGCCCCAAAGCATGATATCGTGGACATCTCTGATAAAATGCATCTAGCCTCCAACCTTGCTGCATATACCGCCTTCATACTTGTAGAATTGCGCCAGTAACCCAATTTGAATCCTTCCATAGCAATTCTTCGACTCGTTCCCATTCCCAGCAAGATGATCCTGAAGCTGGTCTTCGGTGGCCCCCCACGGCTGTCCCATCTTCTTGCTCTCAGTGAGCATGAAGTCATATTGATACAGAGTTCCGCCAGGTCTCTGAGAAACCTTGAGTGTAGAAAAGTCCGGACGACTATTGTCACCCTCGGTCTCCTGGACGACATCAAATCCTTCCCTTTCGGGGAACATGAAACGAAGGATGCTGCCCATGGATCTTCGATAGAGATGCTCTTTTGAGTCTGGCACCCGCGTTAAAAGCTCAAGGCCAGCCTTGACGTTGTCATTATCGAGATACGACTGAGGAGGGGGAGGGTTCGGATCCATGAGAACAGCCCTTCCGGTTCTATCATTATTCCTGTATTGCATAGTTCAGCAAGGGCTAGAATGCCAGCCGCGTGGGTTTCATTTTACCCTTGTGGCCATGACTTGGAGGAATCACGGGTCCAAGTGTCCTATCTAGTAGTTAGTGACGTGGGAGCCATGGAAAGTTCGATAAGATGGCATACGTTTGGGTTATCTCCAAACCCTGATAGTATAGAGTAGCATATCGCGTTTGTAGCCATGTCCAGGTAGTAAACCTGGCCGGCTGAGTTAGTGTATTGATGAAACCCGCTATTACCAGTTAGTTGTCCGAGGTCACAAGGAGCCATGGTGCTGATCTAAGTGATATGAAATCTGAACGACTGGTGCTTGGTTGCTGAAGGGAAGCGAGATTCAGGTGATATCTCCTTACATTTATATGTACGTACTTGACGGGCAGTATTTGCCTTGATCGCTGTAGACATGCTAAGTGTCAGACCACGGGGATCAAGGTCTCGACATATGGGCCAATTCAAAGCCAGGAAGAAATAGAGCTTGGTACGCCGCAAAGCTCCCCGTAGAGTTCGCACGCTCAGAGATGAGTGCTGTTATCATGTGTGGCCAGAACAGTCGATACTAATTACAACCATAGCTAGCCAATCCTTCCAAGATGGGCCAGGGGGTATTCCAAGCACGTTCTCTGTCAATATAATCAGCACTAAAATCAGATTAACAAAATGACTCATCACTTGTTCTATTCTCCCCGTTCTATCTATGTGTCGGTACGGGAGGGTGCGTAGGCAGAGCACTTCCGGTTGCCAAACGGTTGGCTCACATTGAACGTCGCTTTCTGCGAAAGAGACAAAGTTAAACGTAGCACACCTATCGGATTTATGTGCCGGTGCTATAGTAAGCCTATACTATCCCCTCCTACGAATATGATTAAGGCATGTATATTACGATGTAGTGATCTGTCGCGGAAAATTACTTAGCGCGCGCAAGCGATAATGAGGGGCTGGTAAATGTCGTCGAGAAAGCGCGTATTCTGGGAAATACAGACGCGGATGGGGCGGAATTATGCGAAATGGTGTTTTAACGCAGTAGAGCGGCGTGGCAGCCTGGTGTCTGTTCTTTAGATGAACCGACAGACTTCATTGCGTCCCCTTTTATCTTTCAAGGTAGCAGATTGCCCATTTGTGGCTTAGAAGGCTCTCCATATCCTGTTAGTACTTACAACGCTGTCATTGCCCATTTCCACTTGTGTCGCCCTTGATACACCTCAGTAGTACATCCTTCAAGTATTATTTTTTATTTGTCGGATATCATTTTTCTCTTTTACTAAGTAAGATCTATGAAAATTAGTGATACAGCACTACGAAGCTTCTGATTTATTATTCATACATGACAGCTGTAACTTACGATATTGACCTCAACACTAGTGAGATGGACGTAGGTGCATTACGTTAACGACAACCCACGCTCCTTGCTTGATTGACGCAAGTATAATGCATTCCCTAGAGACGGTTTCTACCCAGATTTGCAGCTAGTCACTTGACAGGTAATAGAGTTCATTGGGGAAAGGTACAGACCAAACTCATCCTGTATCGGCGCAGCCCTCGGACCTTTTGCTGTAAGTAACGAATCAGGAACACAAACATTAAAGCTTGTCATATTCTTCGTTACTTTGATACATAGCCATTGAGGATAGCGCAGGCTTGGACAGATCTTTGACAGTCGAAACCTTGCTAGTTTTTCATTGTTTGGCGGGAAGAACTGCAATGCTCTCATTATTATCAGAGGGTCAAACCTCGATTTCTTGTTCACTAACACAGCATGAATAGGGAAAATATTTGGTTATGTTCTCGTGTATCACGACAAAGATATTCCAAAGACAATACTGCACCCTAGTAGGGAGGAACTCAGTGCATGGAAGAAGGAGGCTTGGAGACAAGGCAGTACCGACTTTGAGGAATACCCTGACACCATTCAGCGCTTCACGAAAAGGCCTACTACTATGCTTAAAAGAAATATTGCCGCCCAAGGCGGCCAGGGCCAGCTATTCCATGTTTCTGGGGCCAATTCCAGCACCGGAAAAACCGCGGCACAGCAAGAATATGAGGGGCTCCGTCGGCTCCTCAGGGAGCAATGTGAACGGAGACGGAGACGGATACGGCACCAACACTGGTGTACTATGCTCCCATTAGAAAATAAATTTGGTAAAATTACCCTAAAAAAAAAAAAAAGAGGAAGAAGGGAAGAGCAACACCCAGGGTTTGCACATTGATGTGCATCTAGTGGGTCCATAAAGGAGGCGAAATAGGCCCGTCGGCTTACGGAAGATAGACCGAATACTCTTATTACGCCGGCACCATTATTTGGCTCCGCGGGAACCCCCCGGGCTTCTCGGCATTACGGGCCAATACTATTGCCCCGAGATTTGATCTCAGGTCCGGTTTCTCAAGTAGTTGTGGTTAAAAGGTGCATTGTAGTCTGTCGTAAGGAAACGACCGAGATAAAAATCTGCGACCAACCTCCTCAAATCCATCATGCTATTCCTTATCGTTGGGATATCTGGCAACTTGGGCCTGAAGCTGGCCGATGCACTCATTCGACGAGGCCACCAGGTCCGTGGTGCATCAAGGTCCAAGTCCTCCATTCCCGAGAGGGATCTGGCGAGGTTGGAGAGTTATTATCAGACCAGGACTTGGTATGATACGGACACTCTCAGACAAGCCGTTCGAGGCGTGGACACGGTCGTTTGCGCATACACCCCGATTCCAAGTCTAGCCTTGGAGGCGGAGCTACTTCTCGTCCGAATTATGGAAGAAGAGGGCGTCACGGTAAGTTTCTACCCTGAAAACTGTGGGGTGGACTACTAACTATCTTTCACAGCGGTTCGTCCCATCTGCCTGGAATCTGGATTGGTCTCAGCTTGAATGGGGCCAGGTGCCCTATTATGACGTCTTTCTTGCCCTCAAGCGCCAACTGGAGCTCTCATCTACTGTGAAGCCACTTTACATCTTTGTTGGAATCTTGTGTGAGGTGTTCTTCTCCGTCCCAGGCCACGGAGGATTTGCACCTGCGAACCAAGGCGTGTGGGATCCTGTGCCCAAGAGAGCCATGGTATGGGGATCTGGACATGAAAAGTGGCAAATCACGACGGAGCGTGACGCAGCTGAGTTCACGGCGGAGCTTATCCAGGACCTCTCTAACGAACCCGGGATCTACAGATTCTGCAGCTTCGAGAAAAGCACAAGGGAGATGGCGGAAGCCTACGAAAACGCTCGCGGTGTTAAGGTGACAATCGACACCGCTGGAAATTTGGAGGACTTGAAGGTCGTCGCGGCAAATGCAGTGGAGAAGTTGGGACTGCAGAGATCATGGGAGTGGATGGGATACTTCTATCAAATCTACCAGCTGAATGGAACCTTCCATATGAGAAAGCTAGACAACGACCGCTACACAGCTGTCAACGCGACCTCCTTGGAAAGGTTCCTGGAGCTCAATCCCCAAATCTAGTTTGATAAGCGTTGTACTCGGGGAATCCGGTGAAACTTTAACTTGGTCGTTTTAAGTTCCTCATTTAGTTTACACTTTGCCTTGAAGGATTTCATTTTAGCTAAAGCCCTCACCTTTTATGGAATATTTAGAGTAGTTCAGTCATTACCTAATGCGCACCATCCACTCTACTATCTATTGCCTGTTGGATTCATAAAGAGAATTATGTTATTCTGGGATTCGTACTCTTCCTCTCAATCACGTTAAGCTGATGTATCCTGATTGCTAGCAGCATTGCTGTTGGTGGTCTTGTCTTGCCTGCCATATCTCTCTTGTGCGTCGACCTGTCCGTGACGACCGGCGTGCCTTCAGCGTCCCCTCTTTAGTATATAGCTGCCTAGGTTTCCAAACTACCCCTTCAAATGAGAATGTAATCCTTGTGAAGAGAAATTAATGGTCTAATGATTTAAATTTGCATAAAGGGATAGTAGGATAAAGTCCACGGCGAGGGAGTCTACCAACGCATGACCGGGAACATTGTTGTCACGAGTCACTGGGGGTTATATTCAGACAGGCTGCTGAGTATCAGGAGACAAAACAGATGAGAAACGATTCAGTTACGCCATCATCGTTTCCTGTTTGAATTGTTATTTGACATTCTATCTGCCCTTCACGCTAGTATTCTTACAGATGAAGGCCATCTACTCTAGGAAGTCTGATGGAACATCAGGGCCCCATACAAAAAGACCCCCTTTACCAAGCTTACTCTTCGCTACAGGTGTGTCGCTGTTGATCATATCCCCGTCCACATAGTGCTCCATGATGAACTTGGCCGGGTCAAACCTGAAAAATGACATTAGGGACTGAACAGGACACGGAAGGGAGACCACCTGCCAGTAATCAAATATTTGGCTACCGAGAACATGTCTACCGACACCCCAACAGGTTTGGTAACCATTCTGCTTTAGCCAGTTGTGGCCGAGGGCCTGGGTGTCGAAATCATAAATTTCGTAGGAGGAATGGTGGACATGGGCTTGCTACCCTCGTAGAAGAAGAAGCAGTGGCGGTCCACCTTTTCCTTCCCGCGGTCCAAATGGATGAAGGTTGCTACGTCCCTTCCTGACTCCTCGTGGATCAGATGACAATCATGAATTTTAGCAACAGCGAGATCCCCGGCGGAAGAGGGGGGCATGAAGAGGTACATCGCTGGGCGCGAAGTTGAAGTTTTCCGTGAAGAACTTGAACGTGCGCGCGAAATCTAACGTGCAGATTCCAAAATGACCAAGCTTATGAACGGTTGCGGGGCCTGTGTCCAGGTCAGAAACAGGGAAAGGCGAGGAGTACGGTGGGCCACTACCACAAAGTGCGAAAATAAAAAATCAGGTCAAGTGCGGGGTAAAACCTATTTTCCAACTGTACCTAAGGGGACCAAATATAATAAAGGATATAAAGTAAAGTTTGAAAAATATAAATAATTACTTAAATACCTATTTTAAAGGTTATATAAATAATGTATAGCTTATATTAGGCTTTATAATTATTTAAGTTAGGGCTTTTAGCTATATAGGTCTGTATTGCAGTCTGTATTGAAGGTCTGTATTAAAGGTCTATATTAAAGGTCTGTATTATAATTAGTACTGTAGGTTTCTATTATAATCTATATTACAACCAAGCTATATAGATTATATATAGGAAGGTTAACTATATATAAGCATATATATAATAAGCTATTAATTAAGCTATAACTTAACCGTTAAATAGGACTATTATACAGATTGCAATATAGACCTTCAATATAGACTACAATACAGACCTTTAATACAGACCTTCAATACAGACCTTCAATACAGACCTTCAATACAGACCTACAGTACAGACCTTCAGTACTGACCTTCAATACAGACCTACAGTACAGACCTTCAGTACTGACCTTCAATACAGACCTACAGTACTGACTGCAATACAGACCTACAGTACTGACTGCAATACAGACCTTCAATACAGACCTTCAATACAGACCTTCAATACAGACTGCAATACAGACTGCAATACAGACTGCAATACAGACTGCAATACAGACTGCAATACAGACTGCAATACAGACTGCAATACAGACC